TTGATAACAAGCAATTTCACATATTCAAGGGTATACTTGATATCATTTATGAAAATAAATAAAGCAGCCCATACACGCTCAATATTATTGCACAATGTGGGTTGCACAATATTTTGACGGAGGCCCTACACTGCTCAATATTATTGCACAATATTTTGATTTGTGCAATAAATTGTATCGTATGCAGGCAATATTGATGGTTGTGCAATATATTGCACAATCGCGAGCACAGACGTACAACAACCTTCAAGGCAATATATTGTGCAATTAGTTCCAACCAGCATTTCATGTAGTGAAGTCATGTTGAGTGATAGTGATTTGTGTTGTGTGATTATCGCTGTGGGTGCCAGTGCGAAAAAGAAGAAGAGCTCGCAAAAAGGCAGACAAAAAACTATGCCAAGTAATAAGAAACAAAATAGTTGAAACAAAAAAAAGTTTAGCGAAAAAGGCTCTTGTATCTTGGGGTGAGGGTTCTCCCTGATAAACGTCAATGAATTCGAAAATGAATTGCCTATCAGCTTCCTTGGCAGCCATGACGACGCGTACTCTACCACCTGCTGATACTGACTGATGGGATATTGCGCAATATTGCCTACAGACAGCACAACCTTTTCCCGTTTGCACAATATATTTTCAAGGATTTGAATTTAGCACAATATATTGCACAACCTTTCAATTTCGACTACACACGATCAACTATATTGCACAAACCTAAATATTGCGCAATAATATTGAGCGTGTATGGGCCGCTTAAGAATAAGGGACTCACGAGGCACATATTTGTTCCATTTATCAAATATACCGTTTAGACATATCACGGTGATGAACCTGCAGTTTGGCATTTCCAACAGTATCAGCCTGTCTGTTCTCACCTGGTTTGGCTTTTTGCCATCTTTATATTTTTTCTCCTAATACCACAGACTTAATAAACATAAACTAAATCCAGTAGCAAAGATAACGAAATGCTGAAGCACTTATTAAAAAATCAAAACAGTGAAATTAGGCAGACCAAAATTGATCTTAAATTTACGAACTCCGCAAATTAAACATACCAATAAACTGCATGTTGTATTGCCCCTTATGGTGAAATTGCCAGGTAGAAAAATAAAAAAAAATTGCACAATAAAACACAATACATGAATAATTTGTTGATTATCGATCGAACATTTTCACTCTTATGGTAAGTTTACAATTCAATTAAGTTTTTAATTTGATGGTAAAACATAGGAAAGGTGCTATAAACCAGGTATTCAGTGGTGGTTTAATTTATTCAGAGATAGACGTTCTGGGCTATAAAACCCATCTTCAGAATTCCAGGCGTAGAATTCCGAGATATGACAAACATCATTTAAGCTTCACAAAATGAGATAAATGGTAGAGTGAGTTCAGTTCTTCAATCTTTTTTAAAAAAGTAGTCCCTACTCACAGTTACTTGTTTTCAACCTGATGTTGAGCTATTAGCTATAAGGATCGTTGAAAACACCTAACTGTGAATAGGAACTATCTTTTTAAAAATTGTTAAAATTCATGTCAAAGTTATGTATAAAACAGAACAAGATTACCTTAAAGTGGGTTCATGGACATGCTGACAAACTAGCCAAAAATGGTCAGCCTCTGAACTGGACCAGAACCAACAACTAACGCACCAGAGTGTGTGTAGATGGAACCGGAAAAATGGACTGATAAATAAAACTCAAACACTCAAGAGATTTATAAATTTTTTGAAGAAGTTAAAAGTGTTTCTCTTTCAGGCAAAAATTGAGGATACCTTTTTAACTAACACTGAAAGGTAAATATCACAGAGTTAGCTTGAGATGGAGATTAAGACAAGAAGGTATACAAGGAAACAAATAGGATGACCAAGTAGCCAAAGATTGGGCAGCCCTCTCTCATGGGACTGGAACCACAACTAGACACACTAGAGAGTGTGTTAAATTTGGACTGGAAAAACTGACTTGAGAAACAAACCCAACCACTGGGTAAAACCACCAGGTATACCCAGTACCACCACCGCAAGCCTGGAAATGTATAAATCTCTCAAAACAGAAGGCGAATGAACTCTCTGAGCAGGCAGGATTTGAGGAGAATTATAAACCTCTATACAATACCATCCACTGCCCCTTAACTATCATCTTAAGAAGTTGGGCAAAGCTGAGATGGAAACATGCTGGCTGTCAGGAGGACCAAGAAACAACGGCACATATCCTTTGTGAATGTAAAGCATCAGTTTGTTTACGGTACTTCAGAATAATATTTCTCATACCAAAGGAGATCCACGAAGAGGCACCAAGAAAAGTGCTCACTTTTATAAGGAATAGAACTCTTTCTAAGGTACCCGTTTAGGACAATTAATTAAGGTTTTTAGTTGAGATAAAAAAGTCAATGGCATGAGCGGGATTCAAACCCACGATCTTCGGCTGGATACGTCGCTGCTATACCACTTGAGCTATCATGACCTCGATCCACTCGGACACCAACTTCCCATCGCAACCCCACCATTTGAATTTTCCCTCCTTTTTGCCAATTCATTTGTCGTCGAGAATCCAATCCGATTACACATTTGAAAAAGCTCAACAAAAAACCTGTTTAGGTCGTAGTGGAGGAAATAACTGTCTTCGTCAACCCACAAACTCTTAAATAAAAAAATAAAAATTAATAAATAACAACAATGCAACAACAGTGGGCAATGGAAAATCTATATACAAGGAATATGTCAGCCTTATTAAAATTGATATGGGGCAAGTTTCCCTGTAGAAGGAATGGCCGAAAAGACTTTTAACCAATAATAAAGTGTATTGTTGAATTATTTTGTTTAATTTTGGTACTTGTTTTAACACCTTCGCAATCAGAATTTTTCAGTCCGACAACCTGCTTGCAATGAGTAGTTCGGACTATTGAAAGAGTACAGTAATCCCTCAAATTTGGGATGGTTACTTTCCAGAAAAACTACACGAATGGCGAATCCGCGAATGTTGAGTTTATATTCCTGTGTAAATAAGGGGGTTCGGTACCATAATGATAGATTATTTCTATGATTAAGGTATTATTATATTAATCGGTGATTTTTTTTTTTTCGGTTTTTTTAATAAATTAACATTTTCAAAATTTCCAGCCATGCAATTTAATTTTTGCTCCTTTGTTTTAAGTTCGCTGGGAAATCCTTTATTCTGTTTCATTGTCATCAGACACCGATTCACAGGACAATTTTATATTATGGGAATTGTCTGGGAAACGACCCAACCTTTGCCGACCTGGAAGTGAAACGATGATGCAGAACCTTTGTTAATTTCATCAAATAATTTTTTAGCTTTGGCTCTCATCAGTGCAGAACTAATCGAGGAACACACTTCTGAGGCATATCCTCTAATCAAATGCTCAAAGCATTTCCTGTCTCTTCAACTCTCGACTCGATTTTCACTCTAGCCATGACACAGTCCCTTATTAATTTGTCTTTTTTTTTTTTTTTTTTTCGATCGATCGCGATGTCGACTTGATGTTGAAAATCTCCTAACAGCAGTCACACTTTCATCGACTCGCAATTTATCTAAAACCTTAATTTTATTCGGAAGCAACATTACCTTCTTTTTCCCCCCATTTCGGTAAAGATGCCATAATAATTTTTATGGTAGGTTTCCCACGGAAGAACAATAAGGCCCTGTTCCCACTATGCCGGGCCGGTAAAACTGCTGGAAAGGCCAGTGGCTGTACATTTTATATGAAGTTGTTCACATTTAGCCGGATACGGCAAAAATACCGAGCCCGGCAATTTCATCACACTGCAATTTGACACTGCAAAGCGCTGGAAAAATGCCCGAACTGGCGTAATGTGAACGAGCTCTGCACTGCCATAGCCTATTCAGCAGGTAGCTCAGCACGTTTGGAAGAGGTACAGAGCTTATAAAAACCCTGGTAAGTCGAGTCATTTCAGCGTTCGCAATTCTGTAGGTCAGACGCATGCAAGCGCACGCAGAATCAACACAGAAACGTTAATTTCATTGGGCCAATAGAGACCTGTACTGTGGGATAAAACCCTAGACGAATATGAACAAAAACATCAAAAGAGGTGTCATTCAAAAATAATTGAAGAACTTCGTTTCGTTAAAACTTAAAGTTTCAAATGTTCGTAGTGAAAATCTTTCCGATTAAATAGGACGTGCCCAATGCTTTCTTTTTACTATATGCCGTCTAAAATACCACAACACAATTTCGTCGTCCATCGTGCACTCAGGTCTGACCTCGACTGAGATGAGGACTTGAGTCTGCGGTTTTCTCGCCGAATCCGGTCTAATATGAACACCTATATCCAGGCGCCGGTTTCCAGCAAAACCGCCCAGTCCGGCATAATGGGAACGCCTAAGAAATAAAAGAGGAAAAACAAACAAAAAAAAGACCAGGCAACAAAACATTGAATCATAGTGGGGGTTGTTGGCTTTTCTTAAAAGATTATTCGTGCGACTTACAGGACCGATTAGGGATTTCTGAGAATGTTTACCCATCTGAAAAAGCTACTCAAAAGCTTGCTATTTTTTGGTTCGCAAATAATCAAATCCATAGGGCGCGAAAGTGAAATTTTACAGCATTTTTATTCTCGCAAATAAGCGAAACGCGCGAATATCGAAGGATTACTGTATTGTATTGGTTAAGGTTAACTGCGTTTAAATTGATTCAGAACTGTATAAGAAATGTATTTTAAGGTTTAGAGGTCGGTAACTGAGAACAAAGCCCGTATCGAATTTCGTAATTCTGTTAATGTTACAAATTATGTAAGACGCCTAATAACATGGAGGCCAAATGTGGTTCGAGAATATAGAATATAAAATCCGCCTATTAATGACTATTTTAAGCTACGGTTATATAAGTTCCGTTGGGAAAATATAAAATGCAATAATGTCCGAGGATTCTTGGCCTTTTTGTATTTTTCTAGGCTTGGGGTTGTCGAAATCGAGTCGATCTCGTCGTCAAAAAGGGTCTCGCGATCGGGCCAAAATGAAAATGCTTACCTAAAGGAAAAGTTAGGATCTCGTATAACGTGGCGTGAAGCCGCGTCCTTGGGGGAAAAATAAGCACCGCTCGCAATCCACGGATCCCTCGCAGACGCGTCTTTCCTTCAAGAAAAAAAGCTGACCGTTTCCTGTCCAAAGCTGGAATAAGTTATTGTCGAGACCAGTTGCAACTTTGCAAGCGCGTCGGACGGGTCGGACGACGAATGGAAAGCTCAGGATCGACAAAAATGGCGACCGACTACTTAACCACCACCTTCTATATCGTAACGTTAACCGCCGCCACTTCACAACTCTCATACAACAGAATAAAATAATTAAAATAAAATAAAAAAACAGAACCTCGAGAGTTAATATGATCTTTACTCTTGCAAACCCTCATTAATAACAATAATAATTTGAACATTTATTAATTAGATATTATTAGAATAAAAGCTTAATTGTACTTTAGATTACACGTTGAATTTAATTTTCAAGTCGTTTTATTGATTGAGTAATATAATTGCATTTTTTATTATTTTAAATTTTTAAATCGACGATTATCGACTAGTGGCTATTGATTACATTTTTCGATGCTTCTCAAAATGCTTGTCTGCACTCTGCCGAGTTGCTGTTATACTTCGCGAAGTCACGTGGGGCTGTTTAAAGTGTTTACACTTTCCTGTTTTTTAATTTATTTCTTTTTTAATTACATAAGAGAGAATGGGTAAAGGGAAAAGGACGCGTTTGAAATACAAATACAGCCGTCTCGAGGATGATGGCGAGATGACGGTGACCGACAAACCAGAAGGTGATGGTGCATTGGATGGGCAGGACGACAATGAAGACGCAAAGATGACCGTGGACGAACCGGACAAAGAAGACGACAAAAACGAAGACGCCAAGAGCGTCAGGACTGTGATGTCCGTCTCCAAGAGTTACAAGTCCATCAAAAGGAGCATCGGAAGCACACTGTCCAAAGTTGACAAGAGGAAGCTGAAACACAACATCTTCATGAAAAGTAAACTTTAATTTATAACTTCTTTCAATTAATTAATCTTTTTATGTAAAGTTTTGGTCTAATTAAAAAAGCTAGTGTCACGAGCGGGATTCGAACCCACGACCTTCGGCTTATCAATTGAAAGAAGTAATTTGGTCAATCAGACCACTAAATATGATTGATTTAATTTATAATTTGATTTTTCCGGTTTTATCAAAACATGACTTTTTTTAATCCTTTCCCTTTATTGATTACAGATATAATACAATAATAAATCTACATAATTAATAATATATTTTAACTAATATTTTATTTTGATCAATTTTATTGTTCAAATAGCCTTATGTTTGAATTTAATTACAAAATAGTTCATAAATTTAATTACTAAGTTGAATTCAAATACTTATTACAATATACACTGACAGGCAAAAAATTCCACCCACTTGAAATATAACTTGATTTGTATATATTTTTTTATATTAATCAAAGTTTCACGTTTTTAAGTTTAGTAGCTGAGTCTTTGCCTAACAAAGTTTTTAAAAAATGTAAATTGCTAAAGAATATGAAAAAAAATTTAAATGAAAAAAAAGATGGACAGATAAAATTTGTTTTAGATTTTTAATTAACATTTCAATATCGCCATATTTCCTCCTCTTGCCTTAATTTAATCTTGAAGACGCCTCAGCATACTTTCTACCAGTCTGAAAATGTCTTTTTGCTTAGCCCATTCTCCACGAAGTCTGGAGAACGGGCTGGCCAGGCTAGACGTACGTTTGTAGTATGCGAGCGACATGTGGACGGGCATTATCGTGCATTAGAATAGGATTGTCGCTGATTTCATCGAGGATAGGCAACGCATGATGTTCCAAAATTTCATTAAACTTTCTGCGACTCTACATTGAAATTCCCTCCCACACCATCCTTGAGCTACGTTGAAAAGGTTACACTACACCAACTGTTGCATCAGAGTTTGCTATCATGGTGATACTTTTTGTCTTTGTCCCTTTTATTATTTTTTTTTTTTTTAATTTAACTTTATTTAAACTTTTGTACATAGTACCTTATAGTTGTGGCATAATGTTCAACGGCATCAAACAGTTCTTGGATGTTTAAGCTCAGCAGCTCCCCCTATTAATTATTTCATCACAGTTTATCACAGTTAATTATAGTTAGTTATATTGGTGTGTCGCTTGTGCTTGAGTCTGCGGTGTGGATGTACAGGAGGTAGGTAGTCCGGTATTCCTTGGATTTCTGTGTTTGGGTGGGACTGGAACTTGCTAAACATCTTCCGGTACGGTAGCTGTCTCTCAGTGCATGGTCCACTAGTGGAATGTCCAGCTCTCGGTGCAGTGTGGTATTTCGCACATACCAGGGGGCTCCCGTTAAAATCCGTAAGGCCCTGTTTTGAAATGTCTGGATTCTCTTAATTTGGCTGTTGGCTGGCGCTGAGGCCCAAACACCAGAGCCATATAGACATATGGGTCGAATGAGGGACATATATATTAGTCTTTTGTTGCTCAGACTAATAGATGGGCTCTTAAGTAGTGGTTTGAGGTCAATTAGTCTGCATCGTGATCTCTTTATATGTGTTGATGCCAAGTCAGCCTCCGGTCAAGAGTAACACCCAGATATTTTGTGTGTGTCGATTCACTGATATTCTTATTATTTAGTGCCAGTTGTTGTTCATTGGCTTTTTTCAGATAAGTGAACTGGACTAATTTTGATTTATCTGGGTTTAGCTTGACTTTCCACTTGTCCGCCCATTCAGAGACTTGTTGTACTTGTTGTCAGTGACTTGTTGCAGGGTCTGTTGTACCTCTGCGCTGGTTTCCCCTGTGCTCAATATAGCTCAGCAAAAAGTGCTGTCTTGACTGTTCCTGGGATTTGGAATGAGAGATCACTCACGCTCACCAAATAGAGGAGAGGCCCCCCCCCCTGTGGGACACCAAAAAATATGGGCTTTGGGTCAGAAATGCCATCCTGTACTTTGACACAGAAAGTTCTTTACGATAGTAGGTGTCTGGTAGGCTGTCTTTCATTTTTGCTAATAGTCCTATATGCCATACTCTGTCGAAAGCTTTCTCTGTATCAAGAAATAACCCCAGCGTGACTTTTTTATGTTCGAAGGCATCGAGGATGTTGTCAATTACCCTCTGGAGTTGTTGTGGGCAGGAGTGTCCTTCTCGGAAACCAAATTGATGATCTGGGATCAGTGGCTTCAGGTATTTCATGAGGGTCGGGAGAATTAGCCGTTCAAAAGTTTTAGCAACAATGCTAAGTAAACTTATTGACCGATAATTTTCCGGATTTGATTTGTCCTTTTGTGGCTTGGGGATCATCACTATGTGGGCAAGCTTCCACTTGGAGGGAAAATAAGTGGTCCTGAGCATGGCATTAAATATTTGGGTGAGCTGTACATTTGTCCCATTTTGATGCTCATTTCCTTCCACGCATCTTCTCTCTTGTTCTGATGAGTTTTATCTTTAACATCCCACAAAAATCGGTAGCTGTACATTCGGATAAGGTGAGGACTTGGGTGAGCTCGGTTGCATTTCTGGAGCCATCACTTTTGCAACGTACTTCGAAGTCGGCTTGAAATTGGCCTATTGACCCTAAACCCTTTTGTGGCTTAACATACTGCCAAAAACGCAGATCCATTAGACAATTAATAATAAGTCCTCTGCTCAATGGGAATGTAGCCTGGGTCGGAGGCATGCGAGAAAGTTTATCAAGGGACCATTGCAGAAACTAACGGCAGAACTACTAAATCTAGGACTTGTTAGGACTAGAATAATAGTCAGACTGCTAACTGAACATGCAGACCCCAGAGGCATATGTACAAACTCGGAGTGGCAAAAACCAGTCTGAGCAGATATTGCCAGGAAAAAGAAGAAACAGTTAACTTCTTTATAAGCCTCTGTACAAAAGCTTATGTGGGCTGTTTACTCCTGGTAGAGGAAAAGCCCAGGCCTGAAAGAAACACATGGGAATCCTTGAAAAAGCTTTGGGATCTCGTATAAAAGACTTAAGCTAAATGAGGAGCTCTAGAGAAAAATGGAAATGCACAATAGACCAACACTGGTCAAGTGTGCAAGTCTAAAAGAGGCCCTCTCCTCTAATATAATCTGGCAGCGATAGTAACTCCTGTTTCTGAACCCAAAAACAAATCTATACTTAATCATAGATATCGTCAAAGGCCTGATTCTCTAAGACCGTTTTTCGAAAAATTACTCTACATGGTCTGTGGGGTGATGAATCTGTAATTTGGACATTACCAATTATCTTGCAGGGATGCTTTTCATCATCTTTATGGTGAGAAATCGAAACAAGTTGATGGACCAAACTAGCAAAGATAGGCTGACAAAAATGATCAATAAAATTCAAATTAGACGTTCATCATCCTGTACACAAAAAAAGTATAAAAACGATCTTAGAGAATACTATTGGCTTTTGACAATATATGTATATCCAAGCTTGAGTTTATTTATATTGTCATTGATCACTATAACAATTTTATCTACAGATTTTTTTTTTTATGTATAAACAGTTTACAAAATTTTTGCCATCGCTAAAACCAGGAGGCTTCTTTAACCTCATTAAACATTTTGAGTTTTACATTCACAGAAATTCATTTGATTGGCTGTTTGTTGTTATTTTATACTATTTTATTCACTAATTACTATTTGTGTATGATTGTTAATTTTTCCTTATTAAAAAAAAAATTCTATTTTTAGAAGTAGAGATCAATCATGAGTTGTTGAAGCTGAACAAGAAGGGGAAAAAAGGCGACAGCATTCTTCCAAGTACCATAGCCGAACTCGATAATCTTTTGCCGTCTGCGAACATGTTGCATCATCAATCGCAAACGCACAAGGCAAAAGAGAAGGATAAGTTTGCAAAATCCGTCAACAAAAAAATCCGAGGCATCAAAAAGGCCAAGGATCGACTTAAAGACATGTTAGTTCGTGACACATTTTGCGTTTGTTTCCTTTACGTTATATGTTTATCTAATATGTTCTTTCTTTGTAGGCAGATGAATCTTGATGTGTTTAAATCAGCTTTGGCAGACTCGAAATATAAGAGCTGCCCTTTGGATGTAGTCACAGAATCGATCCAAGACAGGGTTTTCAACCAAGCTGTTTAAAACGACATTTCTTATTGTAAATATAAATTCTACCGTTATGAATCCATTAAATATATTTATGTTTGTATATAATTTTGTCTGTAAATATAATATATAGGTTAGAGCAGTGGCGTATTGAGCCAAAGGTCGTGGGTTTGAATTCTGCTCGTGACATTAATTTTTTCATCTCACCAAGACATTAGATTAATTAATATGGTCAATTATGATTGCTAAACATATATGATACATAGTTTTATATAATTTGTTACAATTTTTTTCTTTATTGTCAAAAAAATGTATATTCACTTAAATAGTTCTAATGTTTGGTACATTTTTCTTTCTTCCACTGCACACTTTTTCATCCCCTGTGCTTTCTTTCACATATGCACATCTTCAACACACGACTACACACTTTATGAGGCAACACTAGAAAATTATGGTTAACTAATTTAAATTTACTAGCCGTATATGAGCATCCAAGAAAAAAAAAACTATGAAAATGTACAAACAATGTAGTAATTTCCCCTATTTTGGTGGAGTTGAGCTGAGACTTTTCAGGAACTGTTGAGTTTCCTCTTGTGTACCTAGCACCAGTGAGAAAAAGAAACAGTTCCAACGAATAGATTTCTATCTTGGTACATGACTGATAATTTTATTTATAGAAAGAATATAACTCATAAAACTACACAGTTCCGATAGTCCCGGTGGATCTGATGTGAATCGAAAACTAAGCTTGCATGTTCCACTTGCCAAAAACAATCAGCAACACAATATTCTTTTAAAAAAAAAAAAAAAAAAAAAAAAAACCCAGATTATGACAAAGATTTGATTTAAAGTGTGCGATTAAACCATGTATATATTTAGTAGCAATAATTGGCCCTATTAATTATTTTAATTAATTATACTTTTAAACTAAGGTCTTGGTTGAGATTAAAAAGCAAGTGTAACGAGCAGGATTCGAACTCACCGAAGATCGTATGTGACACTTGCGATTTCATCTCAACCAAGACCTTAAATTAAAAGTAAATTAATTAACGCAAAAATGAAGTAGACCTAACATTTACGTACTCACAAATTAGACAGAAAAGTTATTGGAAAACCGACTCCCCAGGGAAAGGATGTTATAGGAGCAAATTTAATTCTTAAATAATTTTAAAACCTATGATAATTGTTCATTATCTTTTGTTTGTTTTAAAAAATATTTATTTTCATTTTACATCTATATGTACTACATAATTACAGGTACATGAAGTAAATTATAATTAATTTTCAAGTAGTGTGATACTAATGATGGTGGTATTAGGAAACGGTGTTTGTGCTCCCCTTCTAACCTCATTTTTCCTTTCGCAAAAAGTACTCTTCTGGCTTCAGTAGAGATAAACATTCTGTGATCACTCTATTTCCCACCTCCATTTTATTTAAACAAACTATTCATATAAATTAGGCATTTAATAGACTTAAGAAAAATATTTCAAAATTGTATTTTACATTAAATTGTTGTTGGCATCAACTTCACAAAAATGTTTACAAAAAATAAATATATTAGGTAGAGCAGTGATTACCAAACTGTGAGTCGCAGCCGTGCTACAAGTGCGCTGTGAAACTCGAACCCACGACTTTCAGCTTAATATGCTGCTGATCTAACAACTTGAGACTTCTCTGACAACTTCAACCCTCTTCATTCTTTCAAACTGAATTTATCCGAATGGCGGACCAAGGGGAGGAGAACAATTGTCTATAAGAAGGGAAAAGAAAATAAAGTACACGGTTCACCATCATGAATCATATTACAGGGTAGCTGGATACATTGTAGACAATTTAGAAAAAAAATTACTGATGAGTCATACCTGTCATTGAATTGTTATTTAAATTTGTATAATAAACTTTAAATTAAAAGATAAGATATTTAAGTTTATAATAAATTGAATATTTTATTACTTTATCCTAATAGATTATCAAAGCCTATGAATTCTTATTCAGACATTGTGAGATGCAGTCTGGTGTGATGTAGGTTTCAGAAAAACATTTTCTTTATCGTGCCAACGTTTCGATCTTTATTGAGATCATTTTCAGGGCTCAAAGTGTTTTCCGTGTAAATGTGCCATTCTTGAGAGTGTCCACTCAACTATCGAAGCTTGTTGTAGGGCATACTGGATATTTTTGGAATTGAATCGGAGTCACAGATTACAGGCCTTTAGTATCACTTTGTCAACGTTGTGAAGACCGTTTTTCAATTTACCTATTGGAAATTTTTTATAATTTTTTAGAAAATATTTTTTTTTCGTTAGATATATAATAGTAAATGTAATTAGAGATATGTACACATGTCTTCTTAATTCATCTTTTGATTATATACAGGTTTTCGATTTTCTGTGCCCCCCACTCCTCATCCTTACCACGTATAATGTAGATTTTCCTGTAATATCTCTTTTTACTTGAAATAATCAATTTGAACACAGCTCTTCTTTCTTTTGTTTTAATTATTTAAATTTAAGTGTGACTTAAAGACCAAAAATCTATTTTGAACTTTTTCAAGTTGATCAATGTGTTACAAATAGCATGAAGACCGATCTATTTTAGAGTTCAACTCTAAAATAGATCTAATTAAAGAAAAATACAATATTTTAAATCTAGAACGTTGGTTACGTTTTTGAACTAAGCATACCATTTAATTTTTATGCAATACATTTCAGTTGCTAATGCATTTCGGGACAAGTCCCTGGTCCCTTTTCAGAGCTATCTATTGGCTAAATTGAATTTTTTTTACACTTATTATTGTTAATGTCATTAGAGCTCCTTTTTAAAGAACTTAAAATTTTTAGACTCTTCTCTATGTTCGAACAACTCTCTGTCGTCATAAAAAAATCATAAGAAAGGGAATATTCCATTTCCAGAGAACAATTGAAAAACGCATACACGACTCTATTAGAGCCAACTTTGCACCCATCTAACGGTAGTTAAAATATTTCATGTTCTAAACTAGTTTTAAACATGCACGGGCATTGCTAGAACACCAAACAGCTTGCAAACTGTTCTGGTTCTGTACTGAATTGAAAAGTCAGTTCCATACTCTGCAATATTGCACATGTGGGTGTAAGTTCCGAGGAATGAACCTTACAGTATTTTCCACTCTAAAAAAATTTATAGTACGGCATAGTTGATATTCAATAGAAGTAACGTTCTGATGCGACGACGTAGGCAGTTTGGTTCTTGCATCAGAACACAATTCGAGGGAGAATTAACCAATTTAAATAATTTGATAACAAGCAATTTCACATATTCAAGGGTATACTTGATATCATTTATGAAAATAAATAAAGCAGCCCATACACGCTCAATATTATTGCACAATGTGGGTTGCACAATATTTTGACGGAGGCCCTACACTGCTCAATATTATTGCACAATATTTTGATTTGTGCAATAAATTGTATCGTATGCAGGCAATATTGATGGTTGTGCAATATATTGCACAATCGCGAGCACAGACGTACAACAACCTTCAAGGCAATATATTGTGCAATTAGTTCCAACCAGCATTTCATGTAGTGAAGTCATGTTGAGTGATAGTGATTTGTGTTGTGTGATTATCGCTGTGGGTGCCAGTGCGAAAAAGAAGAAGAGCTCGCAAAAAGGCAGACAAAAAACTATGCCAAGTAATAAGAAACAAAATAGTTGAAACAAAAAAAAGTTTAGCGAAAAAGGCTCTTGTATCTTGGGGTGAGGGTTCTCCCTGATAAACGTCAATGAATTCGAAAATGAATTGCCTATCAGCTTCCTTGGCAGCCATGACGACGCGTACTCTACCACCTGCTGATACTGACTGATGGGATATTGCGCAATATTGCCTACAGACAGCACAACCTTTTCCCGTTTGCACAATATATTTTCAAGGATTTGAATTTAGCACAATATATTGCACAACCTTTCAATTTCGACTACACACGATCAACTATATTGCACAAACCTAAATATTGCGCAATAATATTGAGCGTGTATGGGCCGCTTAAGAATAAGGGACTCACGAGGCACATATTTGTTCCATTTATCAAATATACCGTTTAGACATATCACGGTGATGAACCTGCAGTTTGGCATTTCCAACAGTATCAGCCTGTCTGTTCTCACCTGGTTTGGCTTTTTGCCATCTTTATATTTTTTCTCCTAATACCACAGACTTAATAAACATAAACTAAATCCAGTAGCAAAGATAACGAAATGCTGAAGCACTTATTAAAAAATCAAAACAGTGAAATTAGGCAGACCAAAATTGATCTTAAATTTACGAACTCCGCAAATTAAACATACCAATAAACTGCATGTTGTATTGCCCCTTATGGTGAAATTGCCAGGTAGAAAAATAAAAAAAAATTGCACAATAAAACACAATACATGAATAATTTGTTGATTATCGATCGAACATTTTCACTCTTATGGTAAGTTTACAATTCAATTAAGTTTTTAATTTGATGGTAAAACATAGGAAAGGTGCTATAAACCAGGTATTCAGTGGTGGTTTAATTTATTCAGAGATAGACGTTCTGGGCTATAAAACCCATCTTCAGAATTCCAGGCGTAGAATTCCGAGATATGACAAACATCATTTAAGCTTCACAAAATGAGATAAATGGTAGAGTGAGTTCAGTTCTTCAATCTTTTTTAAAAAAGTAGTCCCTACTCACAGTTACTTGTTTTCAACCTGATGTTGAGCTATTAGCTATAAGGATCGTTGAAAACACCTAACTGTGAATAGGAACTATCTTTTTAAAAATTGTTAAAATTCATGTCAAAGTTATGTATAAAACAGAACAAGATTACCTTAAAGTGGGTTCATGGACATGCTGACAAACTAGCCAAAAATGGTCAGCCTCTGAACTGGACCAGAACCAACAACTAACGCACCAGAGTGTGTGTAGATGGAACCGGAAAAATGGACTGATAAATAAAACTCAAACACTCAAGAGATTTATAAATTTTTTGAAGAAGTTAAAAGTGTTTCTCTTTCAGGCAAAAATTGAGGATACCTTTTTAACTAACACTGAAAGGTAAATATCACAGAGTTAGCTTGAGATGGAGATTAAGACAAGAAGGTATACAAGGAAACAAATAGGATGACCAAGTAGCCAAAGATTGGGCAGCCCTCTCTCATGGGACTGGAACCACAACTAGACACACTAGAGAGTGTGTTAAATTTGGACTGGAAAAACTGACTTGAGAAACAAACCCAACCACTGGGTAAAACCACCAGGTATACCCAGTACCACCACCGCAAGCCTGGAAATGTATAAATCTCTCAAAACAGAAGGCGAATGAACTCTCTGAGCAGGCAGGATTTGAGGAGAATTATAAACCTCTATACAATACCATCCACTGCCCCTTAACTATCATCTTAAGAAGTTGGGCAAAGCTGAGATGGAAACATGCTGGCTGTCAGGAGGACCAAGAAACAACGGCACATATCCTTTGTGAATGTAAAGCATCAGTTTGTTTACGGTACTTCAGAATAATATTTCTCATACCAAAGGAGATCCACGAAGAGGCACCAAGAAAAGTGCTCACTTTTATAAGGAATAGAACTCTTTCTAAGGTACCCGTTTAGGACAATCAATTAAGGTTTTTAGTTGAAATAAAAAAGTCAATGGCACGAGCGGGATTCGAACCCACGTCTTCAGCTAGATACGCTGCTGCTCTTCCACTTGAGCTATCGTAACCTCGATCCTCTCAGACACCAACTTCCCATCTCAACCCCACCTTTTGAATTTTCCCTCCTTTTTGCCATTTTTCAAATGTCGTGTAATCGGATTGGATTCTCGACGACAAATGAAATGGCCACGGAGAGCTTTAGTGAAGTATACNATTTATTCAAAGTATTTCTACTCACTCAAAGTATTTGTAAACAATGTTTGTAAATCCCAGGCCCTGAAGATGATCTCAATAAAGATCGAAATGTTGGCACAATAAAAAAAATGTTTTTGTGAAACCTACTTCACACCAGACCGCATCTCACGATTTCTGAATAATTATCGATTAATGGTCACTAATCACCTATGAATTCTGCTATAGATATTTCTCAACTATTGCCTTTTAAGAATTGGTTGTTATAGTCAAAGAGAATCAATTTTCAGTTCATTTATTTATCCCTAAATGCCAGCTATTGTATATACAAGTTTTGAATATGCAAATTTCGTATAATTTTTCATTTCAAGTGTTTTCAGTTCAAGAGCAATGGTGATTGAGCAAAAAGTCGTGGGTTTGAATCCTGCTTGGAACACTCATTTTTTCATTTCACCTAAGACGTTAGTTAAAAAGAATAATTAATTGAAATAATTAAATATGTTCAATTATGACTGCTAAACACATATGGATTGATTATTAATTGTTGTTACAATTTTTTTTTTTTTTAAATTTTAATGCTTTATTTTAAAAAAATAATTTATTTTCATTTTACATCTGTACATACATTACATAATTAATTAAGGTACATAAAACAAATAATTCATTTTCACGAAGTGTGCTTGTCTGGCTTTGGTAGAGACAAACATTTTGAGAATGCTCCATTTTATTTAAACTATTCAACTAATTAGGCATTTAGCGCATTTAAGAATGACAGTTCAAAATTATTGTACAATCAACTTGTATTTCATCCTTGACTCCATACAGAGAGCTTGCAGGAATACCACCTGATTTGAGAATTGTACTTGAGCACGGCAGCAAGTATTTGGGTCCCCTGTTCCGATTCTTAGACGAAAAGGGATTGTTTTAATAATAGTTGTGTATACCTAGTATATGTTGAGAGGGAATGCATTTATTTGTGTGATGTGACAAGATCGATGGTGGAATGTCGAGTACCCCATCGACCCTCAATTAGGTTAGTTGTATAATATACATAAAGTTTGTGTTGATAGATAAATAAATTATATAGGAGCGGGCCTCTTTACGACTTGTTCACTGTGATCTGTATTGGTCTATTGTGCATTTCCATTTTTTTATCTAGAGCTCTTTGTTAAGCTTGACGCTTTTTACCATACCCCAAAGCCTTTTTCAAGGGCTTCCGTGTTTATCCTTCATGCCCTGGCTTTTCCTTTCCCAGGGTTAAGAATCTCATTCTACATAGGCCTTCGCACCAACTGAGGAGGTGTTCACTGTTGAAGGCTGCTGGAGCCTGTCTCTGCATTAGCCTATGAATTGTGCCTCCAGTCTCTCCCTGTATAAAGGTGTGGTAGTAAATTAAGGATTGCAAATGCAATCGTGCGGAAGTTTATAGTGAGAGTGAATGTGTTTATTAGCATGTGTGATGTGAGAGGGTTGATGGAATATTGAGTACCCCATCGACCTCATTTAGGTTAGCTGTATAATATACATAAAGGATGATGGAGGTATATCGAGTACTCCTACTACTACTAATTGAATGAATGGTATATAAATAGGAGTGAATGTATTTAAGAATGAACATGAATATGAATGGGTTTGGAACTGCATACGCTAGGTGCTGAATTGACCTAGCTGTTGACAGCACCCCACCCTGGAGCCCAACTTAGGTGGCTGGACAGATAAGACTGAGGTCTGCCCCCGGACTGCCAACGCCCAGGTGTGTTATTGTCAAGTCTGCCTGAAATTTACTGTACATAGCAAAAGCTGGAACTGCCAGTGGACAATGATAAGCGAATAGGCCCAACTCGGCACATTCTTGTATTTATATAAATACACGTGCGGATTTGGGCCTATATAAATCCAAATTCAACTTGAATTTTACGTTAAATTGTCTACCAAAGTATTAAAAAAGTAGGTGCAGGAAATTGGATTTGCCCTAGTTGGGTTCGTATGTAACCGACACCGCTCGGCCATTTTCGTTCAGGTTACTACTGAGTACTGCCAGTGCAGTGCCCACTGCCCTACGGCCTACAGTCGACAACTTCGATACCAGTGGAGTCGATGGTTAGTGATGTATAGACACTAGTGCTGTCGACAACTATAATGTGTCTGTGCGTGTCGAAAGTTCGAAATTGCTAAGTCAACTTAGTACTTTTTCAGAAAGCTATCGCCCATCACGTTCACGGACATCGTAACTTTCCTCGAACGTAAATTTTTTGTGTTGACCATTTTCAACAGAACTGGCAACACCCCGGAGAACCTTCTTTCCTTGGTAAACACGGGAGCAAGTCAAGAAAATAATGCCTCCACGAAAGAGACCCGAAAAGCTATTAGATTTATGCAAATCCTTTATAAATTATTATATAATTAAATTGATTGTTTATATTCAGAGACAGCACGGTGATGGGAGTCTGACAAGCAACACAAAACTAAAGTTGATCCAAGATCATCTGTCAACGAATCTACTTCCTTCGATGATGGACGAACTTTTGAAGAGTGTCGACACGTCAAAGTTTCTCACTGAGAGTGTTAAGCTTATGATTTTGAAAGTGTACATGCACAGAGATATGGTGAATTTCCAAGCAGCGTTCCGTTTGCCTAACGCCGACTCCTTTTATGAACTCCAGTTGATCGATCTTAAGAAACTTGTAACGGTCAATCTGAGGATGGTGTGTACTGATGAGATCCTCGAGGTAATTGGAAAGAATTGCCCTCTTCTTGAGTCTGTCGATATTGTGTCGAAAATAGGCAGTGAGTCTAACAAAACAAGAAACCAGTTGAACGCTCTCAAGCTGAAGTTTTATGTGTCGGACGAAGGCTTGAGTCATCTTCACAACTGTACAAAATTGAAACGCATTATTATGAACACTATTATACGTTCAAACTGCGGAGGAAGAAAAATCACTCATGACAGGATACGAGGTTTGTTAACTTCCCTCCCAAACTTACAGTACATTAACTACTCCGATATGGGTTTTGTATTGGAGAGCTTTGATAGAAATTACACCCTGAACCTTTTGCAGCTTCATGACAATCACACGAATCCTGATCATATACGACTGTTTGCGGAACATTGTCCAAAACTAAAGCACCTCTGCCTTGTACTGCCTACTACTAACAGCGATATAAACATGCCAGAAAGCTGTTTAGATTCCATGGCAAAAAGTGATTTGAATTTATTTTCTCTTGCCTTGGGGATGTTCCCCGTTGGGCAGAACTTTGTCAATTATCTCAAGGTGAAAGGTAATTTCTTAACAAGTCTTTGTCTGGTCCACAATTCAACAATCACTTTGAACGTAATAATGATGGTGAATAAATACTGTTCCAATCTGAAACACCTCGAAGTGTGTAGACTTGTTCCAAGTAATGAACAATGTCATGAAAATGTCAAGAAATCATTCAAGAACCTGTTAACGCTTAAAATTGTCGGAACTCGTTGGGATCCATATATAATTTTACCTCTTTGCCTTTTTGATTCACCACGACTTGAAGAGATAATACTGGTGAATGAACACTATGACAAACATGTCGATGATATATTTGTTGCTCTTATGAATAAAAACAATTTGTCTTGTGTTAAGAATCTTTCGATTCTTGATGGCTTCATTATCACACTTGACACCCTTGTAAAATTGGTCTTACGATGCGAAAATGTCAGTACTATCAAATTGTCTCCAAGTTGTGGCTATGAAGAGTACTTAAATGTGATAAAAGTAGAAAATAATCTCGATTTCACTGTCTCGGCTGAATCAGTTAGAAATTTTGCAGATTGCCTGTGTTAAGTTACACCTATTTCAAAGCACAATGATATTTAAATTTCAAAAAGACCATTTAATGAAATTAATATACATATTTTTATGACTGTGATATTTAATAATTGATATTTTTTGTGATTTTACATGTCTATTGTTATTGCCATTATAGGCCACAATTGATCTCTATCTCTAGTGTAATTATACAAAATTTATAAATTTTTATTGTATTTTTAAGCACACTTGTTAGTAATCTTATACTATTGTACACGTTTTAAAATTATTATCTTTATTGTATTGCAATAAATTTAAAAAACCATGATAATTACCTGTAAATAGATAAAATAAATTCTATTAATTGTTATTGAATTTTTTATGAGTCATTAGCAAATGATTTTTTTTATCCAAGTTGTTTAGTAAATGTGAAACACAACAGGAAATGATTCAAGAAAAAGAAAATAACAGGAAGAGCCTTTACTATTTAGCAAAAATACATTTTGTGTTAACAAGGATTTACTTAATACTAAATCATGTATAACTAAAATATAAACTAATTTATCTTGAAGTACAAAAATATTTTTTGCGTATTTCATTTTTAAAATGTAACATATTGAATTTCACTGAAAACAAAGAATATAATTTTAATTTGATCACAATAACAACATATAAATAAATTTTTGTTACAATAAATACAAATAAAATTAAAAAATATGAAAACTTTTTTTTCACTTTTAAAAATATGTGTATCCTTAATAAGAGCAATCCTAGCACTATGCAATCAATACTTTTTGATATATACATATTTATTTTATTTTTATTTTTTTTATTCTGAGATCAAATGTCTTCGCAGCAAGTTGTTTCCTATCCTATTGCACCTAAGGTGCCTAACCTAATGTGAAAATTGTTAACTATTAAAAAAAAAAAAAACGAACAAAAATATCAAAACAATTATCACAGTAATATACAAATTAAAATTTAATATAAACTTTATTCATAATGAATTAACCTCTAGAAGAAAAGTCGTCTTTTAATTTTAAGAAAAAAAAATTAAATTAAACTTGTTTTAAATGACCAATAAAATGAGATAAATTAGAAAGCAAAAATTAATGCCCAAACAATATTCCAGGTACAACTAAACAACTTTAACCATTATAGCTTTTTCTCTACTAACGCTGACATTACCTAACTTTAAAAAGAGCGGTATCACAAGTTTTGCTTGTTTTTTATAGGTTAACAGTTGTCACAGTCAAACGTTTGGTCATATTTTCCATATCGTATAAAAAGTAAGTTTGGCTAGGTTTGCGTTGGACAATTGGTTTTTGTTTCTCTTTAACCATAAATTAACAATAAAAATCTCATATCTAAAGAAAATAGTTTTCAATGCCCTTTCAATTAAAAATAGATCATATGCAAACTTTTTTTGCATTTATTTTTTAATAATTTTAATGGAAAACTATATAACCTCTAAGTAATAGTTTTAACAATTTTTTTTTTTATTGTTCTACAGACTAGTTGACAATCAAAAGCCTCAATAAGAACTAAAATGATTTCTTTTTCTCAAATCATCATTATTGCTTGGAGGAAACACAGATGAACGTAAAATGACTAAGTGACTAATTTTAATGTTATAAATAATATTAGAATATACATACATATTTTGTTTAAACCCATAATGTTTAATCTAAAAACGAATTAAATTATATTTCACGTTTCGACACAGACTATTCTCTGTACACACTTTTTTGAACAACACAGTAATTAATAGTTAAACAAATTTTTTTATCACCAAAAAATAAACTAGTAAATTAAAAGATTTATAGTTTGAATTTTTAAAAATGTGGATACGAAGGATGGTCACAAATTTAACAGCAATAAATAAATATATTTTTAACATGAAAATATCAAATGGTGAGGTATAGATACATGTATTTCTAAGGTTCAATATAAACAAGAAATGTTTATCACAGATTTAGCAACCATAAAGATGTTCGGTACATTTTACAAGGCAGACTTTAGGGTGTGAAGATGACATTATTGTTCTACATACACATATTTTTTTTCTTTTTGTGTTGTTTTTTTACAATTGATAAGTATTTTGTACTGAAAATTTATTTACAGCGAAAACGTCTTTGTTATGGTTGGTATTGTACCTTGATTACTAGAGGTGCAAGTCGGTGGGATATCTCTTTGTGAAGAATTTGAACACTGCTGTTCATGATATTCCTGAAAATGAAATATTGCAAATTATACTATTTTGTTGAGGTTGTGCTGTTTTCATTACAAAAAAACTGGGGTTACAATAAATGCTTAAGCCCCCCCCCCCAGCATGTACAGAGAGGAAAGGTCGACCATGGGATAAATGGAAGCACTGATACAAGAAGAGTACAGATAAGAAGACGACGACGGAAAAAAGTTATGTCTGTCAGGTCAGAGTAGAGTGACAAAGGAAAAAGTGCTGGATTTCCTCCTTGTGAACAACCGACAACATCCTGGATCATGAGCAGGACAGATACTCGAAGCAGATTTGGGGCTGCCATGAGGAAGACAATTTTTCAAGAAACGAGTCGTCCAGTATGCCCGAATCGATAAGCAGGGAGAAGATGTCAGTGGGCTGTCAGATTTTCTATTCTAGGACAAAAAAAAGCTCTCAGGGAAATACATTGGAGGAACACCAAGAATTTTTTTTTATGTGCGTGAACTGTAATAGATTTTAAGTAGATGAGCGTTTTATTTATTTTTGTTGCTAGATTTGTAGTTATGTTAGTTTTTGGTGCTTTGTTGGTTAACCACAATCATTAGATTTATTTAATTTAGTTAACCAATAAGAAAATTTTCTATTGTTCTAATAAAGGTTTTATTATTTTTTATATAATTTGAGTGTTTTATTTTATTTACTTTTTTAGTTGAATAAAAAAATCCTTCAAGTGGTCAACTAGGCACTCAGGGTGAGTTGGAATCTTTAAATTTGGGTTTTTCTTTTTTCCCTTGGACTGGGGAGTTTGTTTATTTATTTTTTTTTTTTTTTTATTTATCTTAGATTCCTTATTCTTCATCTTGGTCATTCTATTTGCTAAATGTTATTTGTTGTTGTTGGCGCCAATGTTTTTACTGATTTCTTCTTTTTTGTTCCAAGAATTTTTTAATTTATTTGACCCACTCCCGTTTCCGCTGAGCAATTGGGGATTCTTTTGTTGGTCAATTTTTGGCCATAACAATGCGACGATGAACTTGTAGGTTCTGGTCAAACCCAGGAGATATTAAATGCGCTTGACAGGTTGCAAGACTGATCAGAAATGACCATTTACATTCCTAACAATGATCATATTTTTCGGAAACAAAGTTTTCTTGACCTATCTCATCATCATCCTCATACCTATTTTGATTTTTTTTACTTTTAAACTAACTTTGATTAAATATATTTTCTCCCCATGGCCACAAATTTTAATTATAATGTACTCTTTTAGAAGTATATTTGTGAAATAAATTTATTTTTCACATGTTTATTGTACATCCAAGAGTAAATGAAATTTAAAACTACCATTAAAAATGAGGTGATAAAATTTGCAGTCACATATGCTACTCCATACATCAATTATGGTTTCAACGTTTTTTTCCTGGTAAAAAGTACACACTAAGTACTGAATTTACAAGAATGTAATAAAAAAAATTCCAACCAGCATGTGGATCATGGATGTCCTCCAGTGAATTACATGATTAATTATTAAATATAACATTATTAAAAATGTATTACAGGTTTCGTTTTTAGTCCTTTTAGAAGTAACAAAAAAAATAGGGAGAAGCTTTGGGTCTGTATACTTTGATAAAAGCAAGTGTTCCAAAATTGACTTGTTACTTCGAATTTGATGAATTTAAAGAAAAAAAAAATTATTATCATGTGAAAACAGACTAAATCAGTGAGGTAGGCAGACAGGATGATCATAACAAATCAAACGACAAATTAAATGTAGCATGGTCGTTTCTGATCATCCTGGTCCACTTATCCATGATTTATTCAATGAAACAAGCAACTTACTTGAAAACAAGGTACAATACAAAGATTTGTCTGGCACTCGGGGCAGTGATATTTTGTTTTTCTTCTTAATATTCTTCCATGGGTGTCTATCGTGTTCCAACAAAAATTACATCCCAAAGCAGGCCCAGGCCTTAAAACTGGACAGTGGCAAGATCTCGATGCTTCGCAAATTTCGCTCGGATTTAGACACTAAGAATTAAAAGTGAAAATTATTATGAAATTAGCGCATGTAACGTTTCAATTATACCTGAGGATTTAAGACAGCCCTTCGCAATTCTTCGACATTGAGTCTTTGCTTTTGAGGCTGCTGGTGAAGAGTCACTTCAGTCGTCCCAGGCTGGCTAACTGCAGTTGGTGTAGGGGTCGTCTGAACAGGCTGGGATGTAGGTGCAGGAGTTGTGGTTAAATGCGGGCTCGAATTTTGTTTTATCAAATAACTTTGCTGGGGCACTGACAGTAAGTTTGGTGTAGGCTCTGAGTACTGACGTTCTATTTTTGGAGAATCGCCATCACCTTCTAACTGTGACATTTCACTTTCTTTTTTAATTCGGTGCTGGCGCATTAATAGGCGGCCCCTTTTAGAACCCATGGATGGTGTCACAAGCGCTTCAACAACTGGAAATTAAATTAAATTTCATTGACAGATTTAAAGTTGAAACATTTCCAGTTTTCAAACACCAAAAATTTTACTATTTTATTTAAATATGGAAATGTAACCATTCCTTAACAATGGTTCATTAAGTCATGAAATGCAATCATTGTGAGAGTGATACTTATAAATAATATATTGTGAATATGCTAAAATAATTTCTCAGAAGGGAGGATACCTTGTCAAGTATTAAAGCTTTCTTTCATATCACTTTATTTTTGTATATACAATCAACTATAATTTATTATTATGAAAAGTTTAGTAAATTTTTATTAAAACATTTTTCTTAGATATTTAACTTACACTAAACCATCATATTTAATAAATACAACATATATTTTCCTTAATGGAACATTTGGTGCAAAATTACATTGATATTATTTAGATATATTGATATTCAAGAGGTACTAGCAGCTTAAAAGTTCACAGTGATATCTTGGCCACTTTGTTAGCTACGCAATGTTGCGACTTATCTTTCAAATGTGAAATAGTTGGATGGACTGGACATTTCTGCTGAAGAAGGGAAGGCTAAATTATTGATATTGGCCAAAGAACTAATGACAAAGGAATGCCTCAGAATTTTTTTTAAGAGCGTAATCATAACAGTGCTTGCAGCAATCTCGATAGAGAGCCTCTAAGACCATATAAGCATTACAAAAACCCAAACCTCATGATCAATTTATAACCATCTTGCTTCTGCCATGGCTGACACAAAGTTATATAAATTTTAATTCAAAAACACAGAAATAACAGACAAAAAAAATTAGCCGCAAAAGCTTTAAACAAAAGATTAAGTAGCCAAGCCAAGCCACATTACAATTAAGACAGTACAAAATTACATCCCAAAGCAATTGTTGTAGAGATATTTTCGAAGTCCTCCAACACCACAAAAGAAAAATTATTGCTGCCTTGGTACAATTATACAATGATCCCTAGTTTTTTCAGGCCACTAAAGGAAAATTAAGTCAATAATAAATTGATATGATCAATTCATCAAAATAAAGTTTAAACGCATTTCTTATTATTCAATGAAAAAGGCCTGGATAAAATTTATGAAAGAAGTCATGTTTGAAAATAAAGTCAGAAAAATTAGAACTTTGGCACCAAAAAAGTAAAGTACTGGATAGGTAATGAGGTATTTTGTTTACAGAGGTATTTCGAAGGGTCTTATACAGTAAACTAACATTTAAAAAACAATACTAGAGTGACGTATGAGATCTAAAATAACTAATCAACTATAAAAAAAATATACTAACAATATAAAAAAAGAACTTAAATTTTAATTTGATGCCTACTGATCATCTTGGTCTGTCCTATCCTTGCTTGATTGATTTGTCGACTGTATCGGCATGTCTCCATTTAGTGCAGAAATTATGAAGATAAAATGAGAACTAACGAGGTAAAATGATCGGTAATAACCAAAACAGAAGAAAAGTTTCTACTGAAGAGGCAAAGAAAAGCTTGGTCAAAAAAATGGAGGCTAATAAAAAGCCTCAAGCTAGAGGCCCAACACAGAAATTGGCGAAATGTCAAAACACAACAAACCAACCCAATGAAAAGACAAATCAAGATGATCAGTAATGACCAAATTATACGTTCATTGCCTGCAGACCTCAAGAGGAAAACTCATGAAACTGCAAATATACTTCCTAACACTAGTAACGTATGTAAAAAATTAAAAAACATTGTTGTTAAAATATTCATCTCATTCACTATTAATTATATAAAACACACAATAAAAAAATTAAAAAAAGAAAGATTACAGCTGTATATGTTCCACTCAATCAAAGCTAATAAAAATGACAGTTATTTTCAAAGACTAGATTATATCTTTTATGGGGCATAAAAAATAGTTCCAGATACGGCAAAGCTCTATAAAATAAAACCATTATCATATTAACATAAAGTAATAAAGTCTTTAATAGAAAAATACATTTAAAAAAAGCTATTGAAAAAACATTTCTGAACGGAACATTGAATTTTCAACAGTATCAACTGCAGGTATTTGTCACAAGGGATTGTAATTGATAAAGGGTTGATAATAATCATATGAATTTATGTGGGAAGTGGTGGTTTGAGATGGAGGCTGTGATATCGAGGGGGATACGAGTTTAATTTTCTGTACGGTACAAGCATGGTCCAACGAGGCGACTTTCTGTTTGGTCATCGCATTGTTTGGATCATTGTAACTGGCGCGCGACTTTGTGCTAGGCCTCATTATCGGGTAACCTCTCTTTCTATACTCAAGCCACAATGTACGATTGTTCACTCCGTAGAGTTTTGCCGCTTTACAGAATCCAAGTCCTCCCGTTCGCACAGCCTCTAAAGCGGCAATGAAGTTCTTGTCCTGCTGTGGGTTGATGGATCTTTTCCGGCGGTTCTGTGTATAGAGCTGCTGGTAGTCAACCCCCGACAGGACGTTGCAGCCTTCGTTGTTCATCCATCCTAACCCCAGGCACCACATACATACACAATGTTAGGACAGGAGAGATCACCTTTCTACATTTTTACATGCACATTCAAAGTAAAATTGAACAAAACTTTTAATATACTTTCTAGCTCAAGTGTTTCCAGCAAATTTAAAAAAATAATTATATCCATTTGATAATCTATTTCAAAAAGAAAATCAATACTATTCTAATATTATTGCTCAATTCTATTGTTTCAATTCAAGAACAAGATTGGTAAATCAAACAGATATATCAATGAAATAAGCAGTTGGATTTATCATAGTTAATTACTTATTTACCTTTTACATGATGTAAACATTTGAATTAACAAGCTTCGTTATGTAAATGTTAAACAGTTTTCAACAATTCACAATTATATTTCATCAAACCATTAATTTTATGTTTCATCATTAAAGCAATAAATAATCTGATAAAATACGATCATTAATCAACTGCTTATAACAAAAAAATTTTCTCAGCATTCCATTTTTGTAAATAATTATAAATTGCAATAGTTAATATTAAAAATTATTGTTAAATTTTATGACAACAAATAGGAAAAGTAAAATAAAAGGACTGTTACGAGGAAAATTCATTTCCTTTTCTACTGCTAAACTTAGTTTAGAACATATCATTTGATAAACTGAATTGAACCTTTATTCTTCAAGATTTTTACATATGTTTTGTTATTTTAGTGATACTAGTGATTGATGTTACCTAAATTTATACTACAAGTGTTCAAAAAGGTCGTTCTTAAATTTAAAACAATTAAAAATTATAAAACACACTACTTAACATCTTTTTAAATTTTAAACCTGGTGGGATGCAGATGCAGATCAATTTTTTAAATTTTACGTGGATCACAATTTGTTCACAGAATGTTTTAATGGCTCAGCTAGACGACTGCACTGTAATTTTTCATATAAACATTTTATTTTTAACACTGATTTTAATTCACACTAACTGTACTAATTATTTGCTAGATCCAGATTTTAAATAATTTATTTAAAATGTTAAAATTCTCACATTAAAATAAATAAACTTAAGAAAAAATTTCACAAATTTATTTAATAAATTTCAACAACCTTGTTGCTGGAGACACTTGTCAATGGAACACTTGAATTGAGCTGACTTCTTTGAATGCACTTGTAATCAGGTAAAACAGTAGAAAAGGTGGTGGTTTTGAAAGGGTTAAACTATAGGTATAGTGGTAGAAATGAAGACAAGCAAAAGTTGACAGAAGCTTTAATACAAAGGTTGTTTAAGCTTATTCATTCACCTACCTTGTGGCTGCACGGTCGATGTTCCAGGTTTTGTTGCTTCTTCTGAAGAACTCCATCTAATATTTGACTCACCTTCCTCGGACAAATTTCTCTAAAAGTTTTTTTAAGTTTAAGTATTAAAATATAAAGCAATCTTCAACAGATAGAACTCACAGGAGTGTATGATTCTTCTTCGAAGCTGTGCGAACTGTCTCTTTGTTCTGATTCCGTACTCGGTTCTTTCCGAAGAACCGTTTCCTCTGGTTCGAGTTTAATAGGGGATGCAACAATATCTGTTCCGCTGCCACTACCACTTGCTGCAGTCTCTTCACTCGTCTGTTCGGAACCAGAGCCTGTCGACGACTTCCTGAGTCTTTTCCTTCTCAAAACCGAAGGAGATATCGGCGATGGCGATTCGCATTTGTCTGACGACTGGCTCGCAGACTTACTCAGTGACAACTGATCTGGCATTTCAGCCAATCCCTTAATTTTTAAAGTTTCAGCCGTCTAAAAGTTTTAAAAAAAAATTACATCTTGGATCTAATGCATGATTCAGCTGAAGTCTGATCCTGATATTACCTTCAATATTGCAGGCAACTGCTCTTGTGAAACATTGACTTCTCCATAATACATAAAATCAACCATGGTTTTTAAATCACAATATTTTATGTCCTTTAATATCACGATTGGATGCTGACATGGATTTGTAGTAAAAAGTGACTGGAATATAACAATAACAGTTAATCATTTAACTATGTTATAACTTTTAAAATTTTAATTAGAGGTTTTTGTTTCACAAGGGTGCACAACAGCCCAGGTCAATCATATCAACCAATGGAGTGCCATTGTATATATGTATATAAAAAACAGCCCATTTGTAAGTATGTTCAATTTAGGGCTGCTGTGTCAACACCTAAACCATTGCAGCCACTGACCACCCCCCCATTAATTAATTTTTTTATGTTGTTTTATGCGGATGCCTGTTTTGAGCAATACAACCAATAAAATTAGATAAATCTCTCTTTTTATTAATTATCATAAACTAATCATTGTAAATCTGATTCGCATCCTTTCATACTAACAATTCTGCATACACAACATACTCAAGGAGTAGGTTTACTTGAGCTATGGTGAATTATTTCTGAATAACACGACCGCCATGGAATGCTAGAAAGTGTACAAATTGGTCATGAACAAATAGCAATGTGAGGAGAGTGACCACAAATATTATCATTTGTAATTTGGTCATTATTGATCATCCTCGTTTGCCTATTCTCATGGTGAGGTTTCAGCATTTCATCTCATGCAACATTGGATCTGAAGCATAATGCCAAACCACAATTGACAGACCACCACAGCAAGGCTAGGCAGACCAGGATGATTGAAGGATCAAATTAAGGGATCATTATTCGCACTTTAACTTTTAAAATGTTAACTGGAGTTAAATTTAACTCTTTTGCCTCCATATAATCATTTTATATGACTTTGTGAATACAGAGTACAAAGCAATTGAATCAGTCAAATCTCTCTTTTTGCTAATTACTACCGACTTGTAAACCCAGGACAAATTTTTTTTTATAATGGCAAGCAATATTGCACGAATTACTGGGTGCGAATTCGAACAGAGATCATGGTATTTTTAAATATATCATGAAAAATGTATTTTAAAGTGGTCTGATCGCTTGATAGTGGCACCCAACAGTGGTAGTTGGATGGTAAGCCCTTCTTTTTAACAGAAATTGCTTTAATTTTGGGACTACGGTGAATGAGTAGTAAGGGCATCTGACTGATATTTGCTATGCTAGCAGTCCTGAGGGCCAATTCCAGCAGAACCCATTTCTTTTTTTCTTTTTTTTGTACAGATTATGAAAAATGTATTGTAAAGTGGTTTGATTGCTTGATGCCAACACCTAATAAGTAGTTGGATATTAAGTCTTTCTTTGTGAAAGGAATTGCTTTACTTTTGGGGCTATGGTGGCCGAGTTGTAAAAGAATCCGATTCATATTTGCAAAGCTAGCAGTCCTGGGGGCGAATTCAAGCAGAGCCCATGGTTTTCTTTTTGTACAGATTATGAAAAATGTATTGTAAAGTGGTTTGTTCGCTTAACAGCAACACTCAACAAATAAGTGGATGTTAAGACTTTTTTATGTCAGGAATTGCATTACTTGTGGGACCACAGTGACCGAGTAGTAATGGCATCCAACTCATATTTGCAATGCCTGGGGGCGAATTCCAGTAGAGCCCATGAAAAATGTATTTTAAAGTGGTTTGATCGCTTGATGGTGACCCCCAATGGGTAGTTGTATGTTAACCCCTTCTTTATGACAGGAATTGCTTTAATTTTGGATACTACAGTGGCCGAGTAGTAAGAGTATCAGACTCGTATTTGCCATGCTAGCAGTCCTAGGTGTAAATTCTAGCAGAGCCCACTTTTTTTTTATGTATTATCAAAAATGTATTATAAAGTGGTTTGATCAATTGATGGCGACACCAAACAGGTAGTTGTATGTTAAGCCTTTTTTGACAGAAACTGATTTACTTTTGGGACCGCAGTGGCCTAGTTGTAAAGGCATCCGACTCGTATTTGCCGTGCTAGCAGTCCTGGGTACTAACTCTAGCAGAACCCATGGATTTTAAATGAATTATGGTATTAAGAATGTATAGTAATGTGGTTTGACCCCTTATCCATGATGCCCAATGCTGGACATTACTCTTCCTGTATGACAGGCAATACTTACTAATTAGTATCTACTTGTGGATATGCAAAATGATACAAAAATCCTTTCATAACAGCAATATTATAACATTACAATTTAAAATGTTTAACTAGAGGTAAACAAATTAAATCAATAATAACGACACAGGTTTATGGAATCGTGTTACCTGGAAGTAGGTGCTGCAAGCAGATAAAACGACTTTGTGAGCCTGCAGCTGCTTCCCCTCAGCAGCTAACGTGACATCGACGAGAGACTCGCTAGTCAGCAGATTCGTGAACACCGATATAAAATTCGGTTGATGATTGTTCCAACGTAAACAAAATTGCTGCACTGCCATCGATGCCATGATTGATGATACAAAGGTGGTTTTCTTCCGATCTGCAAGTTTCAAGCAGAAAGTTGAAAATCGCTTTAAAAATCTACACCCAGCTTTTAAATGCTATGTAACAAATAATCCGAAATTTTCTGGAAGTATATTCCCCCCGAGGAAGAAAACAATTCGCTTCGCTTGTTGTTTAGGTTTAGATCAAGCCCGGATTCGATTATGTCTATTGTTAATTTAATGAATAGGAAATTCTTTACCTAAACCTTCTGAAAGTTCAACACAGACGAATTAAACGGATTAACTCAAAAACTCAAAAGTAAACTCGAAAACCACCAAGTTTTCATCAGGATTAGCTGTTAACCGGATGACGTCATTTGTAGTTAAAAATACCTAAAGGGGGAGCCCTGCTGAAAGATGTCACTGGCATCACCACTGTCTGCGTCACAAAAAGCAAAAATCACCAATTTTCATTCAAATTTAAGAAATTAAATGGACCAGCTAAAATTAATATAAATGGTAAAAAGTTAGAAGTGGTAAGGAGCCTCATGCTGAAAATAAGACAAAATTCTCTGAAGAGATTTTATACCAAGCCTTTCAAATTGTTATATATATTACAAGCAATTACTATTTGTGATTATTTTTACAGTAAATTTGAATAATTTAGAAATTTGAAATTTTTACAATCTATTGAACATAAATTAGATAGTTAAATTGATATGTTAATTGATGGATCCCAATGATATTTGAAAGAGGATCTGAGTCAGACGAAGGATTGTCTCCACTTTTAGCTATTTGTCAAGTTTTATGTTTTATAAAACAAAAGGATTTGGAAAAAATACAGCTAATGTACAATCAGTTTGTTGATTGGTTTGGTAGAGGTGATTTAAAATGCAGATTCTTAAGAGCCGCCTGGGAGTACATAAGGTGTTCCTCATTGCTGGAGTTTGATGGCTGTAATAAAAAATCTCATAAAGAAAACATATAATTAACACTTATATAATGAAAACCATATTTAAAATATATGTATGTATGAATTTTATTGCATATAATTTTTGATTTATAGTATTTGTTTCTTAGTTGTATTCAGTTGGCTCAAGTGCATTATTGCACTTTTTCACCTAGCCTGCATTAAATATAAGTTCAATTGTTATCTGCCAAGTTTTTGATCTGTTTAAGGTCATCATGAGGGTAAAACCATCTTAAAGATATCTACAAATTGACATAATTCAGGGTTACATGCTTAGTAGTGTAAACTGTAGTACAGTCCTTAGTATTGGTGTGGCCAAGTTTAAAAAATAAAAAAATAAAAAAAAATTTGAAAACATTTAAATTTTTGATTATGTGAATTTAAAGACATCTTTAAGAATGTTTTTCACTGATTATGACCATAAATTAGGTTGAAAGCTTGGCAGGTAAAAATTGAATTTGTTTTTTCATACTGGCCATATGGAGATCCAGATTATTCATTAAATAAAAGAACCATTTTATTTTAAAAATATATTAAATATAAAATAGTTTAGGGGAAAATAATATTTACAAAACCACAGGCATTGCACAAAACAATAAAAGTATTAAACGCAACATTAGATGCATTGTAAATGAGTTCAATAAAAAATATAAAAATCAATGACAATAAAAATATTCAAGAACATATTACACATAATAAATCAATTGACATTGGTTAAACTGGTTAAAATTGGTTAAACCAGGTACGTTGGCAGACACATTTCCATTTAACACATGCTCATTATTTTTTGAACATTACATGCTTAAGTCTTTTATGTTTGTATTTATGATGTTCAAAATTAAAAAAATGATATGTTCTAATGGGCTATTTATGAATGAATTATAAAAATTTACAATTGCTCTATAGAGGTGGTTTGAGCTAGGCATTTTTAGGGTTACATGCATGTAGGCTATCAGAGTACAACAAAAACTTCCAATATTTCTAAGTGCAGCATTTTGGACCACCTAGAACTTAGCAAAATTTGATTTAGACATATTTCCCAAAATAGGAGCACATGACTGCTTATTAAAGAATGAGTAAAGTTTTTTTTAATACAGTAATTAAGTCTGGAATTCAGTCACATTGACAATGTTTGGCCATCCCTATTCCTAAACCTAATAAAGATCACACTTGCAACTATCACCCAATATCGCTGTTTAGTACTCTCTCAAAAATTGGAAAGAAAGTAGTACTGCAAAAAAATATGTACTTGTGTTAAAGGAAAATGGCAGTAGTCTTAGTATAAGAGTAAGTTTATTTACAAATATTTATACATTCACAAAATAGAGGTTTGCCAAAATACACTCGACATAAACTTTGCTTTGTATAATGCTAACAAAATTAATGTCAGTTTTCAAAATTTGGGAAGAAATAAAAATCCTTAACGAAAAATTTACACCAGTTTTAAAGCATGGTATGCTTCATCCTTTTGTTGTTTTATAATGGTGTGAGCTCGGTTTGTAGCATAATTTACAGTTTCATTTGTCATCTGGAGAAACATAGTTTTTATAATTTTTAATTAGTTAAATGCTATGGAGAGGCCGAGAAACTTGTGTAGTTGTAGTTTGGAAATGCGCCCACCAGAGTTTTCGAATTTGGCCATCTCAAATTTGAGTTTGAACACCTGTTGGCGATTCGGCAGTCGCCATTTCGCTTTCGGGGAATCGCTTCTTCCACCATTTTTTGGAAGAAGCGGCAGTCGTAGGTCTTTTAATCCGTTCATCATCAAATCATCAGTTTTCAATCTATAATCGTCAGTTATCAATGTAGAATTTTAAATTTCGATTTTCCACGGCCGACTCTTTCCGTCAGATCGCGTAGAAATGACGATTTCGTCCTTACTAGTGGTCCTCCATCAGACCTTAACGGAATAGGACCGGGGCCTTTCAGACAGGTAAATTGGTCAAATACAATTTTATTTCTCATATAGCATTTTTGTATTATTTTAGTATTAATGCAAAACTTGACTTGTATTTGTCACATTAAAGTCGAAAAGGATAACTTTTAACCTCAACCATTTCCCGACTGTGCGACGTGCTGCCTTGTTAAACCAAAATTATTCTTTGTCACTATTTTTGGAATTGTTTGGATAAAAATGGGTGTTTTGTACGTAGGCTTAAGAGACCAAGTAGATTTTTAAAACAAAAACTTTACTAAAATAAAATATTTACTCAAGAGTTGGAACTGGTTTTTTTCCATGATTTTTTGTACTTAATTATTTAAAATAACTACTTTATTTTGGTTGATTATCTGCGTCAAACATATCCTAGTGAATATCATCAATGGAAATGGAATAAGTAAGATAGAGGATTTCGACGAAAATAAATTTCCAAACGTCCTGCTGCCATCAGTTCACTCCACGTTTTCTGGAGCACCTATACTCATAATATACATATACATAATATATAATAATAATTGCTCCAGAAAACCTGAGGAGCCTAAAGAGAAGAGACTTAAAATTTATATATTTCTTCGAAAATCTCGAGAAAAAGAAAAAAAAGTTTTATTATCCTGTTCCATCTTCGATCTTCACTAGAATGTATTTTTATACTATTTTGTTAGGACAGGCATAACGATTAATTTGTATATTAATTAGTAAATTTAAAATCCAAATAGGATGACTTATGGCTTGATAATCCTTACTGGCTTAACTATTTAGGTTGAAGCCTTTTTTCCAAAAAATGGATGTCTTAGTCCATAACACCTTAAATATAATATTGTTGATTATTATTAGTATATTATTTAGCTAATTTAAAATCCAAATAGGATAACTTATGACTTGATAATCTTTAAAGGCTTAACTATTATTTAGGTTTAAGACTTTTTTTTAGTGGATGTTTTAGGCCATGACACGTTAGATGTAATATTCCCAATTACATTTCGCTATTTTGGCCTGTCAGACCAAAATGGTTGGAATCAACAATTTAAATACATATCCCTCACCCCAGAAAAACTAGTCTGTTGTTTTACACTTTGGAAAATATTGGCCTAAAACCAACACAAGATTGTCAAATTGATCCATACAGAATAAGTAGATCGTGTTTGACCGCTCGCAGAATCAATGCACGACCAAAATTAAAATTAGTTCTTTATTAAAAAAAAAGTTGTAATTTCAGATGTTTAATTAAATTTCCCAAGGTATTAAGGTATTTGCATATTAGGCAGTTAGGGAAATTCGTGAAAAAGTATGATTTTTTTTATTGTTTGGATGACTTTTTATTAGAAAATATGCAAAATATTATTTTTCACTTAGTCTTGAGCGTAAACAATTAATTAGGTACTTCATCACAGCGAGGTAGTGCGGGCCGAAACAATCAGCTGATTTTATGTTTTATTTTGATGCTAAGACAGTCATTAGTTTTCATAGTTTGACTAGGGTGTTTGTTACAGAGGATCTATAAAAAATTGTCTTTATTTATTTTGTATTTTTTTATTACCTTGATCGCTTAGTTTGATTCGGTTTTGGTTTTCGCATCGATCGAACAATGACTAGTGTTTTTGAAGTTACGTTGATCGGACAATCGTCGTGTAACTGAGCCTGTTCAAAATCAAGAGAGACCACCGGCTTTTTCTCTCTTTGTACTTTGCCGCTTGTTTCGTCTGAGCCGTCTCGATCCTTCGCCGCTTCCCGTCTCGTGGAAGAAAAATCCTTATTCACTCCACATCCTAAAATACAAACATTATAAGTTTTAACTTAGTTATAAACAAAAGCAAAATAAGTCCAAGTTGCGATCCCCGTGTCAGTTTCGGCCCGATGACTGCCTCGCTGGGCCCCTTTCTCGTCGGACGTGTGTTACCGAGTTTTCGGAATGGGTTTCGGAACGCAGTGAACAGTGGCCATTTGCCAAAACAGTGACGAAGTTGGCTTTAATGAAAGCAAAGTTACCTGTGTACAGTTTCTCCTTTGTTATAATGTTAATCTGAACCCCCGTTTATATCCAATTCAGCCCGATGTTGGACTTAAATTTTTATTTATGTAGTTTTTACGCCGCAATAGATAAGTTCCTCCAGGGAAGCATTTCGTGGATACCGAAGAAAGCTTCAAACAAGTTTGAAGCTTTCGAGGCCGTATTCATGGAACTATGAACCTGGACTCGTTGACTTTAACTTTGTCACAAATAAGTTATTTGGTTATAAATTTAACGAAAAAAAATTATACGGCCTCCGTCAAGGAGATCTCGAAGGTGAGTTTTATCTTCACCCTTTACATATCCTCTCATTACGACGGTTGCCATATTTGAATTTATTTCTACTATTATTCTCTCGGGATTTTTTCACTTTAAACAAGTTTAAAAGCACTCAAAACAAGGTAACAAAACCTTTCCAGATGCTTTACGCTGTAGAGCAAGCTTTAATTACACCTCTGATGAGTAATAAAGAAAATTGACCAACAGCTTCAATTATCAACAACACTAGCATTAGCAACATTTTCCCCAAAGAAGGATTGTAAATTTAATCATATTTTTTACAAAAAATGTTCGAAAGGAAGCTTATCGTACAGCCTTTTACTTTTTCCTGACGCTTTTCCTCTGAGCTCGGCCCCCTCTCCCATTGCGCGGCGAATCCTTTTATCATTTTTACTTCGTATTTAATTTATTCCCAGACAACAAGAATTTCCATTCTTGTGTTTGTTTATTTTGTAGTTTAATAACATTTGCCGGATCGGGCAGTCAAGGCCGTATCCGACTCCCTGAACATTCTGCCCATGTGCCCTAAGAAAAATAAACCTGCCGTTTCTGAGGAGTTGACTCAGTAAATTCTCACGTCGCCGTTATATAACCGTCTAAAATTCTTGTTTTAACTCTGCTTTAATGCGCGAGGTAAAAATCGCATTTCCTTTGGTCAATAACGAAAACTCGTTTTCCCACATTGATTTCAACACCAGGTTGATTTTTCTCTCTCTCTTTTCCTGTAGAGGTATTGATGCCTCAGAAGAAAGATGGATTTATGAAGGTTTCATGTCGTAAAAATTGTGTGAAGAGATTTAAGAAAATATTTAGGGATGGAAGAAAATATTAAGTTGTGATGAAACTTTATCGTCCTGTCTTCTCCTATCTTCTCCCCCCCCTACCTCCTACACTCACTTTTCCCATTCCTCTCTTTTCACTATTTCTCACATTTTCTCGCTACTCTGTCATCACAAACTTGTATGCATTCTTTTTCTTCCACTGTCACACACTCTCTCACACACACACACACACACACACACACACACACACACACACACACACACACACACACACATACAGAGAGAGGAGAGAGTGTGGGTGTAAGAAAGAGAGTGAATGATTTGTGTATGAGAGTGAGAGAGGTTGAAGAGAGAACTTTCTCTCTTCACTCTCTCCTTCTCCACACCATCTCCTCTCTTACACTCACGCTCACTCGCTAACTCTCTCACTCACACTCACTCTTTCTTTCTCTATCTCTCTTTCATTCTCATTTTCACTCACTTGATATCCTCACTCCCTCTGTCTACCTTTCTTTCTGCACATACACATTAACTCTCCTTGCCTCCACTGTCTTTCTCTCTTTATCCTCATTATCTTCTCTTTTTCACTCTTTATCACTTCACTCTCTCTTTATCTCTTTACTCTCACTTTCTCTCCTCTCTCTCTCTCTCTCTCTCTCTCTCTCTCTCTCTCTCTCTCTCTCTCTCTCTCTCCACACTATCTTCACTCATATATTATCTCTCCCCTTGCCTTCATTCACATTCTCTCTTCTTTCTGTCTCTATCCTCTTTCTCTCTCTCTCTCTCTCTCTCTCTCTCTCTCTCTCTCTCTCTCTCTCTCTCTCCACACTATCTTCACTCATATATTATCTCTCCCCTTGCCTTCATTCACATTCTCTCTTCTTTCTGTCTCTATCCTCTCTCTCTCTCTCTCTCTCTCTCTCTCTCTCTCTCTCTCTCCCCCTTCTCTCTCTGCACTATCACATTACCTCTCCTTGCCTCCGCTCTCTCTCGCTCTTTATTTTTTTACTCTCTCTTTCTCTCTTCACTCTCTCTTTATGCTTTCTTTCTATCTTTTCTCTCTCTATTTCCTCTCTCTCTCTCTCTCTCTCTCTCTCTCTCTCTCTCTCTCGTTTTCTCTCTTCCTTCACACTCTTTGCCCTCAATCATCTTTTCTCATTCATTCTCTTCTGGACGGGACAGTGCTTCCTTCACACCAATCGCCTAGTTAATCAACTGAGTCCATCTTAGAAAAATTGTCATTGCAAGTTTTAATGTTGAACGTTCAATGAAGAACTTTGTTCCCACGATTATTGAACATGAAGCGTGAAAAGTATTGGGACTATATTAAAAGGAATGAACCTTGGAGGGAATTTGTGACTAAGGGTCCATTCCAGATTTTGTAACAACGGGTGAACCCATATTTTACTTTGGGTTTCCTCCATTTTTGCTTCTTTTCTTGCAGAACTTGTTCCTCCGGTTCTAACAGCATACTGGCCTTTGTTGTTTCCATAATTTGCCGGGATTGAAGCCAGGCAAGAAAAAATTTTGCATGACTGGAAACTAGTTAGACCCAACCGGGAAAAATTGAATCAATCCGCCTTTTCTGTGAGAGGCCATACTCTCAATATCTCTTTACTCTCTTTCTTTTACTCCTATCGAGTACATTCCTAATTTGATTACAAAATAAAGAATATTTTAATAATGGAAAATAAGAATTAAGATAGAAAATAAAAAGAAGGAAGTGACTATGAAAAGTAACTGAAATACTATTTAATTTTGTTTATGTTTTATTCTTACCCTTAACGTTGATCAAATTAACATACATTGCAAAGGGTTTGTTGACAAGGCAACATTGGATTAACCCTATTAGAGGATTAGTCTGTTTATTATTTTTTCACAACAAATTGATCTACTTGACAATACTTTGTCAAACGCTTTTTCATGCTGGAACCTGCTTTTGTGATTTTTTTAAACACTTGTATTTGTAAATAAACATTTTCTTCTTATTCTTGTAAATCAGTCTATTGCAATTTGTTTTTGATTTGTCTGGAGTGATTTAATCATGTTAACATGGACAATTGCAAACCTCTGATTTGTAATTTGTTGTAAAATGTTTGTACTGGTCTTATAAAATTAGCCAATGGAATAATATAATTAATATCATTACTTAGTTAAATTTTGTTTAATCGAATCTGCGTGATATTCAGATATATCTTACAAATATATATTTTTTTCATTTACTTTAAAAAAAATAAGTTTTGTAAAACAAGTACTATAACATTTAAAGAATCTCTATTTATCTAAAATTATTTATTTTTTTGGTCACATTCGTTTAGTATGAGCTTTAGTTAGTATCGTCAGTTTTATATTAAAATATTAGAGATAATAATGTAGACTTAATGTTTCATTTTCTAATAATACCTGTTTATGATGTAATTCTCCTATTTTATATTTAGTGTTAAAGTTTTCATAATATAAGTCTTATTCATTAAAACAAAATTGTTATAGTTGGTACGTGAATACGGCTTCGAAGCAGATAGACATTACCTTCGTAGTCTCTTCTGTTATTTTGAAGTAGGAGTCACATACAAAGAGTCTCCTCAACTGCAGCTGTTGTCGGAAGAGTGTACTGCACTTCTGTCAAAGCCGGCGTTTGTCTCGAGCATTTGTTTTGCATTCGAGAAGTTGATCGAAACTAAAGTATGTAATCGTGCTTTTTCAGCTTATCAATATTCAGATATCGATTAATTGACATTGTTGTTTTATCTAGGGACCAAAAACTACTCAACTTCTTCCACAGTTTAGCAAAGCAGTCAAATTGAGCCCGATTCAAGAAGTGGTGTTTGGAATAGCACTGCTTTATTCTCACAATACGGAAGTGGCTAGCCAAGCTACTCAGTTCTTGAAAATCAAATTACCTGAGTTAATTAGGTCATATATAAATTCAGGTAACTTTTTAATTATTTTTTTACATTAATTTTAATGAATGCATTAATAAGTGTAAAAATATACTTTTATATCAAGAGAAATGCAAATTAGTAAATTGTATTTGAAGTATTTTATCATGACGATTAAAGATTATTAGGGGGCGTCGGTGTTTATAATGGTTTAGCATTGACACATCGCTCATAATTGTAAGGTCCCAGGTTCGAATCCAGCGGCCCTGAATTTTAACCAGACACATTTACAAATGGGCTTTTTTAAAAAACACCAGTTACCCCGACTGTTCATAGAACCCCATAGTTGAAAAAAATTAAATCAATTAATTATTAAAATTAAAATCAATTAATTAAAAAATTAAATCTTTAAAAAAAAAATTAAAAAAAAATGAAAATTCAAGAACAAGACAAAACTTATCAGAACAACATATGTATTTAATTTTTAATTAGTTGTAAAAAATCATCATTGTGATATGAAATTAGCATTATTATTTGATAATTGGAAAGTTCTTTACATGCAAATCTAGTCTTTAAAAATAATACTTTATCAAATTTGACAGGTTTGTTGTTTCTCCTTATACATAAATAATTTATTTTCAGATTCGAACAATTGTAGTGTTTCTGAGGGTGGTCTTAGTGATACATCGCCTGAAGTATTGCATATCATTCTCAGCGAAATACACAAATTAAATTCATTAGAATTATTTGGTTAGTCTTTTTTTTTTTTTTTTCTTCATCCTTTTAGCAGCGGATGCATTTTATTGTTATTTTGCTTTATAGGCCTCACTGCAGAAACAAAAGAGGCATTTTTGCACAACTTGAGACGAGACTTTCCGCGAGATCTTGTTCCTATTGTTCTCGCACCGTTGTTGTATTCTGACAATTCAGAACTTTCTATGGAAAAACTTCTCAACGATTCAAACAACATGTCTCACAATATGGTTTGTTTAATTCGAATGGTTAAAAATTGACATTTCTCAAAACGCTATGCTGATCATATTTGGTTGTTATTTCAGGTTGATAGCAGTGTAGATGATGTTGTTGGGGAATTAGGTTTGACGTTCACAAATAGTGTAGAAGGATGCAGGGGACACATCGCTCAGCTAGCAGGAAGGGAATTGAAAGCTTCGGATATGGCTCATGTTCTTATAATGATGCTCAAATCACGAGCAGTCGAGTTCTGGCTAGAGAGCGAAGCGGCAAAAGAAAAGTCGAATGACCCATTGCACATCCCTTCTCCTTGGAGTATAGATAACCTGATTAAAGCTTCTAAAGAATTGGTCATTATTTACCCTCTTTGTATCATAATTATTTACATATTATCAGTGTAATTTAACAATTTAAAAAATTTTAGAATCCAAAATTGAATTGGGCTGATGTGTTTCTTGAACTGGATCACCCAGAATTTATAGTCAAAAACAGGCACAGTTTGTATTTAATTATTCATTCGATCAGAAGTGGGATTCAGAGTCAACAGTCATACATTCCACATAGTGAAAGGTTTCCAGTAGATCATATTTACAGAACCTGGAAGAACCCACCAGCCCAGGTAGGATTAAAGTCCTCTTTAAATGATAATTTTTAGTTAGGCTGAATTAATAGAATAATAAAAAAATAATAATTTCAGCTTTCTTTGCTGCAACAAATTCTAAAAAATCCGGATATCTTCTGTCTGGCGGATTATCCATTCCACTCCATCCCTGTCGAGATTTTGAAAACTCCACCAGAAACAGAAAATAAAGAAGTCACCAACTGGTAATAAAATTAATAGTTGTTTATATACTCATATTAGTACTAATCCCAAACCGTGGATTAAAAATATTTCCAATATTAGACATTGGTGTATAAATTCTATTGTTTTTTAATTTTAGGAGATCCTTGAGTCTGCTTGAAACTGTTCTGAATTTAGCAGAGAGAGGTGGCTTGTTCCCGGATGTTCAGGATCTGCTGAAAGTTCCTGCTCAATTATGCCCGGATGTACTGGCGCTTGGACTACTGCAAGTCCCGCTTCAAATGTCAAATTTCCGTCTTGAAATACTCGGAAGTATTATGCCGATTTTTTTAGGAAACCATCCTAACTCCGGCATTATTTTGCACCAAGCTTGGCACACAAGTGTGAGTGTGATTAATAAATATAATCTTAGATTTCTTTTATTGTTTTAATAATGTTATTTATTTATTTATTTTTAAATAGCAATTTTGTATAAAACAAACGATTATGCATGCAATGGCAGACTGGTACTTACGAGGGGATAGCGACCAGTCACGTCTATCAAGGATTTTAGATGTAGCTCAAGATCTCAAAGCACTATCCTTGTTGTTGAACGCCCAGTCTTATCCTTTTGTAATTGACTTAGCCTGTCTTGCATCAAGAAGAGGTTATCTTAAATTGGAAAAGTGGCTAACTGATAAAATAAGAGAACACGATGAACCTTTTATAACAGAACTATTAAAGTTTTTGCAGGTATGTTTTTTTTTTTTTTTTTAAGTAAAATTAAAATTTATGAAATTAATTTCTGTTTTATTTCCTACAGAAACGAGTCCCTCATATTTCAGGAATGGGAAAAGAAGAAAGCATTTCCAAATCACAGTTACCCCATGAAACTTTAAGTACAATTATTCTCAGCTTGCAGACTTGTGTTGGGTAATTTTTTATTTTTAAAATAATTTTTGTTACTTTTTTTTTTTTTAATTTAATTTTCAATTTAGAAATGTTTCACAAGACTTGTCTGAAGCAATACATAATGCAGTTGCTACTTGCGGTGTAGTTGTAAACAAATCTCGTCAAGCCCCACCTGGAGTCTTGCGTCCCCACAGGGGCCTTGAACCTTTTTCTCAGTCATCTGTTTATTCTAGTCAAGTCGACTCTCTCAATAGTGGTCTGGCTGGAATGTCACTAGCGACTACATCGACTGCTTTCACTCTTCCCGCAGGTAATTACAAACGGCGGCCGATTTCTTTTTCGATTACTGAAGTGTTTTAGACATGCAAATGAAAATTGTTTAGCTTTAGGACAACTTGTTTCAAATCCCGGTTCGCCTTCTCGGCTGATGGCAGCCTCTCAGTCACCTGCCTTTCCGATAATGCCACTTGGAGCACCTGGCCCATCTTTAGTGCCCCAAGTGGGAGTTAATGTGCCAGCAACTATGGCACGTCTTCAACTTGCCCAACAGCAACAACCTTTAGAAAAAACGAAAATTTGTAAGTTTTATTAGTAACAAGTGCAGTGCTATTCATTTTGCCAAACAACCTCTCTAATTAAATGAACTGCAATAATACCTAATTAATTTTTTAAAAGAGAAATTTTAAATGTTTTTATAAAATATTTATTAACTAGACAATAGTGTTTAACGACAAGTAAATTAATTTTGACCTCAATAGTTAATCTTATGATTCTTCCTTCTTGAAGGTGGGATAATAGGTCATCTCAAAAAACCACAACCAGTTTTTATCCACAACGTTTAGGATTTATTTTAATCCTTCCTCAGGTGAGTTAACGCAATGGTTAAAAAAAGTGGTCATCAGTCATTAATATTTTATAACAATTTATTTAAAAAAAGAGCCAGTGTGGTACTTATTCAGACTAGAAACAAACGTTTTAATATTTTGCGTCAGGTTCAAAATATTAAAACGTTTGTTTCTAGTCTGAATAAGTACCACACTGGCTCTTTTTTAAAATAAATTGTTATAAAATATTAATGACTGACGACCACTTGAGGAAGGATTAAAATAAATCCGAAATGTTGTGGATAAAAACTGGTTGTGGTTTTTTTGAGATGACCTATTATCCCACCTTCAAGAAGGAAGAATCATAAGAAAAAGTAAATTAATGGAAGATAACATTTTTGTAATTAATTTTTTTTTTTTTTACAAATAACATTTTTAACATGTGATCTCAGTTTTAGAAAGACTTAAGTCATAAGTATAAAGAGTTAGCTATAAAAAATATTGTATTTACCTAATACTTTAACAAATTTAATAAATCACTGAATTAATTAAACATACTGAGGATAAAAATGTAAACAATTCATATGGGAATTTAAAAAAATAAATAAAAACATATGTCTGTTTCTTTTTTGTTTGAATCTTATGCCATCACAATTGTTCAGTTTTATTTAAATTTTTATTAAACAAAAAAAAATAATAAAAAGTAGACAATTTTTACTGTTTATGGAGCTTAAAGTGTTCACCGAATTGCCAGATACGCGCAAGTTTGTTTTCGTTAATGTTTCGAGTCTTCTGTCTTTTTATTGTCTCGAAAGACAGTTTATCTCATAATAAGACGTGATATCATTCTGAATGTAATAATGGGCCGAGAGGATTTTTCCTGGAAGAATGTTACTTAATGTTTGTAAAACAGAATCGAAGACAGAATAATTTGTTACATTTATTTCTGTAAGTTCGTTAGACACGTTCGTAAAGGGGATTTCTTGTTAGACATTGAACAAGTTATCCCACAATTGAGAAGAAAAAGGAGTTAGTTGGTATGTGTAAGGCTTCTTACTTTTAGTACAATTATTTCTTGTAATTAAAATAAATAAAATTATTACCCAAAACACTGCACAATCTTTAAAATTTTATAAGAGGTTTATTGTTAAAAAAATCTTTTAATTCATTTTTGATAGTTACTTTTGGCATACAGTTTATTGCAGTTCAAGTGGTGGCATGATGAAAGCACTTCAGTTTCCATTAAGAAAATACCATTGATTTTCAGCTAATGTATCAACTAACTTGTTTCGTGATATGACTTTCCCAGTTCCAAAAGATATAGAGGATGAGGCAAATAGTTACTTTCAAAGGATTTACAATCATCCGCCACATCCTACAATATCAATTGATGACGTTCTTGATATGCTCAAAAAATTTATGGACTCGCCAAAACAACGTGAAAGAGTAAGTATGATTTTATATGGCTTAACGCGTTGTTTTTAATTTAAACTAACCGTTTTTTTTTTTTAGGATGTTTTTTACTGTATGCTTCGGAATCTTTTTGAAGAATATAAATTTTTCCCTCAATACCCTGACAAAGAACTTTTTGTTACTGCCCAGCTTTTTGGAGGGATTATTGAAAGAGGGCTTGTCTCGTAAGTAGCTAAACGCTTGTATGTTGAACTTATAGTTTGCAATTTTAAATTTTTGTTGCAGAGATTACAGAGAACTTGGTATGGCTCTTCGATATGTCTTGGATGCCTTGAAAAAACCTCTAGACAGTAAAATGTTCTATTTTGGAATTGCGGCTCTAGATAGATTTAAATCTAGATTAAAAGATTATCACAATTACTGCGAATATATAATGAGCATACCACATTTTTCTCGTTTCCCTTCACATTTAATAGAGGTAAAAATTGTGTCTATTTATTTATGTTTTAATGTGAAGTTTATTTTTAATGGTTTTGCTTCTAGTACTTGGAATACGGCCTACAATCCGAAGAACCGCCAAATCGTCCACAAGGACCAATTCTACCAGGTGGAACGTCTGTTGTGACCACTGCTTACAACACATTAGCCCAGACAACAGTAACGACAACTACGACTGTCGCTACAAAAGTGAGCACAACATCTGTCATTTCATCACGGGTAAGTTAACAATTGTCAACTTGTAATGTAATCTAGAATTGTTCGACTAATGTGAAATATGTAATTTGTAGCCTTCTATTGCAAATGCCACGAACATAGATACACTCTTGGTAGCTACAGAGAAAGAAGACAAAATGGTAACACCTCCTGAATCATTGCAAGATAAAGTTGCATTTATATTTAATAATCTCAGTCAGTTAAACTTGCAAACCAAGGTACAGTATTGTAATATTTGGTGTTTGATTTTCGCTACAACAATATTTTTACCCCCGCAGTGTGACGAATTGAGAGAAATAGTGAGCGAGGAATATTACGCATGGATGGCACAATATTTGGTTATGAAGAGAGCTAGTATTGAATTGAATTTTCACATCCTCTACTCTAATTTTCTTGATGTACTTAAAATACCAGAGTTAAATGTATTAGTTCTACAAGAGACATTTAGAAATATACGGGTAAATATAGCAGTAAAATTTAAATTTTATGTGTTTATATAAACGATAATTTTCACTTTTTCTTTTTTCCCCTCCAGGTTTTGTTGAGATCAGATAAAGGCACTGCTAATTTTTCGGATCGGTCATTGCTGAAAAATTTGGGACACTGGCTTGGGATGTTGACTCTTGGGAGGAATAAACCTATTCTTCACGATGATTTAGACCTAAAATCTCTTCTTGTTGAAGCATACAGCAAAGGGCAGCAAGAATTGTTGTATGTTGTCCCATTTGTTGCAAAAGTCCTTGAATCTTGTTCTAAAAGTCAAGTAAGTACGCTTTGGGCTTGTTTTAAAAAATATTTTACACAATTTTTTTTGAACAATTTGCTTGTAAATAGGTCTTTAAACCTCCAAATCCTTGGACTATGGCAATAATGAATGTGTTAGCTGAACTTCATCAAGAAGCAGACCTAAAACTTAACTTAAAATTTGAAATTGAAGTTTTGTGTAAAAATTTGTCATTGGATGTTTCGGTAAGATGAAAATTATATTCAAATTGATTTAATTGTATTTTTTTATTTTACTAAGAAATATTTTATTAATAGGAACTACACCCAAAAATTTATTTGAAAGATCCAGAAAATTTGAAAAATCTTGAACATCAACTTTCACCTCCCAAATCAAAAGTGGAAGTGCAGAGCACCACACCATTGCCCCCGTCTCAAACTCCCACTCAGCAGGCTACTCACAACGGTAAGATATGCATGATATGCCTTTCCTTTGTACTTGAAATAATAAAGTAAATAAACCCAGCATTCCTTTGAGTTTCATTTATCTTGAAACAAATAGTAAAATTAGGTTACACTTGTAAATTTAGCTCTCATTATATATGAGTTTTCATATAAAATAAATGTAGAACAGCATTTTAGTCAATCTACATAAGCACATGTAGTTAAAAAATACAGCCAAGAATTTACTTTATTAATTTGAACAATATTTATTCTTTCGAATATTAAAGGAATCAGCAAAAATTTATTGCGAGATTCTCAATCTAGTTTGGTTGTTTCTGTTCATTTTTGTCTCTCTACACTTGCTGGTTTGTTAGTCAGACGCCTTTTAGCTTTTCACTGTATTAGTGTGTATAAAAAAACAAACAAAGAAGATCAACAGACAAAACTAAACAGAAATGACTAAGCTACAAACATAATTATAATTTACATTGCCTTTTTATTGGCATGATTTAAAGTGCAGATTAATAAACAAATAAATAAATAAATAAAATCTTTACAATGTTATAAAAAATGGGAGACGAGTGTTGCATTATAAAACAATCCATAAAGCATTAATATAATTTTTTTAATAAAATTGTTGTGCAAGCCATATTTTAAGGATTTCAAGTTTTCAACTGATAGTAAGTTAGTGTGTAATTTAAATTTAAATAAAGACACTGCCTCAAAAGTTAGAAAATGAATTTTACCTTATTTTAAACTACTTCTTTAATAAAACATACGGAATGAATAATATGAAAATGAAATTAAATCTTGGATGAAATAATTTTTTTTCTTTGGTAAGATAAATTATTAAAGGTCAATTAAGAAAAGAAAGTAGTGTAGCACACTGGTGTTTATGATATTGACAAAATTAATTATCAGTTTTGTCTTCAGCAAATGAAGAGACTCCAACCAGGCTTGCAAACAATACACCAACGTTGACTCCGATCAATCCACCGGAACCAAGGTTTAATTATTTATCTATCAATGTCACAAACATCGGCAATTTGGCTCCACATATTATAATTAATACACAGGTATTGGTCATGTATAATTAAATCGTGAACGTATGTGTTATTAAATGTTGATTTATAATTTTAGATGCCACTGCTTCAATCTCACCCACAGTTGAAACAATACATTAGACCTGCTCTTGAGCGAGCTGTCCAAGAGTGGATTCATCCTGTCGTTGACCGAGCGGTTAAAATTGCAGTAACTACGACAGAGCAGATTGTTAAAAAAGTAATTTAATCTTTTTTTTTAATGCCAAATTTTAATGTTTAATTCGGTTTGATTCTTTGCAGGATTTTGCCCTAGAGCCAGAAGAATCCAGAATGAGAGCTGCCGCACATCACATGGTCAGAAATTTAGCAGCAGGAATGGCTATGATAACATGCCGCGACCAACTTCTGGTTTCTATTAGTAACAATCTTAAAGCAAATTTTCTAAGTGCTCTCCATGTAAGTTTCAAATTAGCTTTTATTGTTTAAATGTAAAGACTGGATTTTCATACAATAAATACATGCAAAACATCCAACAAAGACCTAAAAAAGAATAAAGTAAAAAACACGTTGCTTATGATGTGAAAAACATTTTTTAACACATTTGGTGTGGCCTAGTAATTCAGTTCCCCCCTCCTGGATGGTAAAAATTTCTTAGAAACATTATGCATCATGACCAACATCAAGTTAATGTTTGAAAAGAAAAAAAACTCGCTTTTCTTTTTAAAAAAATATTGCCTTTGTACTTGGTTGGGTGCTCTGTGGTGGTAGTTGGTGGTATTACCACTTTTGAACGTAAGAACTTGATGAAACTTGAATTTAAGGGGTATTATTATTATTATTTATTTTTTTTAAACATGGTTTTGCTTTGTTCCCAAGCTGTAGAAAGTCTAAGAAATGAGAAGTTAGAAATACGCTAATGTTGGAAAAGAACGAATCAGCAGATGCTGAACATAAAACCATTTTTTGGAAAATTCTAGGCATTAGAGATTGAAAACTTTGACGAAGCATATTATAAAAAAAATATTTTACCCGTTTGTTTATGCAATAGTGTTAACCTATAAAAGTTATGCATTTTCACATTATTTTCATGCATTAAAAAATAAACAAAAAGATGGGAAAAAATGCAATTTTGTACAGTGACACCAAAACGTCCAATTTTGTATAAAATAAACAAAATAAGGGTACTGTCAAAAGAAAGTTCTTCAAGATTCAAATGTCTGTCTTGGTGTCATTGAAAACTGAGTTAGCAATGAAAGATGCAATTGCATGGGAATCTGGTCTTTACTTGTATGTATGCATATAACTGTTTAAATCGTTTTTGTTTGTTGTTGAAAGAATGCAACCGAACAACAAAAAAGTCTAATAGAACAGGCTGCCTCTTTGTTTGCACAAGAAAATATGGAATTAGCTTGCTGCTTCATCCAGAAGACTGCAATGGAAAAGGCTGTCCCTGAGATGGATAAACTTCTTTTACCTGTAAATATCGTTTTCAAGTATTTGTTAAACGACTTAAAAATTTCGATTTATTTTATTTGTCATATAAAATAGGAATATGAACGGCGAAAAATAGCTAGAACTGAAGGTAGAAGGTACTGTGATTCAAGTGTTCTTACATATCAAGCTGAACGTATGCCAGAACACCTGCGGCTCAAAGTGGGTGGTGTAACACCTCAGCAGACTGCTGTTTATGAGGACTTGGCTAGGAACATTCCTGGATTCCAACCGTTAACAGAGAGAGACACTGCGATATTTATCCCCAAGCCAGTTGTAAGTATAATTTTTTTTTCTTTCTTCTTGCTTCCATTTATATTCATGATTGTTTTCCTGTTAACTTTAACATTGATTATTATGAGAAAGTGTTGTGGTAAAAATTTCAACTAGCTAGATCAATGAATGATTGGATTAATTAACTTAATCTCAAATATTGTACAAGACTAGGCTATTTTATGCAATTTTACATTCATTCATATGTAAATCAGTAAAACCTTCATACAATATTTAATTATTCTCAAATGTTAAATCATTCTTTTATTGTTTATTTTATTTATTTTTTAATAACAAATTTCATAGATATTTTGTTGTGAATTATTCTAACAGTACTATTTATTCCGCTCAAGTTAATTTTCAATATTTTTAATAATGAATTTCTTTCAATATAAATTGTTTAAAAGTGAGGTTTTGTAAATATGAAAATAAATTCCCAGAGTTGGCTTTTGTCCCATTTATATTAATATAACTTAATAAGTTTTTTAGTTTATTATGTCGTTAGCAGTCAGTGTTTAGTGAAATTTATCACTTTTCATCAATTATCTTCAAAATTAAGGTTTTATTGTGCAAATATTAAGCCAATTTAAAGTTAATGCAATTGGATTAAACTAAAAACTGCTTTATCTCTTACTAGCAACTACCTTATTGTTATTGGCCGGAAAAAAGCCAATTAATTGTCTGCTCCTCTCAATTTCATTTAAAAAATTTGTATTTCTTGTTTTTCTTATTCCGACGTAACCTTTTCATTTTTTTCTTCTGATATTTAATAATCAGCTGTGTCGTTTCATTTAAAGCTTGGTATTTGTGTAGAAATTAGCAGCTGATTTGAAGGATTAATAGTAAGACCGGTTTAATAAACAAAAAATCCACTTTAGTCTATTCATTTTGAGGAATAGGATTATTCCTTTTAGCATTAAATTTTAATATTCAATAACCCTTCAACAAACTTCTAATGGAAAAAACTTTAGAAGTAAGTTTTATTTTCAAATTATTAATTGTAGATAATTTTTTTAAAAATTTGATCCCTTTCTGTAGTTTATTCGTAACACGAAGATAATATTAAAAGTACATAAATTTAGCCTATATTGGATTGAACAATAAAAAACAAATAAAATTAAATTTAGATTTTTATATTGAGTTGTTTTAATATTTAAAAACTAAGTTTTGAACTCAAAACGTAAATTCAATCATCAGGAATTTTTCCCGAATTTGTATTAAAAGTAAATGGTTGAAATTTGGCAACAATGCACTAGATTCCGAAGAATGTGATATTGGGCGGATGGGGGGATTGCGTATATAATTTTTTTTGTAATTATTTTTAAAAAATATAAATGTAAACAAATTTTCTCTCACTTTTCTAAAAAGGATGCATTGTTTTTAGCCAATGTATTTGAACAAGAAAGTATTGCAAATTCTGTAAAAATTCAAACTAAAAGTGATGCATAATGTTAAATACAAAATTAAACTGGCCACTGGAGAAGACGCACAAGAAAGACAGGACCATACACTAACATTGCGAAATCTGTGCTGTAAAAAGTTACTCAATAAACAGTTAAATATTGCATTTTGTTTCTTGTTAGTACAGATTTTTAATTTATAACGTTTAGTCTATTGCAGAACAACAATTCTCTGCCAGAGGGAAAATAATATTCTGAAATTATACATTTTGTATTTGGCTTTAGATTTTTTCTCTCACTTGTTCATCTATATTTGCACAATGCTTTCTCATAATATGATATAATACAGAAGGCCATGCAATCTTTGGTGAGTTTTCAAAGCTTTAGTATATATTCATATATAAATATTAAATGCTCCCTGTAATTATTTAATAAAACTATTTAAATTTTCATTTTTTTCTTGGTAAATTTTACACAACGATAAAAATAGATTGTTTTAACTTAATTGGTTGATAACAACAGACAACTTGGCATGAGAACTCATGAAAAGCTTGATAATTTGGAACTAAATTTAAAAAAAAATTAAGGTTAAATTTAATCCAACTCTGAAATTGTCCTAGAGCAAATTATTTTATAATAATTTATAATTAATTGCAAATAGGTACGATGTAATTTTTGTCAGGGTTGTGAATCAGAAATCTGGTAGGCTGGAGGTAGATAAAAGATTTATTTGTGGAAATTTAACCTTTATGTGCGTACCCCCGGCAAGCACTATTTTCCCTAGGTTGGCAATAATAGCCTTTCCGAAGAGGCATTTCCTCTGGATAATGCTTCGCAGACACATAGGACATGTTCCAATGTCAGCATGTTTCAGTTCTGTTTTCCAGTTTTAGTTTTATTTATTTGTTAAATGTTATTGAATGAGTTTTTGATGAATTTTGTTTTGTACATGGTGAATTCAGTGGTTATTTCTTTCTCTATACATTTGTTCAGTTTTGCTTTTAGTATTTTTAAAAGCAATCTGAACCAAAGGGTAAAGCGCTACCCTTTTTTTTCTATTTTGTCAACCTGTAGCTTAGTCAGGGAAGCCTAAAGCCTCCAGTACTGCTTGACAGTCCGAGTCTGCATTTTTTAATCCTTTTTTAAGATTGCTTTTGCAAAGTTCTATTGCATGGGCCTCAAATTTAAATAATATATGGTGTGGACCTTGTCGTTAGGTCAAAATTTGAGCAGTTGACTTCTGCCATCATGTTCCATTTTAGATCTATCCATACAGACTGAAAATACACGTTATAAATTATAATTGACATTTTCTATATAATTTGTGTATGTGCATTCGATATTGAAATAAATGGACATGCTAGGATAGTAACAATTATTTTACTATATATTGAAATATTAAATATTTAAAAAATAAATATTGATGTGCAAGGTGATATATCTTGGTCGAACCTACAAATAATTTTATTGTATATTTTTGACTCTTCTGGTTGTTGACATTTTATATTCAGGAACTAGACAACTATCAAACTCATTTTCTTTTTATTGATACCAATTTCAAGGGGCATCAGGCTCAGTTCCCCTCCCATTCTCCCTTAAGAAACCAAAGAAATATACAAATAATTCTACAACAACAACAACAAATAAGTCTTAACCGACTGCCTATTTTTGCTGTGTCGGCCTATATTGAATTTTAGTTGTCCTTTCTTAATTAATTATATTTGGATAAAAAGTTTGAGAATGGGTCACATTTGATTAGATTTATTCACAAAAGCATATTTCAGCATTTTGCGATCTTCCGGGTGTCTCAGACAGGTGGCCAAATAATGAAATGTTTCTGGCAGTCGAACACAGCTATGATCGGTTACGATCAAATTACAGGTTAATCGCCCTGTAGATGATGGAGAGAGAAATCTCAAAAAAATTATTTGAAAAAATAAAGCAACCTCTTTATTTTGCTTTTCATAAATAACAAACTTTTAGACATTGTGATTACTATTTTTTTCCATGTATTTTAGTTTTTGTCCTTTCTTAATGAATTATATTTGGATAAAAAGTTTATATAGGTCACATTTCATTAGATTTATTCGCAAAGGAAATTTCTCACTTTTTATTATTCTTAAACAGATTTGTAATCAAATTTTTATTTAACAAACTTAATTTGATATCAGGATTCTATGACGATCGTGCCTTCTTTTCCCAGTGCAATTCCTCAAATGGTAAATTTAATATTTTGTAATTAGTTTTAGTGCTTTTATCTGTTATACCAAGCATGTAAAAGTGAATAAAATACTATTCGATTGATCTAATATCCTGTCTTCTGATAATTTTAGGCCTACAGTACTGGGGGAGATGAACTGGACAGCATTTTTGATAAACTGACTACCGAATTGGACCATTATGTTCAAACTGTTCTTGGAAACCACACATTACCTGCTGTGCACAACATCTTAGATCTACTTGTTCTGACTAGGAGAAACCGAGAAGATCTGTACGCAATGAGTCTTGTGCAGAAGGTATTGTTATATATAAAAAAAAATTATTATACGTTAAAGTAAAATTATTATTATCCATTTAGACTGTTGAAAATTTGTTGGAACTGTCTACCACATCTCTTGACTCAGAGTTCATTCTTAGACATAGAGAGTTGTACCTAAGAATTCTTAAAACTTTACAAGATCCTCGAGCTTACGGAGTCCAGTGGACTAATAAGCAAGTCACTAGGTAATTTTAAGTTTTACAAAACCATCTTATTTTAATATAGTTGAATTGTTGAAAGTTTTTACATTACTGTTTGTCTTCAAGGGCTTACCTAGATTGTCGTGAGGAAATAAAATACAATTTAGACTGTCTAGATGTACTTCTGAGGAACCAATTCATTAATCTGCTCCAGTTGGATTTACATCTTGCACACGCGATGGATAATGGACAGAATTACGTAGCGATCAATTTTGCTGTCCAAGTTATTCAGTTCTACCTTGTTGATGACAGAAACAGCTTATCATTTGTGACAGACCAAGATTTTTTTAACACTAGTGAAGTTCTTGTCAGAATTGCTACGCATTCTCGTCAACCTCCAGAAGGGTACTTATTCAATTGATTAACAATTGTTTATATAAATTTTAATTCCGCTTTTTTTTCCAGCCTTGTTGCGCTTATTGAACTACTAAGAGCAACTCACGATCCAGCTCTCATTGTTGACAGTAGGACTCATGCAAGTGCACATATTCTCTCAGGCCTTACTCAAGGAAAAGTATGCTCAGCTTTCATTATAACAAATAAGTAATATTAAATTTTTAATTAAAATTATTTGTGCGTTTAAAGGCAAGGGATTATGACGATCCTCCTGGATTGGCCGAAAAGACAGAATTTCTTTTAAGGGAATGGGTCTCGATTTACAATTCAGCAGCAGGTGCAAAAGACCCTAACAAATCATTTTCCATTTTTGTCTCTCAGGTAATTTTATATACATTTATATACTCATGAGGGTGGTTTTTCAGATATGCTTTTTATTCAAATTTCTGTTTCGTTTCAGATGAATTATCATGGAATTCTTAAAACTGATGACTTAATCACACGATTCTTCAGATTGAGTACTCAGATGGTAGTCGAACTTTGTTATAGATTCCTTCCCGACGTATCGGGTGCTTCTGCGACATCTTCACGAAACAAAATGTTCCACACTGTCGACGCGTACGTCAAATTGATTTCTTTGCTTGTCAAACATTCTGGCGATGCTACCAACACGGCCACAAAAGTCAATTTGTTGAACAAAGTTCTCGGCATTATTGCTGGAGTTCTTCAACAGGATCATGAAACACATCAGACGGAATTTCAACAGTTGCCCTATCAGAGAATTTTCATCATGCTCTTCCTTGAATTAAACGCTCATGAATCTATTCTTGAAGCCATTAACTTCCAGGTAATTTTTTATGACAAACGTGTATTAGATGCTTAAGTATTTTTTTGACTTAATTGGTTTGTTTTTCATTTCATCACATGCAGAAGTATAAATTTTATTAATAGAAATCCTTATAAATTGAAAAACTCACTTTACTAGATTACATATGTTGTGCTAAGATTTTTATGTTTCAGGCAAATTTTGAAACAATTTTAATTCTTTACTTTGCCTGAGACTTTTATGTTATAAACAATGTTCAGTTGGGTCATTTAATTTACTAAAAGGGCATAGTGAGATCAGAGGATGAAAAATCAGCTCATCTGGGCATAATGATTTAATGTCTTTTTGAAACTACCTATTGTTGTTTTGTTCAAACTTGTTCCTGGCCAAACTACTAACCTTTTTATTGGTATTTGAATTACCAGATTATATGAACCCTCGAGGTGACGGTGTTTTTGGGGTTTAATTTGAAAAAAGTTTAAGTTATTAATTAACCTTTACTGATGATTGATGAGCACCGTGTCAATGCCTACACCGTTGTGGCCACGGATGCCCCACACTTTAGCAAAGATTGCTAAAAGAAAGAACCAAATTAGTTCCACGGAAAATTAAAGAAATGGGTATCTCACGGGGAAATTAAAAGATTCAAGTTATCGAGTTTTTCAACTAATCAAATTTTGAGGTATTGAACCGAATAATCCATTCGCTGTGTCTTATTATTCCTATTTTTGCTTCCGAACTACCAAAAGTAGTAGGGAAGTCGAAAACATTTTCGTACTCCAAAATCAAAATTTCCACTCGCATTTTGTGTTTAAGACCTTTCTGAACAAATTTGGTTCATGCCTGTCTGTGATCCAATTCCTTGTTACCGGTAAAACTTTTTATGAAATTTTCAGAGATGCGGGTTGGTTTCTAGATGGTCCTCTATGGATTTCATCCCAATCGGATATCGCTTGCACATGCGCAAACGTAAAATCGCATACACAGATAAATCTCTGTATTTGTCGGATTTTTATGCAATTTTCAAGGATTTGCTATGCGGGTTGCTTTCTCGATGATTCCCTATGAATTTTCAAAATAGATTTACTTGTGTGAATGCTCATGCACAAAATGTGAGGAAGCTATACTGCCCACCCTCTTGGCAGACATTTTTAAAGTTGTGGATTAGGTGTTTAGCGGTGTGCCAAATTCTTTAGCAATGTTGCCCTTTTTTATTGCCTTCATCTACTGCCATAATAACCTCGAATTTCTCCTCCACACTTATAAATGTCTTAGTGTTTTACAGACATTTTTCTTTGTACACATAAACAAGTACGAATGGGGGAGGGGGAGGAACTGCCTGATAAGCAAGAACTGTTCTGCGTGTTTTCTGATGTAGGACTGTTAAGGGATCATCAGGCAAAGAAATGGTGCTAGTCGTGTGGGCTTACAAAGAAAATTTGTCTAATCTAGGTTTTCATTTTGAAATGTTTGACTTACAGAGGTAAAACTGTAAGCAAAAACTATAGGAAAATGAGGGGATTTGAAAAAATTCTTGCTATCAAGGAATTGGAGTATTAAGATTTGAGTTATCGTGAGTCGACTATATAAAAAATGAAAATTAAATTTGATTTACATATTAGCCAGATTAAATACAACTGATACATTTTGTGCTAGCATTTCTGTAGTCTTTTTGTTATTTATTATTTTTGTCTTCCCTAGAAATAACATTTTTATCTGTTTGTGTGCAGGTGTTGACTGCTTATTTTCATACATTACACATCCTCCGTCCTGCTAAATCACCAGGCTTTGCTTATGCCTGGCTCGAACTCGTCTCTCACCGACTATTTCTCGGGAGAATGTTGAGCCCGACTCCTTCTCAAAAGGTAGGTCGAAAACAATTGAAAAGATGACATTGACTTGCGTTCTCAAAAGTCAAACGTTCAATCTTGTCCCCAGGGGTGGATCATGTACGCTCAACTTCTGGTCGACCTGTTCAAATACTTGGCACCATTCCTGAGGAATGCCGAATTGGCCAAGCCCGTCACAGTACTTTACAAGGGTACTCTCAGAGTACTTTTGGTATTATTGCATGATTTCCCGGAATTTCTGTGCGATTACCACTACGGCTTTTGTGATGCCATTCCTCCAAACTGCATTCAGGTGTGTTGACATTGTAAATAAGGCTTAATCATGTTAAATGTAAGTGATATACTCAAGTCAACTTTTTCAGATGAGGAATCTGATCTTATCAGCGTTTCCAAGAAATATGAGGCTTCCTGATCCTTTTACTCCTAACCTTAAAGTCGATATGTTGGCTGAAATTTCAAGTGCTCCAAGAGTATTGACAGAATTCGCTTTTGTTATTCAGCCAACTTCATTCAAAAAGGTTTGTTTATTTTTATTTATTTATTCATTTTTCATTATCACAACTTTTAACTTTTTTTTTCCAGGATCTAGACCATTATTTGAAAGCAAGAACTCCAGTCACCTTTTTGTCAGATTTGAGAAGCAATTTGCAAGTTTCTAATGAACCTGGATTACGTTATAATATTCCACTTATGAATGCTCTAGTTCTTTATGTTGGCACTGAAGCTATTGCTCATATCAGGAAAAAGGGTCTTGCACCTAATATGACAACAATTGCTCATTCCGCTCACATGGACATCTTCCAGAATTTAGCTGTCGATCTTGATACTGAAGGTAACTTAACATTTTAAATTTATCATTTGACTTTTTGTTTAAATTTTCTTTTCTTCTAGGGCGGTACTTGTTCTTGAATGGCATCGCTAACCAACTTCGATATCCCAACAGTCATACACATTACTTCAGCTGCACATTACTTTACTTATTCGCTGAAGCAAATACAGAAGCTATACAAGAACAGATAACAAGGTTATTTATCGAACTAAATTAATCAATTTAAATACCGATAGTATTAAAAATATTAAAATTTCAATTTTGCAGAGTATTATTGGAGCGTTTGATTGTAAACAGACCTCACCCATGGGGCCTCTTAATCACATTTATTGAACTGATCAAGAATCCGACATACAAGTTTTGGACACACGAATTTGTCCATTGTGCTCCTGAGATCGAAAAGCAAGTAACATTACTTTTATTTTTAATGGGTTTGATGTCAAGAAAATGTATGGAAAATTTAGAAGGAAAAAACAAGTTTAACCCATTCAGGACATTGTGCATAATATCGTGCTCTAGTTTCTTTACTTTTAGACTAAAGTTCAAAGAAGTATCTTGCTTAACCTTTTCAGGACTGATTTTAGGATAAACGTGGGTATACACATAACTACAAAGTTTAAAAAAATATATTCATAAAATAAATATATATAAATAAGGACAACAAAAACAAAAATATATTCAAAAAATAACTGAATGTAAACAACATGTAACTAAAACTGAGTACGCTTGATAGTAAAGATGGGAAAAACTGCTCTTTTTAAGGATCGGAAAAAAATTGCTCAGTCAATTAATTGAATAAGCACTCGCACTCTCCAAATTTATATTACCCATGATTCCACGGGTAAATTTGGCGGGTTTTTCAAATTTCAGTGCACCAGGGCCAATCATAAAAGTTGATTGTCTCATTTACAGGGTTGTTATACAAAATTAATGATGAACTGTTAAACCTTTTTTAAAAATTATTATTGCCAATAATAAATTTCAATAAAAAAAAGAATTAAGTTTTAAGAACAGTTAAACAAAAAATATAAACCATAATTAATATAAATATCCATTTTTTTAAACTTTCAAAGCTCATTGTAATTTCTTATAACTGAGTATAACATGTGAATAAATAATATGAGCTAGAGTAGTGCTCAGAGTTGGGAAGAGGGGTCATGGAGCGTTGAAACTTCACCAGGCGAAAACGCCGCATAAAGCCGGACTCTGGCCAGCCTGATGAAGTCACTTGCTTCTAAGTTACTGAATCGGTAAATATAAAATTCAGAATTGAAAGGCACTCGCTGAAGGGTTGGTATAGGGAGTAGTGGCGATACAAGAGCTGCTTTTTTTCTCAGAGATATTTGATACTCGCTCAGTAAAGTGAGTTATCTATTCTGATCAGCTTGCGAGCAGAGCCACGTCTCTATTGGCAGACAAGAGGCGAAAAATCAGAAACAATAGATAATATGGAAGGGAATAGCAAGGACGAGAGGTAGAGGGAAGTAGAACATTACAAAAGTTGGCTCAGAAGCTGGATTTGTGAACAGGGTAGGGAGAAAAGGTTTGTCGATGATGAGAATGGGAAAGGTGTGTATTTCCGACCAAGGTGTCTCCTTCACAACAACCTCACCCCAATAAATACCCTGAGTTTGTATCTCTCCAGCTAGAGATCTTAAAATGTAAAAAAAAAAAAATAAATAAATAAATAGAGAGAACAAAATGAGCTTAGAGAGCCTTCAAGCATAACTTTCTCAGTACTTCATGTGGTGAAAAAGAACTAAAAAAACAAACAAACTACATTTTCATCTTAGCTAAAAGGCCGAGAAGTGTGGGGCGTCTGTGGCTGCAATGGTTTAGGCATTGACACAGAACTCATTACTGTAAGGTGAAGGTCCTGGTTTCAAATCCAGCGTCACTGCATTCAAACTGGATGTACTTACAAATGGGCTTTCTTTTCTGTTTTCTCCCCCAAAAATACCGGCACCCCTATGGTGTGCCTACCTTTGGAAAAAAAAAAAAAAAAAAAAAAAAATTGGGTTTGGGAGCCTCCAAGCCTGAACGGAATAGCTCACTACCTATGTAAAGGTAGGGATGAGCGCATTAACCCTATTAGTACCTCACTTGGAGAAACAATAATCACTGACCATCCTGAATGGGTTAATAAGCTTCATTATTAAGCCCTCAAATTAATCCTTCTTAAAATAAATTCATGCCCTTGTAATGCAACTGATTTTTCAAATTAATATTTTATTTGGTTTTTAAAGGTTGTTCGAGTCTGTGGCTAGATCTTGTATGGTCCAAAAACATGTCCAAACACCAGCTGAAAACAATATACCGGAAATGTAAGTGTGTGAATAGTGTACAGACTTTTAAATGCATATTTATTATTTTATACTATCTTCATGTGTAAATATAAGTGTTATATATAGGAGAGAAAGAGAGATTAAAACACAAAATGTACAATTTTAAATTTGTATATAGAAGAGGTTTCTTTTTCTTTTTTTAAATGTTGTGCCTTCCCTTCATAAAAATACAACGCGAGTTGACAAAATGCTGTCCCAAGGTTGTAAGCAGTTCAGAGCATAACTAGGAATAATCCTGCGATGTTAACCACTTATTTATTGTGATAGTCGTTCCATTTTCTATGTAAATAAGATTTAAAATGTTGCGCATGTTGCTATCAACTCCAGGACAGGTCTTCCATAAGTTTATAGGCTGAAAATATCTTCTGTGCTATGTGATTTTTATGAAGAGAAAGGAACAAAAAAAAAAAACAAGGGCATTTTTGGAAAGTTTATTGCCGCCCGTAGAACTATTTCCTATTATAAAATTTATAAATAATGCCTTTTAGGTTTAAGGGTGATTTTTTGTTTGTTTATTAAATTATGGTGAGATGTTCATAAGTTAAATTAAAAAGAAGTACTGGTGTCGCATATTTGTTGAAATTGGAAGTACCCTTTTGTTTTAATTGCAGGAAGCTATCAAAAACTCATAAAGGGCTTTAGATTAGATTTAAATAAGTTAACTATGTTTATTGTATAATAATAAAATAATGTACTGAGTCAGCAATAGGAGGCTCCCTTAACTGTGTTATATAGCTAAACATGTGATATGGTATATATTTTAAAGTTTATGGAGCTTAAGGCTGTTGACATATTTTGTGGTGTAAGTATAAAAGAAGTACATAAAGTGTATCCATGGTCATTGCATTTGGTGATATTAAAAAAAAGTTGTTTTTCAACTCAAAACTATGTTTAAAAAGGCACAAATAGATATTAAGAAAATGATTTAAAAAAAAGAGGAAATCTCGGACGGAGCGATGTTTATTATGTAATTGTAATGAATTTCTTGTATGTATTTCTGTAATAAATAATGTAAACTGATTTTCATTTCAGCAGTGTTTTTATTCATTTTCAAACCTCAAAAAAAAGTTTTATATTTTGTCAAAAATTATCCATTTTCCAAATATAGCAAAACTTCCATTTTTAATAGACTGTCGGAACTAACATTAGTGGATGACATGTTTACCTAATTATTTTTTATGGTTTTTATTATTTATTTTTGAGTATGCTTTTGCAGGTGGTACAAGTAGTAAACAAATTTGGTCAAATACAAAAAGATAAATAATGAATTTAATAACTTTATGTATTTACAAAAGTTTGACAAATTAATATTTTCCAATAGGCTGTTTTTTGTCACAAAATCTGAAAAAAAAAAAAGAAAAATTAACTTCATTAAAAATTAACTGTTAGTTATTTATTACCTGTGTAATAAGACCGGCTGCTATTGTTACTCCACTGACCCTTAACATAAACCTTCCCAGTTCTTTCATGTCTCTGTACAACTCTAAACAGATAGGTTTTGTCGTTTCGATAACTACGACGGCATTGTTATTTTTCAACAGGCACCTAGGCCGGCGCTTTATTACATCCCCAGTGCTTTTATTTAGTTGAGACACTAATTTTGTTATCACAGCCTGCTCCGAAAGACATTGTATGTGAAGTACAACCTAAACATTTTATTAAATATTAATTTAATAACTGGTTAAGGCTTGTAAAAATTAACATTTAATTTATTTTTATAAGGAGAGAGAGGATTTCTTAATATTCAAGAGTGCTTTGGATTTAACAGCCTTTTTTTTTATAATTAAAATACTGTTAGTAAAATGTTTAATCAACTAAGCTATATTTAATTCACAATGAAAGCTTACCGGATATCCTTTTGTGATAGGAACAGTCGTGTTAAACACAACAATCCTAGCTTCAAATTTTGATGAAACTGGCACTGGGTATGCTGGGTCGCACAAAATGTAACCAACCGCAATGTTCTGTTGGTCGAAATTGGCTATAGTCAAACTCACGCAATCGCCGGCAAAAGCAGATTGTGAAGGTAAATCATCAATTGATATCGCTACAAGAGTTTAAAAAAAAGTTTTTTTTTTAATTTTTAAGAAAATCATTAAATGTATAAAATAGACCGTATACCTTTGACAGTAGCAATCTCATTTTGGGGTAGGACGCTGATTTTATCACCAGCCTGTACCATTCCAGTCTCGACACGTCCGCTGACGCAGAACCCAGCCCCGGTGCCTTTATAAATGTCATTTACTGAAATTCTCAATGGCTTGGAAACTGGTCTAGCCGGACATACGAACTTATCTAGAAAATAGCATCTATTAATAAAAATAAAATCAATATAAAAAATACATTCCTAATTGGCGCTTTCCATTTCATAAAATGAGAATTGACACTTTTTAATCATTAGTATTAAAAAGATTATCCAAAGCACCCTTGGATGACATTGCATTCATTAAAAAAAAGAACAGCCATATTAAAAATATATATTATTAGTAATATAACATTGTTATATTTTTTCTTTCTTTTTCTTTTCTTTTTTAGGAAACAGTTCTAATGCAGCACAAAAATGTCCATTTTTCAACACCAACAGTTTTGAAATAAATAAATTAATATGTGAAGTAATGATGATTATTTAATATGAATCAGAAACTCGGTACTCTGGCGTATGCATATGTTCTGCCGATAACTATGTGAATGAAACAACAGAATAACAAAGTACTCATGGGTAATTGGAAATAGTGAAAAACTAAATGAGATTTTTAATATATGATTAAAAAAATTAAGCACAAGTTGTGGCATCCTGAAAAATTTGGAAATGCAAGGAAAAAATGACTTATTTATAAGTATTGTAAAAAGAAATTCTGTAAAAAAATTATTTTATAACCATAAATGATAAAAATGCAGATTATATTTTATATCAGTACTTTAAAAAAAATATATATTTGAAGTACAAATTACTATTTAAAATTGTAATAGTTTGGGTCGAAGGTTTGATATATGGTTGATGGGTTTAGCAAAGAGAGTATAAAATACAAAAAAAAGTACTTTCTGGAATAAATACAATGTAAAAAATTACAAATTATTAATTCTAGTTATTTTCACCATTACTGCACTTTATTTTCTAGTCTACTCAAAACTGTTGGTGAATATAAGTGCAATTTTGAAAATCTGCTGTAAAAAAAATTAAACCATTAAGAGTTTAATTTATTTAAAAGATTACACATATAACACTATTATAAACACTTTTAATTTTTCTCCACCCATCCTGTCGTGAATAATTAAATTCAGAAGTAATAAAAACAAATATTTTGTCCACAGAAATTATAAAGCATTTAATGACATGACAAGAAAATACCAGCAGCACATAATGCAAGAGAGTATAAAACAGTTTCAACACGACTTTCTCTGTTCGAATCAAGTAGTCATGCAACTTCGGTAGAAGAGGGAAGATTAAAAATGGCATTAAACAAGTTAGCTTGGAAAACAATAATAACTAAAGTAAAGAAATATTTTTTTACAATCTGTCTATTTTATTGATTTATTATATTTAGGTATATATTTTTTATGTGGAATAAAACAAATTGAAGATGAACTTACCAATAACTTCGATGAGTGAAGGGCCTTTGTACCATTTAGTAAGTTCTTCATTGGTGCTCTTTTCAACGAGATTTTCTCCTGTCAGACCGCTGCAAGGTACAAAAGTGACTTCTCGCTCTTTGAACCCAGCTTGTTTTAAAAACGACCCTAATTTAGTTGAAATTTCCCTGAATCGATCTTCACTCCATCCGACTGTGTCCAATTTATTTACAACAATACAAAGCTGACTGACACCTGTAATAATATTTATTGTGAAGCAAATTAAAAAAAAAAAAAGAAAAAAGAAAGGGTAAACATTGAGAAGTTTACCAAGAGATCTAACGAGTAAAGCATGCTCCCTTGTTTGTCCCCCACTTTCGAAACCCGTTTCAAACTCTCCTCTAGTCGAGTCGACTACAAGAAGTGCGACATCTGCCTGCGCCGCACCTGTTATCATATTTGGAATAAAATCCTTATGGCCTGGGGCATCGAGGAGAGTCACTGTTTTTGTCGCGGTCTCAAATTTCGATTGACCGACATCCATGGTTATTCCTCGAGACCTAAATTATAAAGTGATTTGAATCAGTTTCAAATTGTGTGAATCAGCATTACTACCTTTCTTCTCCGGTCTCGTCGAGGATCCATGCGTATATGAAAGATTGTTTTCCTATCTTTTTGCTCTCTTGCTCGTATTTATGCATTGTCTTAGAGCTAACATGTCCCAGTTTGTATAATAAATGTCCCATTAAAGTACTCTTCCCAGCATCTACATGACCTGTCACAACCATATGTAACTGCTCTTTGCTGTCTCCTCTCTCCTTTTTAAACTGTTCATCAGCTTTTGGGTTATTCCTTCAATTATTAAAAAATATTGTCATAGTGATTTTTGTTTGCAAAATATTTTTAAAAAATTGTCCAGGAAATACTTTTTTGAAGGAGGAATGGACGCTTCAGCCTTGCTTTTTATTGAAGCCACATCACTAGCCACACTTGGTGAAGAACTTCTTGATGTTTTATTCTCATCCTTATTTGTGTCTGGAAAGGAACCAGTCGCATATATAAAAATAATTAAATTAAATAAATAAAAAGAAACTGAACTGACCTTCATTCTCAGGGACTAAAAATCCTTTAACTACATTGCTTTTCGCAGGGCTCGATACTATAGTAACTACAGGAATCGACTCTTGCATTGCTCGTGCTAATAAAATAATTTATTTTTATAAACTATAGTCATTATTTATCACAAAACAAATTGTATTTTAAGTTCCACTGAAAGAATTAAATTATGGCAATTTTTATTCGGCATATTTCGATTCCTCCCTTCAAATTTATGGCATGAAATTACAAATTATTTAAATTGGTGTAACTTGTAACTGTAATTATTGTTCAGACAACACAAAATAAATAAACACTAATCATGTTTATGTTATTAATGTTAAGAATAATATTGCAATTGGAAACAACAAATATCTTGTCATCAAATGCCAACTAAAACTTTTAAGTAAATTAATGTACACAATAAATTGTTTTCAAATTTTTACATCTCCAAGTTGTGGTGTATAATCCAAAGATTTTAAACTTCATTTAAAAAAGTTTATTACTTCAAACTGAGTTACGAGATTTGAGTTAACTTCTTAAATCTATATTATTTAATTTTAATACAATTATCACAAATAGCTTTAGCTAATTCTTCAGGAAGTATCAATCTTGCAGGAGTTATTTTAATTAAGTAATTTTCTTTATTTAAAATTCTAGATCTAATGGTACAAAATTATTCTTTTAAAACATGAATTTGCTCAATTAAAAAAAAAAAAAATCCTGTAAAGAAAAAAGTGATTTTAATAAACTAAATTAATAAGGAAGGCTACTAAAACTCATTTTTGGTAACAATATATTTATTTTCCAATCAGCGCCACATCATAAAATAAAAATTCAAACATAAAAGGCTTGTTGATTTTTATTAGAATGAAATAATACAGGCAGAGTTTAAAATTATTAAAATCTTTCAATAAGTAAAATATCACAGTAATGATTGCCTGTCTCAACCACAAAACATGCTGTAGAATATTATGAACGGATTTACTGAAAACATAGATAAATACAAAAGAAATTGTATAAATGTAGTTAAAAGATTTATAATTAAAGTTCAAACAATTGTTAATTTCAGAACTAGGTTTATTTACATTTTGCTCAAATGAATAATAATAGTTTGTTCCAGTTATCAGTATGGGAAAATTGTCAGTCTCTTTAAAATCAGTGATAATTTTAAGGTCAGGCATGTTGAACAATAAATTATCTAAAAGTGTACTTGCAAATTGTAAATAATATAAGTTGTAGAGCTTTGGTTCAAGTATAAATAATTAAAATTTCACTTATTGGTGATTTTTTTTTTTTTAAATAGTAAAATTATAACATAGCAAAAATATTTTAAAAATATGTTTGTAATAACACCTTTTGTGAAAATTCTGACAATATTATGTACGAGTATAATTTTATAGTACAATTAAATAAAAAAAGGGGGTGATTTCATTTCAATGGGCATATTGTAGCGATCATGCCAGATAGAATTGGCCCCCTCATTTTTAGGATTTTACCTCAGTTGTTCCATTTCATACATTTGCTTCGGGGGAGGTGTCAAAGCAGAAAATCTTAATCCTTTCAATCTTGGGAAGTTTGGGAATATGCGAAACACGCTTAATCGCCTTTTGGCAAAGGTAGTAACCCAATTTGGAGACGTGGACATTTTGCAAAGCATGGGTCGGGACAACTTTTTTAACAAGGCCTTCATTCGAATCTGCTTCATCACTTTCTTCGTCCTCAGACTGGACAAGTCCTTTCAACATATCTACTTTTTTTATCCTGCCCCTTCTTAGAACCTTGGTTCTTCGTGTTCGATTTAAACAGAAATGGTGTTCATTTTCTTTTCCAGCTATCCTAATTATACGTTTTAGTTTGATGACTTCTAAGTTGGAATCCATCGGCTGACTAAGACCTAAAGAGTCAGAATAATTTTACCTTAATAAACTCATACATGCCTCAAAACAAAACAAAATAAAACCTTTTTTCATTTTTAAACTAAAATTAACATGTGTTTCAGCAAAACAATAAAAATAACAAATTACACAACTTATTTGCCTGAGAGACAAAACCAGTGAGAATAGGATTTGCTCTGTCCAAATTACAATCATAATTACTGAATTTGTTTCATTTTGGCTCGACTTTTAAATTTGATCCTAACTGATGGGTTTCTATTTAAGCTTAAATGTAACTGGCGAAATGCTGAAACATGTATGATCGTAGATATATTAATTAATCATTCATTTTCTTATGTTAATTAAATAAGTAATAAAAACAACTTCTTAAAACTAATATTTATTTTTTTAAATCAAGTAGTGTATTCCATGAATCAAATTGGTTAATATAACTTCATTGGACATGATAAAATTTAAACAATTAAAATAATTACTCATTCTGCGGGGAAAAAAATTAAAATAAAATAAACTATTGTGATTGCGAAGTGACTCACATTGAAGACTTGAGAAATGTGGCAGAAAATTTTTTAAAATCAAAGTTAAACACCTCAGTAGTTAGTTTGTTATAGTTAAAGGCATGTCTATTTACAATCAATTACTAAAATAAAAATAATAAGTTATCAATACACAAAGACCCTTGTCAATAAGTAAATAAATAGCAGAACTTTGAATTATTAACCTTCGAGCGGTCGCGCTAGGTACTTTTGACCCATACGTTTTTTTTAATCTTACAGAGTTTGCAAAACAACAAGTCTTGTTTCATCCTAAAAAGACTGTAAAGAAGGACGAGGTGATAGGTTGCTATATTTAGAGAGTTGGTGCAAATTAAGCCTCACAGAGGTAAAACCACCCTTGGGGGACAAAACTACCCCGTATGGCTTGTCATGTTAGTTTTCATAACAGACTGACGGTACAGGGATGAAGATTTTACATGCTGAAGGTAGTCCCTTCTTCACCTCGGATGTCTTTCGATGATTTGAATTAACGTCAACAAAATAGGGAAAAATAATTGGCGGTGTACCACGATGTTTTTGCTTAATTTGTCAATATCAAGAAGTGAAAATGAGTGAATTTTTTAAGTTAAATTTTTAATTTTTATTAAATTCTATATCCATTTCAGGATCATGGATTCAATACCTACTAAACCTACCAAATATGGTATCAATATCTTTTAACTGTGCGAAACAAAATTGAACAATATCAAAATCTCTATTATGGTTCAAAATTCCCCTTTTATGTGCTAATAGAGGATGTTGTGAACAATGGTTAAGGTGCATTACAGTAAGGTAAATGTCCTCAGGTTCAAATTCAGGGCTGCTGGAAATATAATTTTTTTTCCTTCCAAAAACACCAGCACCCCATACAATAATAAATAATATATTGATAATATAAAAAAGACATACAATAATCAAAAATAAATACATTCTAATAATAAACTAACAACAGTGAATTGGTTTGTTTCACCCAACAAAAAAATTGTATTTTTACAAAAATATTTTATTAAGCAAAGTAAATTCTTCAATTTCTCAATGGTTTTCCTAATTTTGAGAAAATATAATAAATAATTGTATATATTATTAATTTTAAAATTTAAAGTTGACTATTTATAATTTTGTGATAGAGGGTTAGCAAAAAAAAAAAATTTTTTTTTAATGGGAGATGACCACTGGAAGGTTCAAAATTAAAACACTCAAGTCCTATTTGGTAAATTCTTAGCAGGACACAACAATCATTTCATTCACGTAAAAATGGAGCAAAAACCAACCTAGCATTTCACCATAATTTGAAGTAGACAGAATCAATACACTTAATTATCTGATCATCTTATCACATAATATATTGCCATAGTTTAATATAACAATCGACCCAATGCTATCGATAAAAAATTTAAAAAAAAAATTGTATCAAAAAATTATTTGTACTTTTAGATTGACGGGACCAACGTGGCAAAGTGGTTTGGGCGTCCGACTCATATTTGTCATGCTAGCGGTCATGGGTTCGAATCCCAGCATAGGCTAGGGGTTTTTAATTGAAAATAATATGAAAAACATATTGTAAAGTGGTTTGACCCCTCTTTCATTACACTCGCTGTGTAGCCGGATGTTAAGGACTTCAGTATCCCAGGAATTACTTTACTTTTAGTTAGATTTATGCGTAAGCTTAAATAATTCAAAAAAGTTTCATTTCAAATTTTTAAATTCATAATTAACCATCAGAATAGGATTTTTCTTTGATGTACAATTTTATTCCATACATGCATGCACAATTGTATTTAATTTTTTGACCCTGTTTTTTATATAAAAGATCAAATCTCATTCATAAATATTTTGTTTAATTAAAAAAAAAAGTTTTTCATAACTTATTTAGCTACATACCTCTTTCTGAACGTATCGAAGTTAATCTTTGTGGTTTTGGCACATCTAAAAAGATCAAGGAAATTAGCTGAAGGAACTGAAGCTTTGTCTGCCCCATAGAAGTGGAACATACCAATTATTTCCTGTTTAGCCAACGTAGGAGCAACTGGTGGCAGTTTTGAATTGAGAAGTACATCTAAAGCTTTTGGAAGATCATAGTTCTCAGCGATGATCACTTCGATAGCAGTCTGCTCTTGTACGGTGTCGCCGATGACATTTCTAATTTCTTCGAGGCAAGAAAGAAGCTTAGCTTGGTCTGTTTCGTTCAACCGTTCCATCGCGAACTTGGCATCTCCTTCAGGGAGCGGCTGTTCCTCTTCCTCAGCGATGTCCTCCTCGTCTCTTAAAAATGACGAGAACTGAGGGCGAACTGACCGATCGAACATGAACGCAGCTGAAAATGCAATGAAATAGTTAAACAAATATAGTTTAGAAAGGTTGACGTAGAAAGAACAAACCTACTAAGATGGCAAAATGCTGAAACATCTGACATACTTAACTACTGGGGATAGGAAACAACAACACTACATACAAGAAAGAGTGGGTTTGATCCTAAAAACATGCTTGGTTTAAAGAAACTTGTCACCCATGCCACACGCTTTTCTTGACACCAATACACCAATACATAACAAGAGAACTGACAACAAAAAATTGAAAAACTCAGCTTGAGCTATATACATTTTTCTGATCTATGGATTCATACACACTGACAGAAAAATTGAACATAAAAGCCCAATAGCTTTTATATATATGCATGTTTATGATTACACAGATGTACAAATAAAAGTGATATTGAAATGAACAAACCATCGCTTGGCGATAGGGCGCAGTCTTCTTCGACGGAGTGACCGTAGACATCATCGTATCCATCATATTCTAAACAAAAACTTAACTGTACCATTCATTCTCAACGGTTTAGGGTAAAAGCAGCATTTAAGCCTCACCATCAGAATATTTCATGCTGCGAACATTTCTATGCCGCGACATTTTGTACTTGTCTCAATCCTTCGGAGTCAGCAAGCCCAATTCATTTACGACTTGGCAGGGGCAGAATTCAGGAAGTAATCGGCACCGACGATAGTCAACAACTCGAAAGAGATCAATCGGATGTTGGGAACTCAATGGAGAGCCTCAACCCTCGCTGTTACAAAGGTGTCAATGACAAGGTGGATTTTAAAATGACGCCACTACAGATTCCGGTAGAAGCGCTACTATCAACCCGTGGATGGTGGTTGTTGATACTTGGTATCATTCCATATGACAGTATCATTAGTTGATAATTGGTATCATTCCTTATGACAGTAGTACCAGCTGATACTTGGTATCATTCCATATGACAGTAGCGCTAGTTGATACTTGTATCAATCTATACTACAGTAGTACCAATGGATACTTGGTATCTTTCCATATAACGTAGTACTAGTTGATATTTGGAATCAATCACCAGAGCCCCTTTAGCATACTAGACCACGCCATGAACCGAGGTAGTGAACCGTTCTCACTCCTCATCCTGACAGAGAAGAATAGCATTTCCTATGGTTCACTACCAGAAAGCAGGGTTGGTTTTTGAAAATTGAACCCTCTTTGAAAAGTCTGAGGCTATGAACTGTTTTCTATTTTGTCTTAATGCGGCAATACGTGTTTATGTATACTATGCTCTTTTGTACGTTTGATCCTGATAATAAATGTAAACAACACGTTAATACTGAAAATCCGATAAGTCATATAAACACTATCACGTTAGGGTACATAACAATGTAAATAAATTAGTTTCCTGTCGAGATTAGATTATAATTAAATACATTTTGAGGCCAGGTCCAAATTTCGTGAGTAAATCTTTCGCGGCCGAGGTATTTTCGGTGTCCAATTAATCGAGAAGGATAAGGACAAGGACCTTGAAAGTTGAGTATCATCTCTGCTGAAAGTGTGCCAGCTGCACTAGTGCCAACGGCCGTCAGTTGCTCTGTGCTCATTGCACGTCGGCATCTTACCCGTACCGTCTCATATTTTCATTCCACTTATTTGATGAAAAGTGCAACGAACTCATGTTTTTTTCTGTTCGTGCATCAGATTCAAAACGGCTTCGTTTTCTCTCTCTCCCTGGACGGTTCTCAGGGTCAACATACAGGCCGAGCTAACTATAGACCGAGACCTTGACATGACGAGAACACCGTTGCTAAATATAAAACGGGTCGGCTTTTGAAATCGGCTTTGTTGATGCAAAATGAGAAAAGACGACGATGGAGCACCTCCAGGTCTACCCGGTGCACAAGTACCGACAGTACGTACTAGACTGCTGCGACCTCCTCAACTCCGAATGGCCTAAGAGCAAGTCTGCAAGGTAATTTCCATTTAGCTTGTTTTCCTTCTTCATACCATTAAACTGCAACATCACTTCTCATTAGGTGCACATATTAAGAATAGTCAGTATTAAAACAAACAAAAAACTTTTGCAGATAAATTTCAACATTATTACATGCATTTCTTTTTAAACAGATTTTAGCATCAGTTTTCTAAAAAAAAAATCCGTAGACTGTCATATTTATTAATTCTTTCAAACAAAATATTCACTTCTATTGCCATTACTGTATGAAAGAAAATAAATTTAAAATTATAGTTGGCTTAAAGCACGAAATACACTGATGGACTAATATCACTTTCAGTTAATCTTTTTCCTTCGTTCATTTCATTTGATTCTTATTCTTAAATTTTTCTCATTGGCTCCAATCAGGCTTTTATGTGAGTATGACAGTGTCAGGGTTATAACATTATTAGAGGAAGGATACAGCCAGTGCGAAGTCACCAGGAGGACAAGTGTAAATCACTCTGCAGTAGGAAGGGTTCTTCGTCACTTCAGTAGGACTTCACACTAGAAGGTCAGGGTAGGGTTGACCTAGGTATACAGATGAGGGAGACGATAGATTCATCTGTCATCAGGTTCTACGAAATCGCAGTATTATGGAAAATGACAAGAAATCTTATATGACAAGTCTGAAATATTTCAATTTCCTTCAGGACCACGCTCTATAAAAAAAAACCTCAGGGTTAGCTCGTGGACCTCTTCTTACCACAGCTCAGAAAACATCCAGGCTAGAATTTGCACGGGAACATGTGAATTGGACATTGGAAGACGAGTTCTCTTAAGAGGTGAGGTGATCTTCAAATCTTCAGATGGAGGAATTTTATATGGAGATGCTCAGGAGAAAGGTATATCTGTGCTTTATGGTTCTTAAGGTGGCATTCCGTGGTGGGTCATTGATGTTCTGGAGTGGCGTTTCCTTGGACACCTGCACAGAATTGGTTGTTGTGCGAGGAAGATCTCTAATTTCACAGAGGACAACCCAGGGCTTAATCAAAGAACATGTAGTGCCATTTGCACACATTGGTGAGAGATTCTTGCTAATGCAGGATCTTGCCAGGTCCCTTAGTGTGCATATTGTTGATGACTTCCTGAACGGATCAAAGTGCAGAATTGAACCCAGTTGAACACATTTGGGACCAACTTAAGTGACGAGTACGATGGCGAAACCCAGGTCCTAACATCCTAGACGAGTTGAAACGGCTGTTCTTGATGAATGGGAAAAATTCCTCAGGATTTTATCATAAATCTTTTCCAAAGAATGCAAAGGAGTTTAACGGGTGTGATTTGTGCCAGAGGTGGCAATACAGTTTTTTACATTTATTTTTTTATTTTTTTAAGAAGTAGGTAATAAACATTTTCTTTTTAAATGTCTTATATTAACAACCAAACCTATTTTTATTATGCAAAATATGAATAAGCCTAAATAATTAAAATTTAAGGGTGGTGCGTTAATTTTGTCCATTGGTGTAGTTACGGTCGATTGTGTATATCAATTCATTGATTGAAAACATTGGCTCTAATCACAGACTTTTCTATTATCCTCTACTATTGTACTCATCATCAAACTAAGCATAAATAAACTTTCCAGCGTAAGATGTAAAACGTGGGAATATTGAAATCCAGATAACTGAGGAACTTTATTCCTCTGATGGTCTTTGGATGCCTGTCAGCAATTTGATTATATGTAAATAAATTAATTAATCGTTAATGCTCAAACTAAATGAATTAATGCTTTTTATTTGTTGATTCTTTACAAAAGAATTTGGTTTCTTACAATTTTTTAATTATTTTTTATATTTACATAGTGTTAAGAATTTAGGAACAAATTATTGCAGACTGCAAAAACATTTTTGTTTTTGTTTCTCTTTTGCAACTTGAGGACAGCAGCACGAATTTAGGTTTCTTGTTCCAGTGAGTGCTTAGAAGAAACAGGACTGTTTTGTCTAAACAGGAATTTCACATCTTGTGTTGTGTTTCTTAGTGTATATTGAGAATGAATGTATTTATTAGTGTGAGCACAAAAGTTGGAATTGCCGACGTGTTGCAAGAAGTGATAGGCTTGATTCCATACACATGTGTGTATGGATCGATGTATGTGTATGTGTAGATTTGAGCTTATATAAATCATTAATAAGTAAAATTATAAGAAAGGAGTAAAATGATTTCGTAATGTCTTGAATTTATATATTAAATAAATTTACACAGTTTTTTAATTACATCTTACAAACTGCTAAGGTATTTTATCTATTTCTAATAATTTGCATGATTTATGGAAAAATATTCACTTATTTACTTGAAATTAAATGTATTGTGTGTTTTAAAGGTAGATCAGTTTTAAAATTTTGCAATGACATAAGCTAAAGTAATTTCCTGTTTTAGTTACTTAATATCTGACTTATGTAATATTTGTTTTTTCAATTAACTAGACTAACTAATTTAAAAGGAAATGTTTAAACTTTAATTGGTGTTATTATTTTTTTAAGAATGGGTCAGTGCACTTTGTTTGTATATATATTAAATTTATAAACAAAACAATGACAAGTTTGCTATTATGCAATCAACAGCTCATATTACTGCTGACCTCACTCTATATCGTATTAACCTTGAATTATGCGAAGAGATTTAGCGTATGCGCTTAATTATTGTATTTGTGGAAATAGTTTCAGAAATAAAAAACAGAGAGATAATATTCGCACATTTATTGTTATCCTTTGACTTATCCCAACACTCGTCCACGCTTGATTCTATGTTCTTCAGTTGCTCCTAGTCCTTTCTGTTGCTTCTTGGACACCCGGTAGACGACTTTTCCTGCATTGGGCAGTTCTTCGACAGTCAACCCTATTCAATTCATCTTGGCCCTCGATAGTCGTTATCGTGCCTGAACTGGATGTCTTACTGATCTCTGTCTGGCTGATTGAGTGAGTCCTCTCTGCTACTTCATAGATATTTGATAGTCGACTTCATGTCTCGACAGGGTGTTTTCACTCACTCTACATCTGGCTGAGTGAGTCCTCTCCATTGCTTCTTATACATTTGGAATCTGCATTGGGCTGTTCTTCGACAGTCAACTCTGTTCGACTCATTTTAGCCCTTCATAGTTGTCTTTATATCTCAACTGAGTATCTTCATTCAGCCTCTGTCTTGCCTGAGTCAGTCCTCTTTGCTGATTCCTAGACTCTCAATAGTTGACTTGTCTTGGCCATTTTTCGTTAGTCGACTACACATCTCGACTGAGTGTCTACATTTACTGTGTGTCTGGCTGAATGAGTGAGCTCTCAGCTGCTTCCTATACACTCGACAGTCAACTTGTCCTGCATCAGGATCATCCTCATTTACCATTAACAATCATCCTATTTCTTTCTGTCCCACTGTCAAGAACCTTGGGATTGTACTTGACCAGACCTTATGTTGGAAACCTCATATTTTCCAGATCTCCCGCCCCTGCTGTTTTATCAGTTCCATCAAGCCAGCCATCTTCTTCCCATTAGTACCCATAAATTGCTAGTTTCCTCTCTTATTTTCCCACACTTTGACTATAGAAGTGTGGTGTAATAAATTGTTTTGTACATTGTATTGTCGGCTTTCCAAATGACTGATATGTACTTTAGCATGAAGTGGTTATACCCTTCCCACCACAGGCTATTCTTCCTTGGCTCTTTCCTTAACCAAACAATATCTTACCACTCCTCTCCTTATATGTATGATCTCCTAACCTTTAGGTTTTCAGTACACAACCATCATACTCAGTCTAGCTCTTCTGGTCTCTATCCTCTTAAATGCAGAACTACTGCTTTCAGTCATTCCTTCCTCATCCATTCATCCAGCCTCTGGAATTCCCTCCTCACTCTATCTGTCACGCCCCTTCCCTACCTACCCTTAAGACCCTCTATTTGATTTACCTCCCGCCAACGAAACTTAGCACCAGTTACCCTACCTATCTGTATTATTAAACATAATTGTCTCTTTTAATTTTATACAGTACATTTTGACTATACATTAAAAAAAATATTTTGAATTTTTTTTGTAAGTTTGCATTTTTGTATTTGTTTTGAGCAAGAGTTTAGATATGGCTCTATTATGTAGTTTTGTTTTTGGCTTTAAGCCCCAGAATAAAGTTTGTTTTTTTCTTCTTCATTCGCTCATTGTCAGATGACTGTTCGACCGTCTCAGCATTCCACAGTAAACATGTCCCGACCGATCCTCCGATGATTGACTACCCCATTGCTTTTTCAATCCTTCCTCTTATATATTAGTTTCCCAAAAAGGGTGGAGGGAAGGGAAAACAAAATCTGTTTGGCGTAATGGGCATGCTTGCATACCTCTTTATTCTAGGGAGCTTCTATTACTCAGCCCCTGGTCGTTTGTCGAAGGCCTCGTGTAGGGTGTACAAAGCCCTTCCTGTTGATGCGATCTCAAATTTGTGGTGATTCTCACATTCATGTGTGTGATAGCTTTCCCATCAATAAATAACTCTTCTTATGTTTATTATTTATTGGTGCTATTCATCTGTGATTCTACCCATTCCAAGTTTTTGGGAAAAGTTCTTTTGTTCCATACCGCATTGGAAAGCCATCAGATTTAAAGCCTATATTACAAAAAGTACATTCAAAATTATTTAAATTATTGCCTTATGTTATTTATTTTCAACTCATTTATTCCAACTTACACTAAGATGAGCACCGGCTTGTACATGTATTTTATTTGTATATTTACATTTTTTTTCAGGCTTCAAAGTCTCTTTACATCATGCGACCAATTCCCAACACATTTGATGCTACTTTTAAATGATGAACAAGTCGTCGGCCATTTGAAGTTGACCGAAATCAATTATGGTGGTGATGACATAATGGTCGAGTCAGGTAAACGACTAAAACTTATTTTATTTTTGGTAATTAAATATAACTACATTACCAACTGGGAACACTAGCAATTATTTTTATTTGATAAATTTAAAAACATCTTTTGGCTATAATCTCTTAAATTGCTTTAGATTAACAATCTCATTTTGTGTTTTTAATAATTATTTTATTTTTTAGTCGTGATTCACCCAGATCATAGGAAAAAAGGTTGGGGGAAGATATTAATGGAAGGCGCAGAGGAATATGCAAGAAAGTGTGTGACTGATTACATATATATTATTATTTTTTTAATTTAATATATTTTTAGGAGAGGAAAGAAAATGTTGTATCTTTCGACTAGGGGCCAAGAAGGATTTTACCAGAAACTTGGTTATGATAACTGCAAACCAATTCTTTATCTTGGCTTTGCCCTAGAGTGGACGCCAAATGACTGTGAGCCGATGAAAAAAAATAAAACCGAGACTTTTGATTGTGAGAATGCCCCTCTACCACCTCCTTTACCATCTAACGAGAGCCGTCCTAAAGCTAAAACTCTATTTAGGGATATCAAATCTTCTAAAACGTACATGTGCAAGTCCATCTAATACTTTTGAGAATTATATATAAAGATGTTATTTTTTTACCTAAACACTTAAGCACCTAATGGAGTTGGTTTGTTCAACATATACATTGATTGTGATACGGAATAGTGATAGATAAATGCTTGCCGCATGTTAATTGATAGAACATTTATTAATTTATTTTTATAAATAATATATAACTTAAGAAAAATATTTATTTTTATGTCACTTTTCAATTTGATTGTCTTAGTTTAAATAAAGTATTTTCACATTAACAGTTTCTATTAAAAACAATATTATTAAATTAATATTGAAATATATAAATTAAAATTTAGATCTGTAACAAAAGTGCAACACCTGCCAAAGTCCATTTAGCAGGTTTCTCTTTTGTCTTCAAGTTGAATGTCCAGACAAAAGTTGGCCCTCTTGTCCTCGTTTTGTAAACTGGGCATTCATAAACATTCCGCATATCTTGTTTGTCTTGAGGAATTGCCTAAAAACACAAAGATTTTTTTTACACCTTTTAACACTTAATTTATTCACTATTATTACACACACTTGTTTTATTTTAGTTAATTAAAAAGTAAAATAATTTTTGTTTTGTTATTCCACACCAGGTTAATAATTGCCTTATTTCTAAACATTTGTTAATTAATCGCTGATTGCAATGTCCTCAATTTGCTGATAAACAGTTACAATTAGAAGTTTACCTAATAAAAGTAACATGCTTTATTAGATAACAAATTAATGTAATTAATTTTTTTATTTTGTGATTTCAACGATTGCTTTAATATTGCAAGGCATTACTGAGCACATCACACAAAAATCGACAGAATTAAATTACACTGCCTTATTAATTGTTATAAATTAAATTAGTATAACAATTTATTAATAATGATTTTTTCTTCAATGATGATTCATCATATTTCTTTTAATTGTGGGAATGTTTTTTAAAAATATTTGTAAAATTTATTTATTTTTTAGTACACAGAAAGCAAATATTTCAGTATTATGTTTAAAAAAAAGAAAAAATGTGATTTTTATGTTTGTTATGCATTCTTTGTTTTATTACAAAATAAATTTTACACTAAGAGACTGACAAACTATTTTCTATTGTGAATGAGTTTTTCGATACCTTACCCTTATATTTATAACAGGCATAACTGGGAATAGTTCCTTAAGTTTTGATTCCATGATGACACCTTGTAGAGAATCCCACCGGCCACCTTCCATGTAAAGCCCGTGAACATAAGCTCCTTCTCTGGGTGAAGTTCTGATTAAAGCAAATGACGAGTAAATTTATGAGCTGTATAACAAGGATACGACCATGTTGGTGTGTCACGGGTTGGACCAAACTTTTTTTAAATAATTTCTACACTCCAAAATATCTGAAATGTATCTGCCACTTCTTGTGAATAGGCCCTGGTTTTGCCAAAAAAATTTGAAAGTTAAAATTTTCTGTTCTTTTTTTTGCTGTTCTACTTACTCAAATCAACTATGTGAATATATCATTTTACAGAATTTTTTTCATGTAGTTTGCAATAAAAATATAATAAAAGCTATCAAAGTTTATCAATAACCAAAAAATTTCTAAAAACCAAATATTTTTCAAGTAAACTGGGTCATAATTTTTTTGTGAAACTAATATGAAATTTCGTTTGAGCACCTCTAAGAGATTCCTAAATATTAATTTTGGTTTGAATTAAAATTTATCGATTTTTTGAACCTTAAAATCTTTATTTTTAAGAAGTTGTTCTCGGAATGACTGTTTGAAGCAGGTGTAATTCAAAAGTATTTTAATGTCAAATATACCATTTGAAAGAAGAGAAACGAAGCTTTTTAATGATGTATGTACCATAAAAATGTATAAAAGATTTCTACAAGAAAATACATAAAATAAGAAAATATTTTTGTAAGAAATTAATCTCGTTTTTTTTAAATGGAAATAATAGTCCGATTTTAAAGTTTGATAATAGTTATAAACTGGATATATAAACTGAATAAATTCTCGTAGGTGTTGAGAAAAATGATGTTAGAATTTGCATTTAGATTGGAATGTCAGTCATGCAAAAAGGTTGTCGAAATTATAAGTCAAAAAATTAATTTACACAGATTTCAGCAAAAGTCGGTTTCAAAGGGTTTTATAACACTAGATCAGGGCAATGAGGCAAAAATCCAAGTTTTGACCATTGTCTGAACTACTGTGCTTACAGAAAGTTTAATGGCTATAATTCAAAAATGGCTAAAAGGATTTTAACGTCAAACATATCATTTGAAAGAATAGAAACGTAGCTTTTTAATGACGTATATACCATAAAAATATAAAACAGATTTTTGTAAGAAAATACATAAAACAAAAAAAAATTGTCAGAAGTTGTCATTTTTAAATGGAAATAAAAGTCCAATTTCTTTAAAATGAATTATTAACCATGAAAATGTTTTTGTTGGATTCAAAAACGCTAAAAGGATTTTAACATCAAACATACCATTTGAAGGAAGAGAAATGTAGCTTTTTAATGATGTATGTACCATAAAAATGTAAATAGATTTCTGTAAGAAAATACGTAAAATAAGAACATATTTTGAAAAAAAAGAGAAAAAAAAGAAAAAATGTTTGTGATCACATTTGTAAAATGTCCTAGTAAGTAAGAAGTAAGAGTAGAAATAAAAATATTTAAAAAAATAAATAAAATGGACCAACAGTTCGGCATGACGCAGACGTTGTGCGGGTTTAGCCTACTGTAAGCCGTTATTAAAAAAATAAATAAAACGGGCCAACAGTTCGGCATGACACAGACGTTGTGCGGGTTTAGCCTACTGTAAGCCGTTATTAAAAAAATAAATAAAACGGGCCAACAGTTCGGCATGACACAGACGTTGTGCGGGTTTAGCCTATTGTAAGCCGTTATTTATTTTATTTTTTACGAGGGTTCGCAACATATCAATCCTCGGGGTGCCGGTGTTTTTGAAAAAAAGCCCATTTGTAAGTATGTCGGGCTCGAATGCAGGGCCGCTGAAAAAAAAATGATATCGGCATGACACAAACGTTTTACGGGTTTAGCCTATTCTTACGACATGTAAAATTCATATCTCATAATTATTGAATAAACCTTTCCATTCCACTTAAAAAATTATCTTTAAAACACCACTTTAAATGTATGTATATTTATTATTAATTGCCTTAAGTTTAAAAACGTACATAGTAGGGGATATTTTTATTTTATTTACTTGCAACCATTTTTTAAATTGTGTTTTGATAACTCACCAAGCGTATTCTTTAGCTGAAAAGCCTCATGAATGAATGTTACTAAGTGAATGTATTAAGCTTAAATCTGTGCATGCATGGGTGGTGATGAAAATGGGTATCCTAGATATTGAGAAAAATGACGTTAGAGCTTGTACTAGGAATGTCGGTCAGGTGGTCAAAATTAACAGTCAAAAAATTAATTAATTAACACCAATTTCCGCAAAAGTAGGTATATAAGGGTTTAGTAACGCTAGAATCAGGACAATGAGGTCAAATACAAGTTTTGACCATTTTCTGAACTACTTTGCTTATAGAATTTTTATTAAAATATGTAAAAAAGCTGTATTTTGTTGATTTATCTTTTTTACTTTTACTTTTTTACCCTGTTATACTGTTAAAAAATTTAGTTTTTAGACATTTTTTTCGTTACTGATAATTTTTTTAGATTTTACTAGATTTTTATTGCAATCTAAAAAAAAAAAAAATGATTTGAATAAGTATTGGGTTGTCCGGAAAATAATGCAGGATTTTGGTATTAAACAAAAAAAAAGAAACTAGTTACTTTAAAGCAATGTTCTTTAATCAAAATAATTTCCCATACTCTCNAACAATATCATTTGGAAGAGGATTAATAAGTGTTGACATTCATACAAATGAGTAATCCTGTAAACGTAAACAGAATATTTTATATAGATTTTTTTTTAATGAAAACTTAAAATCCTGCATTATTTTCCGGACAACCCAATAGGATGGTGAAATAAAAATATTACAAAACAGAAAATTTCAACTTTCAAATCTTTTTTTGTTGACAAAACCAGGGCCTATTCACAAGAAGTGGCAGATAGATATGTGCACGATATTTTGAAGTGTAGAATCACCAAAAAAGTTTGGTCCAAACCCGTGACACACCAACCTGGTTGTCCCCTTGTAAGTCTTGTGAATTGATATTCTCTACTCCTTATTTGTTTGAACCCCATGTTACTTAGCAAAATCATTATTAAATCATCAAAAATAATAATGGCATATTTTCATTATTCAATTTAATTTCATGATTTTTTGTGAGATTTGACTTCAAGCTTTGTTGTTGATCATTTGGGTTACCTGACAGTACAAAATTATCAGTAACAACCAGGTTCATCACCCTGCAGACTGCAAGAGAAATCGCACAATTCTTTTTTGCTTATGAAAACCATTACGCTTGTATTTACTTTATTTATGAATAATCTGGATCTCAGTATGGTCAAATGGATGGGAAAAAAATTGTTATCTGCCAAGCTTTTGACTTATTTTAAGGTCATCACAGAGCAAAACAATCTTAAAGATGTTTTTTAAATTATTTTATTTGTACCCTATTCATATTGCAAATGTGTGTTACATGTTACAAAACGTTTTCCACACAGTCTAATTTCAGCACTGCACCTGAAGGATAAATGCCATGAGAAACCAGCCAATGCTGAAAAAACCCTTTAAAAGATTTTGGACATCAAACAAAGAAGGCTTTGTAAGGTCTGTAAGAGGTAACTTGACATAATTAAGTTTTTAATAAATGGTTTCAAATTTCTTTGAACATAGACTCAATCCCACTCGGTGTCCTTAGCAGTGACTGAGTTGAGAGAAATTTGAAACTATTTATTAAATACTTAATTATATCAATTTGTAGAATCTTTAAATGGTTTTGTCTTGATGAAGACCTTAAAATAGGTCGAAAGGTTGTTTTTTCATTTACTTGATCATACCGAGATTCAAATTATTTATGAGTAAAAAATTGGTTGATACATCTAATACTTTAAACATTTACTTTATTGCAATCATAATGGTTTTGTTTTTATAGATATGTAAACAGTTATTAATCAAAAGACAAAATAATATTTTGTTAATAATTTAATATCTTCAATTTCTATAAAAGAAAATGGAAATTGACTTACACAAACTCTTCTTTCTGTTTTTTTGTTACATCACACTGCAAGCACATTTTGTCAAGGGGCAGTTCACTCTTTCGTGCAGTACTTTGCATAATTGCTGTCAAAAATGATTGCGGATTGAAAAATCCCGAGAGCCAAACTGACGGTGGTAGCTGATGAAACAATTGGTTACATTTTTACATAAAACAAAATTTATATGAACATACAACAAAATCTGTTGACCAAGTTTCAAGTTCTCTAAGTCTCAAGAGTAGGTCTGCAAACCAGGCTGTCAGTCCGAGAAGCGATGGGTAGGCCTTTGACGTCCAGATGTTTGGAACTTGATCAAGGAATAGCGAACTTTCTAAATCTTCCATATCGTTTGTTATAGTCAATTCACCCTTAATAAATAACAAGTGATGTAGTACACGCCAAAATTTATGTTTTAATTAATACCTTTAAACCTAGATCAAGCTCTTTCAAAGATCTTTTCATTTCGCCGGTCAGTGCATTCATCCTTTGACATTCTTGGAAAGCGACTATGACATACGGAGTTCTCTCCTCGACTTTTCCCATTATTTCTACCATATTAAATTCTTCAGGCAATTTCTCCATGATCTCGTCGATAATTTGCTTAACCTTAATCGGAATTAATTGTACAATTTCGTGACAAATATTTCTGTAGATGCATGTGACAAGCCTGAGTTAAGTCGAGAATTGTAACTTTTAGGAAATTGGGTTTAAAGTTTTATATTTTTCCTCAAAATTAGGAGGCGGATAAAAATTTCTCATGAATATTGACTTGATGTTAAAAATTTTTTGATTTAACTCATTTTTCACTGCAACCACAGATATTATCCATCTGTGCTGTGTTGAGGGTTGATCTTCTTTTGTGATTCTTTTATTATCAATAATAATACTGAATACATACTATATTATATTATTAACAATAATAAAAAAGAGTAATTTATTAGTGCAAATTTAGAAAAAGGTGGCATTTACCTTATCCTCTCTGGTAACAGTGGTTCCTCCAGATGTTGAAGTCTCCCTCGGCTGCATTTCAAAAACTGTTCTGAAGAGCTTTTCTGAAGTCGTTGTTAAAAATCCAATCTCTGCATTTGGATGCAGCCCGTACAGATAGGGACTTTCAGGTGGCATAGCTTCATCAATATATATGTGATATCCTGCATAATCTAAGTTAGGAGGTGCTGCAAATCCTGGTGCTAGTTGTAGTTCACCATCAACCTAATTTTTGAGATTTTTTTATTTTATTAAATACAGGCTACCTCCGAGGTACTGTGGTGGCTGAGTGTTAGATCGTCAAACTGGTATTTGCCACACTAGTTCTTGGTTAGAATCCTGGCATAGTCCGTGATTTTTATTTATTAAGAATATAATAAAGTTAAAAGGATATGTTTTTTATTTAAATTATTAGTTTCTGAAGAAGTAAATAATTATAACAAATGATTTTATTTTTACCAATTCAGACTGCATAAATTCCTCCAAATAAGTTATGCACAACCTTCTATCCCAGTCATCAGTGATGTGCCCTCCATACATAATTTCTCCAAAAAGATATCTCAAATCTTCCCAGGGGACTTTTGAATTTGCTTCAAGATAGTTGTAAAGTACACTTACACTTATGTTTAAGTCACCTAGGACATTTATTTTAATAAAATTGTTAAAGGTAAATATGGCAATGCTTACCAACATTAAACGGGTAAACTCTGTTCCACCCTTGAGGGCCGAATTTTCGCCTTTCAGCTACGACTGCATGGAAGTAACAGAGCAAAAATAAAATTGCCTTGAATTCAGCTTCTTTGGAACATTGTTCGAGCGTTTCTTGCGTGAAATTATCCAAAGCTTTGTGGATATTGGCTTGCATTCCTGTTGGTGATTCATTTGTGATCTTAATAGATGATTCCAAAATTCCCTAAAGAATTAAAAAAAATTTCTTTAGCATTATAGAAATACTGTATAAGAAAATAACTTAACCTGAGGGATACTGTGAGCTGCTGCGGTGGCTGCAGGCTCTGCTGACATAAACGTTCTGAAATCACTGTGAGCTCCAGCACTGTGATATTCCAGTTTCTTTTCTAACGATGGTAGCCAATTTTTAACCAAGTGGACATTCTGATAAATAAATACAAATAAAAAACAACCCAGAAACTGTAATATATGAAAGTACCTGAAGAATGACCCATTGACCCTCGACAGCTGCTTTTTCCATCGCTTCTTCGGCCACAATTTCTTGCCCCTGACCAAGAGAAATATTATGGAAGTTTCCCTTGTCTATTGTAAACCCAAGCTGCTTTCCGAGTTGTTCTACATCCTATTTAATTTTATAATGACTGTTTTAAAGAAATGCAAATAAACCGAGTTTAATTTTAAAATTTATATGAAATACTTTGAGTGGATTAACGCCTGGTGAAAGGATGAAAAATATCGGTGTGCTTGAACTAGATTCTTCAAAAGATTTTGCAAAATCGACGCTTCTTGCTTCCACATATTTAGGCCCTAATTTCTCCTCAATAAATGCTCTGAAATAAATATAAGAACAGTTATATAATACTTATAACAGTTATGATAAAATAATGTCAAACTATGTTACTTCAGGTTTTAAAAAATAAGTACTTTAACATTTCACTTTCTATTTAATCTAATATTTATTAAATAAAACATGCACATTTTGCCATCTTCACTATTGGTCCTCTAGATAGAGAAACCCACAGAAGATGGAAAAATGCTGAAACCCGACTGACAGGCCAACACAGCGAGGATAACTAGACCAGGATGATCAGTAACGACCAAATTACATATTAAGAAGATAATTCATACTTAATAGCATATGTCATTCTGTCAGGTCGCAATGCTCTCATCATACACAATCTTTGAATTGCTGTCTTGTTTTTCCATTCTTGTGGTAATTTCTCTCTTTCTGGACATTCTGATTCGACTAGCTTCTTCCATCTCTTAGTTGAACTTTCAATGTCTCTGTCAAGGTTCCTTTGGACAATTGTCAAGTTAGCAATTAGCTTAGTGATACTAGGAATTGTTTCAAAATACCTGAATTCATCTCTTGCCGATAAACTCCGTATTCCTCCCCAACTTGTATTGGACAAGAAATCCACAGGGCTGGTGACGTGCGGTGTGATCGGGAATCGTAAAAGAAAATCTAATTCAGCAGGCGAAATCTCACTGTTTTTGAGTAAAATCTACAAAATTTATTCGGAGACAGTTTAAAGTTGAATTTGATACCATAGTTAATTTCTTTACTTGAAACGTCATCTGAGATATGAATATAAGCTTGTCACATTCGAAAAGACCTCGAGATGTATACATAAAGACGGAATATGTTATGCAATCTATCAGATTTTCTACTCTTGCTTGAACGTCTATGTTTGGAACTGCTCTTTCTATGGCATTGTGAAAAACAACACTAAACGCCTGAAAAAGTGAAAATCGTTGAAGATGATTTGAACAAAACAGTGTGAAAATTTTTACTTTGAGAGAAAATTGATAAATGGGATTAATTGTATTCAATTCATTCAAAATAAAATAAAGAAGCGAGGCTCTGGTTGCAGCAGATCTGTAATGCTCTCTAGCTTGATCAATTTTCACCGATGTAATTTTGGCTTCTGCAACTTTTATTTCAATTTCAGCAGCGGTCCGCTTCGTAGTTTCTAAATTTTCAACTAAAGCTGTATCCCCAAGCAGATTGCCTATTTAAAATATATATATTTATTGAAATTTATGTTCTAGTTAAAAAAAAATATTATTAGTTGACACCTCCGGCTGAAGAGAGCCTTGAAAGTAGATCATCCTCCAAATTTTTAAGCATAATTTTAAAGTCGTTTTGCTGCTTTGTTAACTCAGCCTGAGGAAATAAAATAAAAGTAAATAATCTATGGTAAACCCAATCCAAGCACAATTTAAAATTGTAAAATAATGATTTAAGTGATTTATCAAAGTCCTGGCATACTTTTAATTGTTCCAGATCTGGTCTTTCCGCTTTAACAACTTCTGCCAGCAATTGATCTTCTAGACCATCACGTGTGACAGTAAAGTTTATAAGTGTCGTCTGAGCCTGCATTTCAGGCTTGTAATGAGGATTGGCAAGTTTTGTGTGTAGAATTAAACGAAAGTTGGAATGGAATTCAACCTCTTTGTCTCCAATTTTTATAGCTCTAAAATTAATAAAATCATATAAGCATTCTATGATTTTCAAAAGTTTAGCTTTCAATATGCAAATTTTATTATTATAGTTTAAATAAAATAACATACTTTCCCTTCTTGATCAGGTTCCTTCCAAGTAGAGGATCAAGAACTGGGTCCAAACTTTCTTCAATATTTTCTAAAAGCACTGTATCTCCACACCTTAAAGCATTCTCCAAAGCTTCTAAGTATCCTTTTTGCCCTACTCGTAGTACGATGATATTTTTTCCATATTTATGCTTTATCCATTTAAGACCTTGAAGCTGTGGATTTACAAAACACTATAAAAGACTGGTTTCTTTTAAACCTTTTTTATTGTGCAAATTGATTATTTATTTGTATCAAACTGCTTAAACATGAAAAGAACCTGCGGGTCGATCATTAAAGGCCAACGATCTGTATTAGACAAAATAGTAGCATTTTCTGTTGACATTCTGTCACTTGGAAGTCCTTCATTGTTCCATGTAGCAATCTGGGCATCATCTGTTAGCAGTGAAAGCGGATCTAAACCATCAGTAATTGGGACAGCCGGCTTTAAAAAAAAAAAGAAAAATTAAAACAAGCGAAGTAAAATTAACAAACTACCTACCTCAATTGTTTTTAATATTGGAAGCCACATCTTGTGTAAGAGGTCTAAACGGTATTGCTTAGTAAAACACCCTACATAAGACACAAAAGCTGTTACTAACAAAACATCACCAGGAAGAGTTGTCCCTTGTTTCATAAAGCTAAAAAAAAGTTCAAATAAGTTGGTTGATTTATAATCTAATGTAATTTTACCTAGCGACTGCCTCAGCCCATCTAACGTTTTCTGATGCTAGACCACCAATCAGCCTATTAGCGAGGGTGATTGTTTGAGTAGTAGCATCTGCTTCTTGCTGACATTTTAGTTTTTCTGCAGTTGCTTGCTCAAAATCTCTTGTCAACTGGCTCAATTGTTCCTCTAAAGACTAAACACAATATGAACTTTTCACCCTTTTTCGTCATATCAAATGACTACTTACATTGACTTTGGATTTAATTATTGCCAACTTTTCTTGAGCGTGGGCTAAATCGGCATTTGCTTGTTCTAGAGCTTTTCGTTTCGGTTCAACATCACAAAATACTTCGAAGAACTTAATTATGTTTATGACCCAAGCACATAATCCTGATGGTTATTATGTGAATTAGTATTATAAAAACAATCACGTTTTATTTACTTTTTTACCAGCAGCAGCTGCAGATTTACTCCTAACAAATTCTGGCTCAAACTCAGAATCTTTTAAATAAGGTTGAATGGCTTTTATGATTTCAGGATGAATATTTTCTTTATCATAATTTATTAAACAATCAAGGAAATAGTCTACTTTTGCCATCATTACCTGCAATACGTATTTTATCACAAATGTAATCTGAATCGTACGGTATTACCTTAGCCGATTTCCAGCTTCGATCTTTTGGAATTTTTCCATTCGGCGCTAAAAGTACCATGACAGCAGCTGTCACGTTCGTAACCGCTCCGGGGGGCGAGCCAAATGACTTCAATTCCGTCAAATTAGCTTTGTTGAGAGTATTTAAAGCTTCCTGAAATCATATTAATTATTAACTAAAATAGGAAATAATTATTTGGCAATTAGCTTATTAACAAAAAACTCATTAGTAAAATATACCTGAGCTGCCAGTAGTGCTGGTTCTGCTTTTCTTAAATCTTCTTCACAATCCTGTTGCTTTTTGGAGACTTCTTGAGCAATAATACCAACTTTCCTCTCTTCAGCATCGGCTATTGATATAATAAAATGATTGTGTTAATAAGAATAATTATTTTTAATGCTTTAACATGGTAATTTGAATATCAAGAAATAATCTAATATGCTTCTTAGCAATAACTATTTCAACTATGGTAAATTATGTTTTTATAATTTAGTTTAATTAAAGAACTTTCAATATATTTTGTGTGACTTTTTCCAGTTAGGAGTTGGACTGGAAAGAACAAAGAGTAGTTTTTATTAAAACATACATAAAGTAAATAATTGACTTTATTTTATTTGAATTAATTATACTTTTTATCTAAGGTTTTGGTTGAAATGAAAAAGCTAGTGAAATAGTGGTGTATTGAGCTGAAAATTGTAGGTTCGAATCTCATTCGTGATCTACATTTTTCAACTCAAACAAGACCTTAAATAAAATGTGTAATTAATTTTATTAAAACATTATATTTCCTGATGTTTTGGCTCTCTTTGATTCTATTTTCAATGTTAGAAGTATCGACCACTTTTTCACTCATCAAGGTATTGATCCAGAGTCTTGGATTCTTTTTAAAAACTAATCTGACTTCTTTTTTCCCTAGCTGACTTCCCCTATCATGTCCCCTTGATGAAAAAGTAACAAACAAAAATGCTGATGAAAAAAAAAAAAAACTTTTACACACTTATTGTTTAATTAAACATCAACACCTCATTCAGTAATGTAATCAGTTGTGGTAATGAGCCTGCAGTTTGGTAGTTTCTGATCATCCTGATCTTCATATTCGCAAAAGTCACAACTGTGCAATTATTTAAATACATCCGACAGGGCAAGTGAAGATCGAATGATCAGAAATGACCAAACTACAAGGAATTATAATTTAAAAAATGTTTTATTCATGTTGCTTTCTAGATTTCATCTACTTTGATTTTATAAAACTTGCCCATTGCTTTTTCAGTGGATACTTTTTCAGTTTCAACACCAACTATTTCAATGAGCCTATCAGCAGCTTCGTTTTTAACTTTGAGTTCTACTTCTTGTATTGCTAGTGTTGCTTTCAAATCGTCAACCTGTTGGACATTTGACCATTACATAAACTGGGTTAGATCGATAAATTAACTTTTTCCCAACCTGTTTTGCCGTCCTTTTCAGTTTTTCTAAACCATTTTGAAGCCTGTCAATCTTCCCTGTTAGATCTTTACTTTTTTGTATTAAGAGTTTTGAATAAAGTGCGATTTGTTCTAAAAATGATTTCGGAGTTGTGTAGTTATATCTTCGCTCATTTATCAAATAAAGTCTCGACATTGAGTTAACCTGGGCATGAACATGCGCCATGAACTGCGCTACTGAACTGCAATACATATCCTGAGGAAAATTCAATTTAGTTTGCGCTTAAGGAATTTAACGTATTTTGCCACTTACTGGAAGAACATCAAGCTTATTAAGGAAATTCATAGACACAGAAATCAGTGCTTGTTGAGGCCATTCATGAAACCAGTTTATCGCACTGGCATTAATCAACGCTGGGAACTTTCTAGCTCTTATTCTTAAAGTAGAACCGACTGGAGAAAAACACAACACTACTTTCAACTGTCTCCTAACTCTATCTATAAAAAATTTCCAGCAGTTGTCTTTCGTATCCAGCATTCCTGCTCCTTTTACCTATAAGAGAAAATTATATATAGTAAGAAATTCAAACTAAATTTAAATTTTAATAAAAATAAAATGCAATTCACTTCATTTCTGACTCCGGCGATGATATTTTCAACTTCATCATCAGGAAAAAGTTCTGGAATTTCTCCTGAGGCCAGCATATCATTTATCAAAACTAGAAAATCCTCGTTAGCAACCTGTGCATCTGTCATTAGGAACATTATACCAAGATTTTTAAGTCCTGACTTCATATATAAACTAGAGAGTTCAATCTAAAACGTAAAAAATAAAAATTTGAAAAATGACAAAAAGGAGGGAAAATTCAAAAGGTGGGGTTGAGATGGGAAGTTGGTGTCGGAGTGGATCGAGGTCACGATAGCTCAAGTGGTAGAGCAGCGGCGTATCTAGCCGAAGATCATGGGTTCGAATCCCGCTCGTGCCATTGACTTTTTTTATCTCAACTAAAAACCTTAATTAATTGTAATATATTAATTGGTCAAGCAGATCACGAATTTAGTGAATGAAAGTAAAAAAATAAGTTAGATAAATAGCAAAAGTTAAAAAAAAGTTATTTACTAACTTTGAGATCTAAAACTCCATAGCCTTTACGCAATTGAATCTGTGCAACTTCTAAACTTGAAATGTACGCTGCCAGTCTTGACAGTGATTGTTTTCCACTACCACCTACTCCGACGAGTAAAGCACTCCCACGAGGAGATTCTAAAATCCTGTTGATTCTACAGACATGTCAAAATTTTGTTATGAATGACACTTTATGACCAGCAAAATTATTTACCTGCAAACATGCATCATAGCATCTTCAAACAATACTAAATTCATGGCGGCAATTAAATCATTATAAGATAGCAAAGCTTCCTGGAGTAGTGTTGTCAACTGTGACCAAACCGTTACTGCCATATATTTTGGTTCCCCTATTCCATGGGCGAAATGGCAATAAATGTTGGGTTTCTCCAGCAATGCACTCTCATCAACTTCCTAAATGATAAATTTTGTTACGTTTATAATTACGTTTGTGGCAAAATGTGTAAAGGTTGTTTTTACGTCGAAATTTTTCTTGATTATATCAATTTGAATTTTGTTAAAAGCATCGACATCCTTGTCATCAATAAGTTTATCTCCATACACTCTGTGAGACTCATGCATCCATAGTCTAATTAAATCGATAGGTTGCGTCAGGCAATCAGTTGTGCTAAATAATAAACCCTGTAAAATAAACATTATTAAAAAAAAAGACATCTCTAATAGTGAATTTCTTTACCTGAAAAACATTTGATATATCACGTAAGTTGAAAATGTAATGAAATTTGGCTGCCGTTGGTAAAAATAACTGCAAGACTTTATGATGAAGCGCTATAGTCGAGGTCACAACATTGAAGCAAAGTCTTGTGACAATTTGTGGAAATTTGTGTTCAGGATTGGCAAAATGTTGACTTAGAATCGACGAATAAATACTAAGCAGGGTATCAGTTGTCGGAAAGCTGAAAAAAATTCGAATCAATTAAATCAATTAAAATTAAAATTAGATAATCACCTTATGGTAAAAACATAAAAATGCCTTTGAAGCCTTGGGTTGATTGTGAAACTTCCAGCCGTTGGGTTCATGCAGGCTACATACTGACAATTATTTATGTCCTTTAATGTAAGTTTGTTTCTATCGTACCAATGGCCATAATCTAAATGCTGCCTTATCAATGTGTGAGGCTCAACAGTTCCATAAGGATCAACCTGTAATAATGGTAAAAAATTATCAAGAAAAATAATAATAATAAATAAAATAACCTGAGGCATGTTCATGTCATCTAAAAAATATATCATGGTTTTATTGCCTGGTGGGCCATAATTTCTACCCGCCTTTTTCTCAAGAGGCCTTTCCAATATCTTCTGAAGCATTTCTGAAAATTAAATTGTATACATTATACCATTGTAAATTTTTTTAAATTGAAATAAAAAAGTTTTATTACCGGAGCTTGTGTAGAAATTAAATGGTACGTTAGTAACTCCGTAGGATTCAGGCAGCTGGGATATTTTATCTGCTATTAAAACTGTTTTTCCAACTCCTGCATTTCCGACTAACATGACTGGGTGATTATTTGCCATGAGGAGATCGACAAAATATCTCACTCTGATTGATTCGGCTGAATATACCAGAAGTGCCTTAAATATAAAACATTTTATTTTATTTACTTCATGTAATATATTTTTTTAATTACTTGGAGAGGCATATCAGGATCGAGCTCAAATCGAGGGACTTTTTCACTCCAAGGGACAAATTCTTTTGTTTCGCTATCTATATAATAATCGAAAACAGTTCCAGCCGAGGGAAATTTGACCGTTTTAAATTCATTCACCCACCACTTGGAAAATTCAATCCTATGATCTATCGCCTGAAAAATTAGTCGTTAAAATGAAATATATTGCGATTGTAAAACGTTACAAACCTGATCTTGGTAAAGTGCAGAACCAAATGCCCAAACGCAGGCAAAAGCGAAATATAAATCGTACCACTCTTTTGGACATTCGGCAGGAGTGTTTGCAGGTACGAGTAAGCATGCTAATAAGTGGCAGAGCAGAGCAATCTGAGACATTTCCGTGATGGGGATGATTTTTTTGAATCTGGACTTCATGCCATCGAGGCATAACGGGATGTATTTATCAAATAATGTCATTAGTGTCGCTTTCTCAACATTGCTTTCTCTTGTCTCAATCCAACTTGTCACATATCTTTGAAAATATTAAAATTAATTAGTTTTTTAAGTATAATGTGACCTTATATACATTCTTACTCACGGGTTCCAACCTAAATCTTGAGGATTTATATACAGAATACCTGCACGGGAGACAGTTGCTGGGGTAGCAGTTTTCAGATTTGATATTTCAAATAGAAGTCTCATTGAAGGAGTTAATGCGATTCTTTCATTGCTAGCAAGTGTCAGCACCTTATTTTGCATATGTATTATTATTTTTAAAAAATAAATAAAAAAATAATTATTAGTATTGATACCTTATTATCATCCATAACAGTATTCAAGGATTCAATCCACATAGGATCAATGTCGCCATCGAGTATGATCCATTTTGGTTGATCATTGGTTATGTTGGCTTGCTCTCTCATTAAATTTGAGAAAAGTCCTAAAAAAAAAAAATAAAAAAAAAATGTTTCGATTGAACTTTTGTTGAATATTTTATTGTACCATCTTTCCATTCTCGCGTGGCAGGATTAATGATTCCAAAAAGTTCATCGTTTGTTACAGCTTTTGGGTTCAAGTCGTTGTACATTGGTTTCCTCCTCATATTTTGGTACGTTTTAAACAACGTCCTCCATACTTCAGTTTTCGAAGTGCCAGCATTCCCCACGACAAACACTGAATGCCTGACTTCCAGCAATTCTTCAAGTTGTACGACCTACAGGGGTACGAACGGGTACTATGCGCCTCCAATAGCCTCTAATACCCAACTCCGACTTTCCACCTTCACGAAGCTTATGCGGGTGTACCCTGTTAACTAACAAACGGAAAGAGGGGTATGGAGGGACAGGAGCTGGACCTGACACCTCCTAATCCTAAACCCAACACCTACCCCTCTTCCCACCCCACACCTTATCCTGGTCCCACTCTCCAGCNTGGAGGTTTAACCTAGCGTACGAAAAAGACACAGGGAACCAAATTGCAGCAATAACAGTCAATGACTTGATGCTTCTGAGAAGAAGGATTGAGTCTATTGACTAAACTAGGGAACTGGGAAGGTACAATAAGCCAGAAGGCTGCAGTGCCCGGGGAGTGCAAACCCCGCTTCCTAGTATCCTTTTCTACCATACCATACCATACCATACGACCTACAGTAAAAATAAAAACAACGAGAAACTTGTAATTTATGAATGAGGTGATTATGTCACCTTTAAAATAAAATTGTCTTCAGGCTGGAGAAATAAATCCATCGCTGCCTGTTTGACGGTATGTTCAAACTCAATATTTCTTTTTCGAGGGACGTCCAACGCAGGAAAAAGGTCACCGATTAAACCCATAAAAACTGGGACATCATCTGTTACTATTTTTGGTGTATTGAAATCCCTCAACGCTCTCATTAGGACTTCTTCTTCTGGCCGCCCAGGGTCCCCTCGCTGAAAAAGTCTTTTTTATAACTAATTTTTTTTTCTAGATATTTTTACCTTGAGGGATCCTGCGACTACAAGAACAGATTTGATCGCTCTTAAACCCCAATCATAGTGATCCTGCTTTGACAGGAGTTCTTTACATAAAGTATACAGTGTTATGAATTTCCGTGCCAATATTTTAGCCTCTTGAAAACCTTCTGCTACTAACATTATTTCACAGATAAGTTCAAAATCTGGCACTACCATAGCACACGGTCTAAAAATGTATAAAAACGATACATTTAAAGTCATAAGTAATTAAATCTCTCACCTAAAGAGTGCTTTCAAATTTTCTGGAAGTTCAGTCCTCCCAGCATACCCTGGATTCATAGTAATAAAAAGTCCAACTGTAGGGACCATTGATATTATTTCACCCATGAAATTAAAAGTATCTTTCTTTTCTCTTATAGCATCCTAATACATTAAATATATATAAAATTCAAAGATTTTGTAAATGACAATTAAATCTTACTTGCAGTGATTTCACTTGAACTGCAACTACAGATAAAACTTCTACAGAGATCCTATTGAATTCGTCGAAACATCCCCAGGAACCGGTCTGAGCTAGACCTTTGTAAATATTCCCGCATGACTGAAAACATTTTTGGTTATTAATATTTTATACCAATTAGTATAAGTCAATTAGTACTTTATAATCCATTTGTTCAGAACAGTTAAAGACATAGACCATTATGCCAAGGGCCCTGCCGAGATCTTTTGTAGTTTCTGTTTTCCCTGTGCCAGCCGGTCCTGCAGGTCCTCCTCCCATGACCAAATGCAATGACTAAAATTTGCAACGGAAGATTTATATCGTAGCTTTAAATTTGAATCAACCTAATCTATTTCTGATCATTTTATTTGAATATATTTACTTGGGTTAAAGTAATGTAGCATCTATCGGTCAATGGTGTTATGACTAATCTAGGCGTATTTCCAAGATATTCATGACAATAACGAAATTGAGCGTCGCATATATTGGCAAAACAATCTGCTTCTTTGTCATCCCATCTGTTATAATAATTACATATAAAAGAATAAAAAAAAAAAAAAAACTAAATGAAGAATACCTATGTCTTAATTGAGATTGCCATTGGAAAGCTGCTGAAGTATCAACCTTCGATTGTATTAACTTAGCAACAACGTCCCTCGAATGTACATCAATTGTGCAAATAGTCATGATTTTTTGTCTGTCTTGCTTTGTTAGTTCTCCGAGTAATAACGATATAAGAGTGCTCAATTGAAAAATCTGCAAGTTCCTTCGTTTAATAATGTTACAGATTAAGTTGAAAAAAATATGTTAACCTGTTTTTTATAATAATCTCTCATAGCATTATCGTAACCCTCTTCAAGTCTTGCAAAAGCCATATTCACTTCAGACGTCCACCAAATTTGCGTAGCGCAGAGTGACACTTGAGCCGGGTAGTCGAATAGCCATTGATCTCTTGGTTTTTCTTCATAGGTCATGACAGCCTCAGCGAAATAATGCCTTATTGAATCTCTCATCGATTTCTGCACTCGGTTCAGCCAGTTTTCAACCTAGTAATATTTTGGATTATAAAATTAATTAAGATATTTTTAAAATTTATGTGTACCGGGCCTGTGCAATCACAATTTCCATCAAATTCAACGTATTCCCCATCCTTGGCATGCATTCCTAGAGCATTTTTGGGTTCACCTTCTTTTTCTACTATAAACTTCAATGAGGCAATGGAATCGAACAGTTTGATCATGTGCCTAATAAAACAGCAAATTTATCTTGACAATTTTTTAAAATTTGATTATTAATTTAATTACCTGCAGACTGATCTTGGATGGTTTCCATTTGATAGTATGTCTAACAGGTCAGCCGAGCTTACAAAATAAAATCTTGGGAATTTCAGACGTTTTGTTTCTAAGTATTGAGCCAGTGCTTTTTCACATAGTGTAAGCTCGACTTGTAGTAATTCAAGTTCAGATAATAAATTCGGCCTGTTTGTAGCTTCTAAAACATTTGGAATTTTTGCCATTTCTTCTAATAAACCCTGTAAAAAATTTTTGTCAAGGCGAGAAATTTTAACTTGCATTAACAACAAAATTACCTTAAATTTTGAATCAATATTACAAAAGCGTTCTGAATCTTGTGGTAGTTGTTTTTTAATATCTTCAGAGCTCATGAATATCGATTCGAGATGGGTCCAAGTCCTTTGCACCTCAAACCAAACCGTTATTACTTGATCAGCGAGCGAAAGTTTGCTCTGCCAGCTTGAAACTTCTTCCAAAAAGTGTGCGATGAATTTGGACGTTATCAAATTTTGCAGCTGTACTTGGTTTTCCTCGAGAGTTTCGATGAGTTGTTCACTTGCTCTAAGAAGAATGCATCCTGTCCTCGGATGCGGTTCCTGTTCCAACTCCATCGCTGACCAAGTAACCCCGAGCTCCCTCAACATTTTCTCCATTGACATCTCTTTAACAGCCTTATCGACGATATTCTTGACTTCGTCTTCACATTCATGAAGGTTCAGTGCAAGCAAATCGGCCAATGTAGTCTCCGTGTCCATCACAAATTGAACCTTGACGATTGAAAATTTGATTTGAACATTTAATACACATTAAACAATAAAAAAAATGTGATATACAAATTTATGTGCATATATTTTCAGATACACAGTATTGAAACACTATTGTTTATACTTACAGTGAAGTTTGGTGGAAGCGCAACAATATTCTGAAGCGTTAGCAGAAATATTAAAGTGTTATTAGCATTATATACAGCAGTTAAATAATATATGTGTATAATACACCTTTTGTTACAAAATATGTGAGAGATTTAGTTAAAATTAACTTTGTATATGTACATATTTACAACATTTTAATAAATAAAGTTAATATAACATAAAATATAAACAAATATTTACATTAATTATACATTATAAGAAAGACACAATAAGAAAACATTAAACTGTACAAGGTACAAAAGCTACAGTAAAAACTAAAATTCTTTAGGTATGTGCTTTTTTGCAATTTGAAAATTAGTCATTTTAATTTGTGGAAATTATGTACATGACTCTACAAGTCCTTTTTATACTTACTTTCGTTTGCTTTATCAACTGATGCCAGTGTCTTTCTCTAATAGCAGCGTTTTGAAGTTCTCCTACAGCTCTCAGCGATGTAAGCATGTTTTTAACAGTTGCTTCTAATGTTGTATATGTATCCCAGTTTTTCATCTCTTTGTCCAGTGCTAAACATCAAATATGTTGTAGCCAAACGATAAAAAAAATAGAGTACATACAGAGATAATTTTATAATTGAATTAATTAACCACCTCTGATGTCTTTAGCGAACTTTTTACACTCAATGTCCATATTTTCAACATCCACATCTCTCCACGGTGTCGTTTTCCAGTCAGCAATGCATGTACGAACTATGTATACATAATCCCATAATTGCTGTAAAAAATTTATTTATTTAAATTGCCAAATTTTATCTTCTTACCCAAGGAAAAATATTTTTATATTTGTATTTAATCCCATTTTTTTACACACCATTACAATTAAATTAAGTAAATTAATGCATCAAAACTATTTAAATTTAAGCAGTAAAGGTTTAGAAAATTCTGAAAGTTAGTCAAATTATACTAGAAGAATACCTTAAGCATTCGCAGTTCTTTTCTACACTGTTTTAGATATTTGAATTCAGGAATATTCAACTCAAACAGTGATGCTGACTCTTGTAGAGCTATCATTTCTTTCTCATGCTCAAGAATTACTAAATGAGTTTCATCCAAATATTGATAAGGGTCTTCACAGTCGTACCTTCAATAAATAAAATCATTAGTGTTTAATTTTAATAATGAAATAAAAATAAAATTACTGTAGAAATTTTGATTTTTTAAATGTTTCTCGTAGTCTGCTCTGCCTGATGTCGAACCAGGTGATTTTCTTCCTGATGGATACGACCTCTGCAGCTTGAAGGGGAGATACAGCCTGTTTGATGTTAGACGCTAGTTTCTTCGTGTTGTTCCATTGCTCTGGTAATTCCTATAGAAGATTCATTGTACAAAAAGTGTTCTTAGTTATATATTTGTTAAACATACTTGTAACAAGACATTAGCTTCTTGCGGCAGCTCCATTTCGTACGTTTTCAACAATTGGATTGTGTCTTGTAACGGGCCAAACATTTCGTCTGTTGTTGGTTGTCTTTCTTTAACTTGCAACAGGTAACCCATGATGCTAACCAACGCTTCGTAATCGCCTTCTGCGACAGTCTGATTCAACCCTTCATCTGCGTTCTGTATAAACTTTGCCAGCTCCCACAAACTTTAAAAATAAAATGTATATTTCAGTGTTGAACAATTATTACGAACAAAAATTACCTGTTTGTAACATGCTCGAGCAAGTATTGTTTAAACATAAAAGACCATTTTGATATAATGTTTAAAAGTGTCATTTTGAAAGGTTGAATATCCAACTGGAACCACTTGTAAAATATTTCTACACTCTTTAATTTTTCAACTTCAGAGTACAAACCCTCAAAGCTGTCTATCTGTATTGAAAAACATTTCAATTTAATAAACTACAACAATTAAGAAAGAATAAATACCTGTTGTTTGAATTGTTCCATTGTAGGCGCTTGTGCATCTTCTGGAGTAATATTCATTTCAAGCTCCTCTAAAGTTAATTGTCTGCCGTATGCTAAAAACTGCTGCATGTAGGATTGCCGATCATCGAGCCACAAATTATTATAAACTTCGAATCCAGTACAGTTATCCATAACCTATACATAATAACATAAATATTTTTGTGTTTTTTAAATTTTACGTATACTGGACACCTCTTCTACAGCAGATGTTACGCTCTGCATAATTTCTTTTTTCATTTCCTTCATATCTTCATTGTTCTCAATATCTTCCTTAAAATGAAGAAACAAAAACAAAAAATTATAAAATTGCATTCCTCTTTGCTTCACCATTTTTGAATTTAACCTAGAGTGTGAAAATGTAAAACAAATGCTCATATGGTCACAACAAGCCCATGCCCACAATTGTACAAAAAGAAAAACTTGTTCTCAATATACACACATGGGGATAAACATACACATAAAAGCTCTGCAATGTCTTGAGCAATCAATAAACTTAAAAAAAAGTATCAGGGGTCTTCAGTGGCTGAGTGTTTAGCTGGTTCAGTGAATGCCCTGTCCTGGACAGATGCACTCAACATTGCCAATTGGAAACTTCTCTAGCATACTCAGTGTCTAGCACTCTTAGCGATCACCAGAAATTATCAAATTATGTCCACTACAGCCCTTCAACTCCTTATAGATCTGCAAGTGGAAGTCTGCCGTGCAAAATGGGAATTGTCTCAGGGTAGGACACCCTAGTGGCAATGCTGGTAGGACAGGTCCAATAACCAGGACGGAATATAGGAGTTTCCAGAGCGTAGCCAATACAATGAAACTGAAACACATAAATATTGACCATTACATGACCCAGCTGTTCAACCAGCCATGGCAATTTTGCGCTAAGACTGCATGGATTTTGTCGAAAGGAGGACACTGGTAAACAACGTGCGACAATTGATGCTCTCAGTAGAGTGGTGCATACCAAAAAAGACTTCCCTGCGACAAAGAAATTCATCAGAGATATTATGAAAAGAAAAGGCTGGCATACCTAAAGAAAATATCTCATCCCCCAACTTCCCGACCGGACACCCCCCAAGGTCCACCTGTACATGTTCCACAGCGTGACAAAGTTCTGGTGGGGGGGGGGGTTGTGTTGAGCCACAGAATAAAAGCCTATCCCCTTAGTCCATTCATGGAAGATATCAGTGGTCAAGCGGTTCTGGGCTATAATTTTGGCATAGTCCTTGAATGTGTTTTTGCACAAAAAGCCTTCCCATATGACAACACTTATTTTACTTTAAAAAGTACCAGCAGTATTTTTTAAAATTTCATTAATGAAATAATTTCCAAGGTGTATCATGGTGACCTACCACCCTTCATATATGTAAAACTATAATAAACTTATATTTGTGTTACCAAGTAATGTGGATGACCATTTCTTGAAATTCTGGGTACAAGAGTTGCCATATTGATAATGTCTACAATTAAGCCTTCCATTATATGAGTAAAGCACCCATCCACCGATGTGTCCAAAGGTGGTTCACAACTCAGTATCAATTCACTTTCATTTAAAATTAACTTAACTCCAAGCAGAGGAGGAAGGTGGCTATCCGCGTCCATATTTTCAGTTATGTAGCCCAAACTTAAACATGGTTAATTATGGTTATTTGAGTTCAGCAAATAAACATTTTTATTTATTTGTGAGTTATTACCTGCATCCTATTGTCGTGAGGAGTGAATCACTTACGATGAGATCAATGTAATTAATGTACATATTCCACCTTTCTGTGTCTTCTTTACCTACCATGCCGAAAAGCTCCTTATTCTCATTTAGCAATTGGTGTATCTCTTTGCCAACTTCTTGTATTTCGCTATATCTAAATGGATTTAAAAAAATGAAGAAAATGGTGGCATTTTATTTTTAAAATTAAAACCTTTTTTCTATTTTTTCTTGTTTATCATCTATAGCTAATAGGCCTTCTTTCGTTTCAGGGGATGAGCGCATAAAAAGAGGATGTTTTGCCCATTTCTCCAACAGGTTTCTCATCGTCTGCACATTGGCTTGAGTTTGGCTCAACGGCCCCTGAACACCTCTTACTACCTCGTGTAACTTTGCAATATACTCTAAAAGCTCTAAAATATGTGTTTTTTTAAAAAGTTCAAAATTAAGTCAAAAATTTAATGAATTTAGTCAAACCTGAAGAGAGCCATGTTAAATTGAACTCGGCTTCTCTTATTAATTCATCAATTTGATCAATTTTCTCCTGTATAAGATCAAATTCAACTAACCGACTATCTCTTCTCATTTTATTATACCTAAAATTATATGTGTATTACTTTACTTTCAAGTTTTTTCTTATAAATAATAATTTTTTAACCATTGTATTATAATGTTTAATTGGACAGTGTATTCTCTATACTGATCACGCTTTGCATAAATATTCATACCGGATTCCGGAATACCTTCTTTTTCATCCAATTGCAAATAATGAACTTCTCTTAAAATTGCTTCCAACTGAATTAACAGAAATTATACATTAAATGTCTAAATATTGAATGAAAAATAACAAAATTTACTTCAGGATGAAAATTCAAGACGATCATTGTCTTTGGGATATTTCTGGTAATTATATTTTTTTTTAAGTGGGTGTCAATGGCGTCGTCAACCCCTTTAGACCATTCTTCAAAACTCCTTTCACCAAAATCATTAAATTTATCAAGCAGATTATCATATTTTTTGTACAAACTATTCGCTCTGTGTCCTTTAGAAATTCTAAAATGATAACAACAATCATCATTTTCTCTTTGCATAAAATTTATGAAATTAATTTTACTGACTTATGATCTAAAGCTTTAAATCTGATTACAGAATAATTTAAACGCTCCTTAAGCATCGCAACCCATCTCAATCCTCCGGCCACAGGTGGCATTCCTCTATCAGTATCTACATGACCAGTCGTTGCAAATTTTCCCATCTGCTCACTGAAAATTTCCTTAAAAAAAAAAATATATTGATTCTGAAGTTTTAAACGAACGCAAGTTAAAATTATCATAAAAAAATGTCCCAATTAATTATACTTTTTATCTAAAGTCTTGGTTGAGATGAAAAAGTTAGTGTCACAAGAGGGATTCGAATCCACGACCTTCTAATAGATCAAGTTGTTCTAATAGATCAAGAGCAGTGGCATATTGAGCGGAAGGTCATCGGTTTGAATCCTGCTTGTGACACTAATTTTTTCATCACAACCAAGACTTTAGATAAAATGTATATTTATTGAAATGATTAAATAGGTCAATTATGACCACTAAACATATATGGATTAATATATTAAAAAATATATTCCATAAAAAGTATTTTATTTAAAAAATGTATTTATTTATTATGCATTAAAAAAATGCAATGTAAATTATAAAATTTAGTAGCAGTCGTTTAAACCTGTAACGAGAAAATTAATTTTTCAGATTAAATTTCCTTTGTAATCATCAAAAGGTTAAACAATTTTATATGGGAGCTTAATATCAATTAAATCATATTTATTATGTAAACATAAACATAATACCTACCTCAATTGTGTTAATTTCTGTAGAAAGCATTTCGAGGATAATTTCAAATTTTCCATTAAATTCTTGTTTGATTAATGTCCTTTCAAGAAAAGATCCAATTATTTCTAAAAGCTACATTATGGTTTTATTAGTGTCATTTTTTTAATATATTTTTTTTATTTTTATAGGAAATGAAAATTGATGTTTTCATACTTTGAAAACACCTTCCAGGTTGCAACAGTCATCAAAAGCCAGGCACAAAATCGAAGCTAAGCGCTTGTCAAGATCGCTTATGTTCGACTGAAACATAGCATAATCGTCCATGAAAGTTTTGTCATCTGGATTCAAGACATCATACGATTTGCTGGAAAATTCTGTAAAATAAGTATTAAACTGTTGGGAAATATCGACGAGCTGGGCGCTAAGGATGCTTCCTTTCACATTGCCGATCTCAACTCTTTCCAGTTTTACAAATTCAACAACTGTCAAGAAAAATTTCTGAAAAGAATAGGGTATTATAGTTTTTTTTTATTATAAAGGAACAAAATTTTTTTATCTCACTTCAATTGTCTGAAGCCTTTCGGTGAAATTATTAAACCTTTCAAAAACAATGTTTGGGTGGAATGTCCATAGTTGAGGTGCTGCATCACCAGTGAAATATGTGGGCAGTTTGTCTTTGAAGTCATCAAAGGTTTTTCTAATTAAAAGAAAAGACAGATCTGTAAATCAGATTTTTTAAATTTTATTATAACTTTACCTAAAATGTTTAAGAATAAAAAGAGATAATTGAACTCTTTGCAGTGCTTCATCTATATCTGTTTGAAATATTGAACTTGGATCTAAGTACTTCTTGGCCTGAAAATATATATAGAGGAATCAACATTTTCTATTTTTATTTTTTTGCAACAGCAGAGGTCATATCAACCCTCATGGTGCCGGTGTTTTTGGAAAAAAGCCCATTTGTAATTAGGTCGGGTTCAAACACAGGAACTTTACCTGTGTAGCACCTAAACCGTTGCTGCCACCGACGCCCCCCCAAGAATCAACATTAAAATAGTAAAATAAAAGATAACATAATTGATTATTTTACTACAAGTAAAATATGCAAATATAAGGTAGTATTTCCAGAAAAAATGCATCTAGAATAAATTTAGAATGTATATTGATCAATTGGATCTATGAAATTCACCAAAACATTTTTGTAATTTCAGAGCATCCCATTACAAGCTTTCCTCATTCCTCTGGAAAAAATTGGGACCTTTAAATAGTTTTACACTACACACTCCCAGGTCATGAGGGAATTTCATGTAATGAGTAAGCAGACACCCTAGCTAAAAAAAGAGAACCTCAGAACAATACATAGGCCTACATCGCTTTTGCTGTATAAAATAATGCAACATTAATAAAGAGTTGGAAGCTTGGTTAGAGAACACAACAAATACTGGGAATATGACATGAGGCAAGCAAAACAATCACCTCATGGGAGAAAGAGGACATTCCACTTAACAGAAAGGAATTAAAAACCCTATCACGTATACAGTAAAATACCTCTTTAAAAATTGGACAGATGAGCAATAACGATTATATCTAGAGGAGAAAGAGAAAATAGAGTAACTAACAACTCATCCTATGCAATAAGCCTTGTAATAGCTAGGAAAAGCTACGGTAGCTAGGAAAGCCATTCTTAAGAAACAAAGACCTAAAAAGAATTATCTATTTTATTAAAAATATTACAGAAAAGCTTTTGCAGAAAATACCTATAGAGTATTATATAATATTGTATACTAATATTACAGCTATTTTATTGATTAAAAGCCCTAACCTTCCGCAACACTTGTCTTGCGGAACTGTATACTTGGAGTCCCAGTAAGGCGCTTCAATAGCAAGTATCTCTTATGAGAAAATCACCCAAATAAATTTGTTTGACGTTTTACTTTGTGTGTGGTGATTAGTGACCGTTAGTCGATGATTATTCAGAAATCGTGAGATGCGGGCTGGTGTGATGTAGGTTTCAGAAAAACATTTTCTTTAACGTGCCAACGTTCCGATCTTTAATGAGATCATCTTCAGTTAGTTTTACTTTGTCATTTGTCAACGACAAAACATCAAACTACAAGACTCACTACACAAAACCACCACAAACTGTGGACAATGCAGACAACCTTTAACAAGGACATACTTAAAATATGGAAATAAGATATATTCAACACAAAAACGTAACAATAATTAATTCTCTCTCTCTCTCTCTCTCTCTCTCTCTTTCTTCTTTTTCTCTCTAATACACTCTCCTTCATTCAATATCTCTTACTCACTCATTTTCTCCCCATTCTCTCTCTCTTTATTATTCTTCTACAAAAATTCTCTATTCCTTTGTATAAAAGCAACTAATTTTTCAGCTAGTTTGTTGATTAAAAGACCAACACTTCCGCAACATTTACAAGTCTTGCGGAATTGTATACTTCGAGTCCCAGTAAGGCGCTTCAATAGCAAATATCTCTTATGGGAAAATCACCGAAATAAATTTGTTGGACGTTTTACTTTGTCATTTGTCAACGACAAAAAATCAAACTACGTGTCTCACCACACAAAACCACCACGAACCATGGACAACGCAGGCAACCTTCTACAAGGACATACTTAAAATATGGAAACAGGATACATTCAACACGGAAAAAAAGATTAATTAATTCACTCTTTCTCCTCTTTTTCTCTGTAACACACTCTCCCTTATATAAATATATCTTACTCATTCACACTCTCTCTCTCTCACTCACTTATCCTCATTTACTCACTCACTTACTCATTGACTCTCTTTCTTTTGTTTTTCCCTCTTGCACACTCTCCCTCATTAAATAGCTCTTACTCTCTCTCTCTCTCTCTCTCTCTCTCTCTCTCTCTCTCTCTCTCTCTCTCTCTCTTCCTCTCACCCACTCACTCACATACTCATTCACTGACCCTGAGAAGAATTATCTAGTTTATTACAAATATTACAGAAAACCTTTTGCAGAAAAAACATTAGAGTATAAAATTTTTCAGCTAGTTTTTGATTAAAAGCCCAACACTTCCGCAACATTTACAAGTCTTGCGGAACTGTATACTTGGAGTCCCGTTTAACCCGCATCAATACGAAATATCTTTTCACAACTTTTATGGGTAAATCAACCAAAGCAATTTTTTGTTTACTGTTTTCTTGGTCATTTGACAACGACGAAAAATCCAGCTACACGAATTATCTAGTTATTAAAATATTACAGAAAACCTTAAGCAGAAAAAACTTTGGATCGTTTGGACAGAAAATATGAAAGTTTAAGTGCTAAAGGGGGAAATCCCTACGACTTCAAAGGAAAAAGAAAGAAACATTCCATGAAGGCATATTGCCGAATAAGGTCTAACTGCAGAAATACTTTTTTGAGGAAATCGTACTGCTCAGAAGCTTTAGTTGTTTGGTTATCTCTGATCATCGTGACGCATTTTGGCTTTTCGTCAAGTTCAATGATGGGTTTTGATATTATTTCTTTTCATTGAGCGCTTTTTACGTGTCAGTTTTTATTTATTCTGACAATGAAGTTGAATTTACCAAGTCTTTATGTCTGTAATGGAATTGTACATTTCCGGTTTGTTTTTTACTTCTTGAAGGCAACTAACTTGCCTGAATTGATGAGCTAGGTAGTTTCGGATTATTTTGGTTTATTTTGGCCTGTTTTTCGCTCTAGAAAAAAATACTGTTTTTTACGAAATCGTATAACTCAGTGGCTCTAACTTTCGACTTGACGAATGATGAACACAGGGTTTAGCATATTCACAATTTATATCTATTTTTCCCTGACCAAAAACAGCGTGGATGGGCGGATCAAAATAATCATAAACGCACCTCCTCATCCTTCACCACGCAGACCGAAAGAAGTAACATCACAATCGAATTGGTGAGAGTTGTTCCCTATTTTGAGTTGGTTTGGTGTGTTGCGTAAATGACATTTTCTACTAAGGTCCCTAAATGATTTACTCTTTGCCATTGTATTTTTTTACCTTCGATGTAATTTTTCTCATATTTACATGTTATTCTATTTAGACGGTTTTTGTCTGGCGGGTTAGAATTGTCAATATTTATTCAGATCAGTTAAGTTGACAAAGTCTATTATGACCTGTATGTAACGTTACTCAACATACATAAAAACTTTTGGTTTATGTCATAACAAAAAAACGTAATCGTGTCATAATTCAGGATTTTTCTTCTTTCTAAATATCCCGAAATAAAATGAAAAATAAACAATTCTGTGCAATCGTATTAAATTTGACAAGACAACAAAAACTGAAAGCAATTGCAAACGAAAACCTTTTTTTACATGCTAAGTGACAACAAACTGACAACTCAGGTATACGAGAACGTGAAGTCTTCGTGCACATGACATGTAGCGTGCACCTGAATAAATGACGGTGCGAATATCATCCCATATTTTACAATGAATAGACTTAGGATAGTGTAAACATATAAAAATAATATTTCTTCTTTTCCTGACGATTCCGATCAGTCATGTCTTATATAATAAATTGTACCGTGTGAGGTTTTTATAAAAAGATTTTGGAATTGGTGAAGTCTTCAAAACTTGATAATTTCAATTTATCGTCTAAACTTCTAAAACAGAAGAAAATTGAAAATTTGATAGAATAATTTTTATATTTTATTCGATAAAATTTTCAATTTTTTTCTTGTTTTAACTAGTTACACAATAATAAGAAAATTATCGAATTCCAGAACGAATCGATGAATTTTTGAGGATAAATTTTTTTATCGCACATTTTGAAAGTTCTTCCCATTCTAAACAATAATACCAACACTCATTGGTTTTTTCTGGAAATATTGAAGTTTTCCTACATAACGGGATAATTCCAATTCATCGTGTATCTGATTGTTGTTAGTTTAGTTGTTACTTAGTTGAAAAAAAAATCAACACTAATTAAATTTCCATTCATTTAAATTTTCAATTTTTTCCTTTTTTTTTAACCATTTACACTCTCTTTCTAACGAACTCATCTCTAACTGATTCACTCACTCTTTTTCTTTTCTTTTTCTCTCTAACAAACTCTTCATCATTCCATATCTCTTACTCTCTCTCTCTCTCTCTCTCTCTCTCTCTCTTTTACTCTCACTCTCACTCACTCATTCACACATTTACTCACTCACTCTCTTGTTTTCCTCTTAACACTCTCTCCTTCATTCTCTCTTTCTCTCACACACGCACTATCGCTCACTTCTTCACCCACTTACACACTCACTCACCCTGGAAAATTGTTTCATTAAATACATTTCTTGTTCTTCTTTAAAAATTCTTTATTCCATTGGGAAAAAAAAAAAAAAAAAAAATACAGCTTATTATTTAAAAGACCAACATTTCCGCAACATTTACAAGTCTTGCGGAACTGTATACTTGGAGTCCCAGTAAGGCGCACCAATAGCAAATATCTCTTATGAGAAAACCACCGAAATAAATTTGTTTGACGTTTTACTTTGTCATTTGTCAACGACAAAAAAATCAAACTACGCGACTCACTACACAAAATCACCACAAACCATGCAGACAACCTTCTACAAGGACATACTTAAAATATAGAAACAGGACACATTCAACACGAAAAAATTAATGATTAACAATTCACTCTCTTTCTCTCTCTCTCTCCATCTATCTATTTACCTATATATCTCTATCTCTATCTCACTCTCTCTTGTTTTCACTCTCAATCACACTCTCTTTCTCTCCCACCCTTTTACTCTCTCACTCTCTCTCTCACTCTTTGTCTCCCTCGCTCTCTCTTTCTCTTTTCCCCTTCTTCTTCGTCCCCTATCGCACACCATTTAAAGCATTATACCAATTAAAAATCACAATGGTCACAATGTCCAACTGGAACAATTCGATAGATAACCCAGACTCCAAGAAATCCATGAAAGCCAACACATAAAAACAAAGCATACTACTACTAAAAAAATGATTTAAACTATAAAAAGAGGAATGAAAAGGAATTAGAAATATTAATAATTAAAAAATAATTACGAATATCTTTCAGCTATTTTATTGATTAAAAGACCAACACTTCCGCAACATTTACAAGTCTTGCGGAACTGTATACTTGGAGTCCCAGTAAGGCGCACCAATAGCAAATATCTCTTATGGGAAAATCACCGAAATAAATTTGTTTGACTGTTTTGTCATTTGTCAACGACGAAATATCAAACTACGCGACTCACCACAAAAAAACCACCACGAACCATGGATAATGCAGACAACCTTCTACTAGGTACATACTTAAAATATGGAAACAGGATACATTCCACACGAAAAAATTAATGATTAATCAATTCTTCTCTCTCTTCTTCTTTTTTTCTCTCTCTCACTACTCTCTCTCTCTCTCTCTCTCTCTCTCTCTATCTCTCTATCTATCTATCTATCTCTCTACACTAGAGAGGATGAGTGCATTAATTAATCGTTACGTTTTTTGTGTTGAATATGTCCTGTTTTCTTATTTTAAGAATGTCCTTGTAGAAGGTTGTCTGAATTGTCCTTGGTTCGTGGTGGTTTTTTGTGGTGAGTCGCGTAGTTTGATATTCGTCGTTGACAAATGACAAAGAAAACAGTCAAACAAATTGCTTTCGGTGATTTTCTCATTAATGTTGTGAATAGATATTTTCTATTGATGCGTCTTAATGAGATTCCACATATAAAGTTCCGCATGACTTGTAAATTTTGCGGAAGTGTTGGTCTTTTAATCAATAAACTAGCTGAAAAATTGGTTGATGTTCGGATTAGGGCGAGGGAGGGAGAGAAAGAGAGAGAGAGAGAGAGAGAGAGAGAGAGAGAGAGAGAGAGAGAGAATTAATTATCGTTACTTTTTTGTGTTGAATATGTCCTGTTTCCATATTTTAAGTAAGTCCTTGTAGAAGGTTGTCTGCATGGTTCGTGGTGATTTTGTGTGGTGAGTCGCATTGTTTGATTTTTTTGTCGTTGACAAATGACAAAGTAAAACGTCAAACAAATTTATTTCGGTGATTTTCCCATAAGAGATATTTGCTATTGAAGCGCCTTAATGAGACTCCAAGTATACAGTTCCGCAAGACTTGTAAGTGTTGCGGAAGTGTTGGTCTTTTAATCAATAAACTAGCTGAAAAATTAGTTGTTTTTATTCAAAGGAATAAAGAATTTTTATAGAACAAAGAGAGAGAGAATGAGTGAGTAAGAGATATTGAATGAGGGAGAGTGTGTTAGAGAGAAAAAGAAGGGAGAAAGAGAGAAAGAGAGAAATAGAGAGAGAGAGAGAGAAAGAGAGCGAGAGAGAGAGAGAGAATGAGTGAGTGAGTGAATGAGGTGAGAGAATGAGTGAGTGAGTGAGTGAGTGAGAGAGAGAGAGAGAGAGAGAGAGAGAGAGAGAATGAGTGAGTGAGTGAATGAGGTGAGAGAATGAGTGAGTGAGTGAGTGAGAGAGAGAGAGAGAGAGAGAGAGAGAGAGAGAGAGAGAGAGAGAGAGAGAGAGAGTGAGGGGGGGGAGAGCAGTGTGTAAATTATTCTGCTTCTTGACATGACATTTTCGGTGGCTAGCCTGCCAGTTTCGGCATTTCGCCATCTTCAGTTGTTGGTCAGCCTGACAGATACGGTTTTTACAGTTTTGGCGTGACTATTAAGTAAGTTAAAGAAGTAAATTAGGAAATAAAAAGAAGAAGATGTAGTTTTGTAATAATTTGTAGTAGGCCTGGGACCAAACTACTTGTCGTAGAACGGGCACTGATTCCGCAAACAACGTTTGATCGGATTTTTTATCACTGGATAAACACGGTACGAGTAAATGATATTTAAATATAATTAAATAAGCTTGAACGTTCATTATTTTAATAAATCAATAAAGCTAATTACCTGTTCGATAACTAAATTCGTTATTTGCTTAAGCAGAACGATAATTCTACCGGAATTGCAATAGTATTTGCACCGGCTCCAGACGAGGCAGACTGTATGCATCAACGGAATGAAACAGGGAAGAACATCCGAAAAGTCCGTCTCTTGGATGAGGCCAAAGTGAACCTCTAACGGTTTCAAATAAACATTTATTTCGTTGGCTTCCGTCAGGGCTAAAATAAAAATAAAAAATCAATATTTAGTTGTAGAAAAGGATTTAAGCTTACCAGAAACAACGTTGAAAAATATGTCTTTGAAGCAGGGCCAGTAAGCACTCTCTGTGTGTTCGAGTATCACTGCCATTTTCCTCACCCTATCTTCTCTCATTTGATCGTATATGTATTGAAGATTTTCTTTCCGATTGTTCCAAAAAAGGATCTCTACAAAAACCACAATTATTTTGTATTTTCACTTTGATGTGCGTTTTAATTTACCAGAGTTTGGGGTGGGATTTTGACCGTTGGCGAACGCCTTGGATGATTCCTCAGACAGAACGTCGTTGATTTGAATAGCCCATTTGATGACGACACCTTCTATGGATGATTTTAAATAAAGGTCTACCGTTGTCTCGTTCTCCTCTTTTAAATTTTTAGTCACCTCGTGTACTCTGTCTATGCCGATCGGCATGGGCAGGACCGTTTTCCCTGCCACGTACCCTCTCACCTGGTACACGGTGCTTTTTAGACTGTGCACGTGCTGGCTTATGTCCTGAGCGACTGAAGAGGGCCATTTTTTGTGATTGTTTTTGTTCGACAGCAGAGGGACGAATATCTGCAACGAGGCAAGAGTTAAGTCCAACTTGAAAAAAGCACCCTGGTTCGTCATCCACCTCGTCGACTAAAATGGCGAGCTGTTCGATTGGCTTTGTCGCCAAGTCTCCGTAAATTATGTGATGGTTCAACTCAGTTTTCGGAACGGGGCCTTTATTCTTTTTAACAAAGTAAGCCCCTTTGTTCTTCAAAATCACGGGAAAGCTTGTCGACGGTATAAGCTGTGCTGCGTTGTTCTAAAAATAAAAATAACTTGAACCTGAGAACATAGATGTCATCAGGGTTATAAGCAGGGAAAGGTAAGACGCTGACTCCTAATGAACCGGAATGTACTGAAACGTTGACATGATTTTTTTCCGTTTAGGTCAAAATTGGCAGTTTTGTTTTTAAAATTTGGTGAACTTTGTTGAACTAAGTCATCAGAAACAATCATTAATTAGAAAACTATCTCAAAAGTCCCATATAAAATGTCCGTTTTTGTACTTATTACTCTTTTAAAAATGTTTGTTACTTCCTGTTGATTCCTAGATAAACATTAATAATTTCTAATAAACGCTTTGCAACTTCATTATGTTTCACTTCTTCCAAGTAGTCTCATTTTAAATTTGACAATACGGGCGTCGGTGGCCGCAAGTTTTAGACTTTGACACGGCGCTCATCAATGTAAGGTAAAGGTCCCGGGTTCGAATCCAGCGGCCCTGCATTCGAACCCGACATACTTACAAATGGGCTTTTTTTTCAAAAACCCGGCACCCTTAGGGTTTATATGACTTCTGCTGTTGCGAACCCTCGTAAAAAAAAAAAAAAAATTGACAATGGAAACACGCGATTTTTGAATGATTTCCTTTATGATTAGTCATTCTTTTACCCAAGTTGCACGGAATATTAATCAAGTTTTGGGCGAAGTTTTGTAGGGAAGTCGTCGGTTTCTAAAGCTTCCTTCAACACTTACGATACCCACTTCCGCAGATGGCTTTCAACATAAATTTATGAAAAACCTTCTTAAGGAAGCTGAGAAAGAAAACCTCGAGCAGTCGGAGAATTTGGGGGCATATTTTGCCACTAATAGAAAGACAGTTAATAGTTTCAAATCGAAAAAGTTAAAAAAGCCCGATACGTGGTTCTTACACGATCTGAATGGAAGTCAACAGACAAAACGTCAAGAAACTTGTGAGCCATTCTTAAAAGCATGATAACATGCGATGAAAAATTGATCATGTATGACAAACGACGCCGATCAGGCTAGTGTTTCGATGTCGATAGGCCGTCTCGTCACATCCCAAAACATAATCTTGATCCAAAAAATAAAAATTAATAAATAAATAATTGAGATTGTTTTGTGTGTATTGTGCTCTGTGATCCATTTTTCTTTTCTACTGATCAGTATCGTGTTTTTTTGCTTCTGCATAAAAAATCATTCATGATCATATGGCTCACAATAATATGCGGAGATAAATTGATCACGTATGTCATTCCCGGCTGATCAGGTTGACAAGATGTTCTTAAGTCAACCTTAAGTAAAAGTATGTTCCAATAGAAACCAATGAAAATCCCTTCTTCCGAAACTGATTTTTTTTCTCGGATTCTTACTATGTTCATAAAAATTTAAATCGTTTCCCCAATACATTTATATATAGTTAATTACAAATTTTGATAATTGCTTTGCAAACTTTTAAATGGTGAGATTCCCCTTGAGGTTTGCGTTGTGATGAGACTAGCTTGATATTTTCCAATGATTTTGATCTGTCCAATCTCGTTGGTGTGATCTACATTCGGATTTTCGCCATTTTTTTAAATCTATATTCTCTTAAAAATATGTGAAAAGTTGAAGGGACGAGTCAGTGTCTTTAATGGACTAATGCTGGGTTTTTCATTGTCTTCTTTAGCCAAACACGAATCATTCAACATCAGAAATGATGTTTGTAGATCGACCTGCAGATAATCAATGTAGAGTTCAATATCTTCTTGAAGGTCTTTACTAGGTGAAAGGAAGACAAAAGTGTTGGAATCACCAAGCTTTCGGCAACATTATGTTGCCATCATCAGGGCCTATTTATTAAGAAAGTATACATAATTAATATACATTTTAACAATCAATCAAAAAACATCAGTGCATACTTTCCCAAGAAAGAAGAGAAAATTTTTTTTCTCATCGGAAAAAACTAATGCAATGGTTTAGGTTATGAAGCCATAATATATGGTGAACAAGCCATCTATGTAAAGTAAATTAATGAGTAATTATGACATTAATGATTGACAAAAATAATAACTTAATATATACAATAACATTTTTTATATAAAATAAATTATCTCACTAATAATTCACACATTTACAAGTCCAACTGTTTTTTTTTTGTTTTTTTTTTAAATTTGTTCTTACTAACTATTGTTGTGATTAAAACCAATAAATTCATTACATTATCACAGGGTATTACATTAATGACTAGAATTTAATTTAAAGCTTGTTTAAAATTATAAATACAAAGGATTACAATTAAGATGAAACCCAACACACAACGTTGTCTCATCTAAGGCTGGATTGATACAGTTAGTGAAGGCTATCAGGCTCTGTGCACTCCTCATTATGCGCCCTCTAACGGTCGCCACCTTTTTTCCGTTTTTTATACATTTCCAATAATCCCGCAAACAAAAAAACAGTTGGACTTGTAAATGTGTGAATTATTAGTGAGGTAATTTATTTTATATAAAAAAATGTTATTGTATATATTAAGTTATTATTTTTGTCAATCATTAATGTCATAATTACTCATTAATTTACTTTACATAGATGGCTTGTTCACCATATATAACCGAATGCTGGCCATGTGCTTCATAACCTAAACCATTGCATTAGTTTTTTCCGATGAGAAAAATTTTTTTCTCTTCTTTCTTGGGAAAGTATGCACTGATGTTTTTTGATTGTTCATTGTTAAAATGTATATTAATTATGTATACTTTCTTAATAAATAGGCCCTGATGATGGCAACATAATGTTGCCGAAAGCTTGGTGATTCCAACACTTTTGTCCTTCTTTCACCTTGTAAAGAAGATATTGAACTCTACATTCATTCAACATCATTCAAATACTTCATTAAAAAATGTAATAAAACAACATGCAAAGAATAGATTGAAACTGGTGCATGAAATATTTGACTAACAAACAAACCGTACTGGTCAAACAGACACTGTTTCATCTAACGTTATTTATTCTATTTATTACAATTTTTTAGTTTTTAACTTGATTTATCTAACAAGGTGTCAAAGAAGAACATGTGATTAAACCTGAAATCTGCTCAGTTCTTTTAAAAAACGATCTTTTGCGACTTACCTGAGAAATGACTAACAGCCAGGTGTTTGCGGAGTCCAAGAAATCGTAGACCGTGTTTCTGTAATCTTCAATCCCCATCAGCCTCGTCCACTTCTCTGGTTTGAGTTTCATAGTCTTTTGAACGCAGTTGCCTAGGAAGTCGATCCTCTCATCCGGCGGCGGGGGGCCTTCCATGATAAAGTTTGTGGCTGGAAACATTTTATCCGAAATAATTATTTATATGTCGAACCCAATAACCATCTCTCCTTCTTCTTTTGCATTTTAATAGCCGCAATTTACAAATTAGGTGAATGTACACGATTCAATTCAGGTGCGTTCTGCTAATTAAAAAAAAATCATTGCAATATAAAAACTAAACAGTTTCGACGCGATGTGACAACCAGTTTCAGCATTAAACGAGATAACCGACTATGGTAACATTTCAAACAAAATTTTCATCTTAAATGCTGACAATTTTAATGGTCATCTATTGGTCTATTGCTTAACAAAAATATTATAAATAAATCTCGCATATGACTTAAAAAAGGCTCATTATTTTCCGCTTTCCGGTCTTATATTGTCTTATTTAAATACGTCCAGTATTCGTAATTATTTTTTAATTATTAATATTTCTAATTCCTTTTCATTCCTCTTTTTATAGTTTAAATCATTTTATTAGTAGTAGTATGCTTTGTTTTTGTGTGTTGGCTTTCATGGATTTCTTGGAGTCTGGGTTATCTATCGAATTGTTCCAGTTGGACATTGTGATTTTTAATTGGTATAATGCTTTAAATGGTGTGCGATAGGGGACGAAGAAGAAGGGAAAAAGAGAAAGAGAGAGCGCGGGAGAAAAGAGAAAGTGAAAGGGTGAGAGAGAAAGGGAGGGGGAGATATAGACAAAGAGTGAGAGAGAGAGTAAAAGGGTGGGAGATAAAGGGAGTGTGATTGAGAGTGAAAGCAAGAGAGAGCGAGATAAATAGGTAATAAGAGCGAGAGAGAGAGAGAGAGAGAGAGAGAGAGAGAGAGAGAGAGAGAGAGAGAGAGAGAAAGAGAGAGAGAGAGAGAGTGAATTGATTAATCATTAATTTTTTCGTGTTGAATTTGTCCTGTTTCCATATTTTAAGTATGACCTTGTAGAAGGTTCCCTGCGTTGTCCATGGTTCGTGGTGGTTTTGTGTGGTGAGACACGTAGTTTGATTTTTTGTCGTTGACAAATGACAAAGTAAAACGTCCAACAAATGTATTTGGGTGATTTTCCCATAAGAGATATTTGCTATTGAAGCGCCTTACTGGGACTCGAAGTATACAATTCCGCAAGACTTGTAAGTGTTGCGGAAGTGTTGGTCTTTTAATCAATAAACTAGCTGAAAAATTAGTTACTTTTATACAAAGGAATAAAGAATTTTTGTAGAAGAACAATAAAGAGAGAGAGAATGGGGGAGAGAATGAGTGAGTAAGAGATATTGAATGAGGGAGAGTGTGTTAGAGAGAAAAAGGAGAGAGAGAGAGAGAGAGAGAGAGAGAGAGAGAGAGAGAGAGAGAGAGAATTAATTATTGTTACGTTTTGTGTTGAATATGTCTTATTTCCATATTTTAAGTATGTCCTTGTAGAAGGTTGTCTGCATTGTCCACGGTTCGTGGTGGTTTTGTGTAGTTTGATTTTTTGTCGTGGACAAATGACAAAGTAAAACTAACTGAAGATGATCTCAATAAAGATCGAAACGTTGGCACGATAAAGAAAATGTTTTTCTGAAACCTACATCACACCATACCGCATCTCACGATTTCTGAATAATCATCGACTAACGGTCACTAATCACCACACACAAAGTAAAACATCAAACAAATTTATTTGGGTGATTTTCGCATAAGAGATATTTGCTATTGAAGCGCCTTAATGGGACTCCAAGTATACAGTTCCACAAGACTTGTAAATGTTGCGGAAGTGTTGGTCTTTTAATCAATAAAATAGCTGAAATATTAATATACTCTATTGTATAATACTCTATGGGTATTTTCTGCAAAATCATTTCTGTAATATTTTTAATAAAATAGATAATTCTTCTTAGGGGTATAGTATCGAGGTCGAGGAGAAAGAGAATGAGAGAAGAGATTAAGAAAAAGGAGAAAATTGACAATTTAATTGAGTGAAATATGAAAATTCAATTAGAGTTGATTTTTTTAAAACTAACTTTAAACAACAATATATACATTGGAAGTATCACGTCATGAAGGAAAACTTCTGTATCTCCAGAACAAATCCATGAGTTTTTGGTGCTATTTTTTAGATTTGAAAGATCTTTCAAAACGTTTTTATTCAAAGGAATAAAGAATTTTTAGAGGAGAACAATAAACAAAAACAAGAAAAGAATTCATGAGACATGTTAAGGATTAAGATTAATTGTAAGTCAGGTCACGTGTTTATGAACCGTGTGAAAAATTTTCTGGGGGTGAGTGAGTGTGCAAGTGGGTTAGTGGATGAGAGTAAGAGAGAGAAAGAAAGAGAAAGTGAGAGAGTGAATTAATTAATGGTTACGTTTTTTTGCTGAATATGTCCTGTTTCCATATTTTAAGTATGTCCTTGTAGAAAATTGTGTTGTTCATGTTTCGTGGTAGGTTTGTGTGGTGAGTCGCGTAGTTTGAGTTTTCGTCGTTGACAAATGACACAGTAAAAATTCAAAAAATTTATTTAGGTGATTTTCCCATAAGAGATATTTGTTATTAGTGCGCCTTAATGGGACTCCAAGTATACAGTTCCGCAAGACTTGTAAATAGTGCGGAAGTGTTGATCTTGTAAGCTATGTTCACTTCGCACAATATTTAATAAACTAGCTGAAAAATTAGTTGTTTTTATTCAAAGCAATAAATAATTTATTATTGACGGAGTAGATTTTAGGGGAAGGATCGACTCAATTGAACTGAACTGACGAATGAAAGCCAGAAGGATGCAATGCTTGTGGAACATAATTACATAATCTTTAGCGAATTTCCGCAATCATTATGATCACAGCAGTCAGCCTGGATTAACCAATGAAGGATGATCGTCATTCATATTCTTTTTCATTCATTCAATATTCTTTTCCTTACATGTTGTCAAGGATCATCTATTTTTCTGGGAGGTGTGGTCTCTTCGGCTATTGCTAATCCCGTCCAATTTGTCAAAATTATAAAAGCGTCTGCAAGTCTCGTCATTTTGTATACTATTTATTTACTTGTAACTATTACAAAAATTAGCTGTATGAGTATGTTAATAGAAATTTTTCAGTCGTTTTCCGTTATCCACGGATTCGATCCACACACAAGAGAGACTACTATAAAATGAAAAGGATGGTTCTAATCAGAAACTGTGATGATGACTTTTATAAGAAGACCTGTTAGGGCTGCTGAAGATTGAGCCCGAAGCATAATAAAACTAGTGCCTTCCAAGACCTGATCTTTTTTTCATCCTACGGAAATTACTTAATTTTTATCTTTTATTTCTTTCTTCTCTATTCTATCAGATAAACTGATTATGGCAAAAATTTAGAACGTGTCTGAACTACCACACAATGAGTTAATTCCTTGTATGACTAGCATATTATTTTTTTTTAAGGTAAACTTTTAAATCATTTGATCATTAAACTATATTATTGCAAGGCGTCTTTTATGCCCGTTTTAAAATTTTTGTGTTTATTTCTAAATGTATTCTCTAATAGTGCTCGATATTATGCTTTTAAGTCCATTCTTCGAAGGTGCATTGTGGTGATGGCCAAGTTTTGACCATTAGAAAAGTTCTTTATAATTTTTGTTAAAAATTATATTTTATTCATGTCTAAGGTTGTTTGGCTAGGGTGTTTTCCCACTAATGTTTTTTTTCTAACGGATTCCCACTAATTCTATAGTTGCTATATCGCCGTAAGAGGACTTTATAATGGTCACATTTTCCAGAGCTAATCTTTTGCCTGTGCCTTTGGTGCCGTGGTTACCTGAAGTTGGAGCAGAGCTTGCTTCATTTTCTAAACGTTGCTTTGAGCTTGTCGGCGGTATGTAAATGAAATCGCCGATTGGCTGTTTGGCGCATTTAGACACCTGTAATTTACCGTTTGAAAAAGAAAAATCTATCTCTATAAAGCAGACTAGACTCTACCTTGTCTTTTCCAAAAGTATCCATGTTTGTATGTCTGTGCTGTCTTATTCGAAGTTTGTATTTTGTTATGTGTTTGCTTTCCAATACAAATTAAAATTTATGTGAATTACATGTTGATGGTGATTCTCGGACCCTATTGTATTCATTAATTAAGGTTATTTTGGTGTTTTATATACTTTAAGCAGAGCTGCCATCTGAAAAACGGCATCTTTTAAAAATCAAAAAACAAAAACTACGTAAAAATTATTGTCTAGCAATTCTCGTTTTAAAAAATACAGAAATGTTTAAAGTATATATCTAAAGGTGCTTATCAAATTTTGAATTTGTTCCGAATCAAAAATCTATCTTTGTGCTTACTTTTTGAAAATAAGTTATAATCTTAATGCCTTGTATGCTCTTTGATTTATTCGGAACTAAATTGATTTTAATTTTTTAACTGAGAAAAGTGATAGGAATGTTGACGGTCTCTAGCATATGAGAAAACATCAACCCGCATGGGCATATTCAATGATGATGCCATTTGTTTGCAATGAGGAGGAAGAAACGACGTCGCTAAATGGAGGCTGGAGGATAAAAAAGATCCCAGGGAATGGAATTGCAACAGCGTCAATGATCTAACTTAGAAGAATGATCGTGTCATTTGCACTGAACTGGGGAACTAGGAAGTTAAAACAACCCAGAAGGCTGCAGTGCCTGGGGGTCGAAAACCCCCCACTTCTTAATATCCTCCATCATCATCATCCATTTCTTCTTACAGTGGGGGGTCCGAGGTGGGAGTTTTCAGGACCTCCGACCTTTATTTGCCACGGGTTCGAATCCCGGCGAAACCCGTTGTTTTTTAATTGAAAATGCTAAAAATTGTAAGTGGTTTGACCCTTTGTCTGCGACACCCAACGGGTAGTCGGACGTTAAGCCCCCAAGATGTCCACATCGGACAAACAAGTTTTATATTTTCTTTTAATTTTAAAGAAGCACACAGAACAATTTATTGTAAAATTAATCAAATGACACGAAAAACCGATAATTATACAAAAATCATCGAGGAAATACATTAACCCTGGCGTGACGACACAGTTCAAAAGTTTTTTTAGCCATTATATATTATTTAGATGGAGAAAATAATTGCGTCTTGTCATGATTTCTTACCAGCATTGACATTTACAATTCTAGACTACACGAAGTTTATATTAAGCTATTAGAGTTTTCAACGCAAGTAAATCTTTATAAATTAACTCGCGGTCTTTTGTCGAATCCATTTAAAACGTGGTTTTCCGAGAGTTTGATGGACTTTATGCCAATTTTATATCAAATGACACGTTGAACCGCTTCTTTTTATTTTTTTTATTGATTTGGTTTAATATGCATTAGCGTGCATGTCGTCTAAGGTTGCATGTTCCACTGTCGCTTCTCTACTAGACAATAAATAGCTGGAAGAAAAGTAAGGCACATTAGTTTTGATTTACTGCGGCATATCTGTGCCATGTACCAGTCTATAACTTTAATATCGGTTTGACACATTTTTTTACCTGGCCAAAAATAATAAATAAGCAATTTTACATTTTTTTTAAAACGTGTAATGATTGTCTTTATTAATATAAACTCAATATAGCGCGTTTGAATAATTTTTATTCATGACGTACAAAAGTATAGCAACTTGTTGCAAATCGCCAGTGCTTAGTCGTAATTACCGTGCCACGCTTTGTCACTTTATCTCTGATCTCTAAGAAAAAATAGATAAATTATTCCAAGTTTCACACCTCATTCTAGCAAAATAAATAGTGAGACTTAAGCTTAATCTATCAAAAACTAATTTAATTTAAATATTAATAAGATATATCAATTTTTTTAAAAATGTGTTAAACTTATTGCAGATAAATCTTAAATGTTTTAGAAAAATTCACTTCAATAATAACCACAAAATCTATTTAAACTATTTCTTACAAACCCAGTGCCAGTTCACCAAGCGTTTACAGTCTCTCAGACCAACATCCAACAATTTTATTAGCTTGAGTTTAAAAATTTTTAAACGAAAAAATGTAATGAGCACGACAAAAAACTGAATGTTTAAGTAGCTCAGAAAATTTCCAAGAGGAGCAGATTTCATTTAATGATCACCAATGCATCGTGTACGATCGTATTTCTACATTTATAATTTTTTGCTTTAGTTTTTGTTCCATTAGCATCTATTTTTATAATTGGATTAATATTTCAATATGACTGTAATCACATTTCAAATTTGCTTTTTTTACATCAAATTAAACAGAAAAAAATTCAATGCGTAAAAATTGTTCTACTTCCTGGAAATCATGCAAAAAACTCTGTCTGAACTGAATGCTTAAGTAACTCCGAAAATTCTCAGGATGAGCAGATTTCATTTAACGATCACGTATCGTATATGATCGTATTTCATTTCAGTTTTTTTCTTTAGTTTTTGATCAATTATCGTTTATTTTTATAAGGTTTGTAATAATATTTCAATTTGACTGTAATAACATTTCAAATTTTCTTTGTCTAGATGAAGTGAAAAAAATTCTACTTGGCGTGAATCATGTTTTTTGATCACTTATGTATAAAATATATGCTTGTATTTCATACATTTATAGTTTTTGTCCCATTATCACTTAATTTTATAAGCTTTGGAATAATATTTCAACTTGATTATAGGAACTCTTAAACTTTCTTTACCTACATCAGCAAAAAAAAAAAAAAAAGAAAAAAAAAACGTAAAAAAACTACTTAGGGCGAATCATAAAAAAAACTTTTCAGGCTAAACAGAATGTTTAAGTATCTCGGAAAATTTCCAAGATGAGCTGATTTCATTTAATTATCACCCATATTAAAAAAATGCATCGTTATTTTTATGAGCTTTGGAAAAATATTACAATTTGATGGTAGTAAAAATTCAAAATTTCTTTGCCTAGATCAACTTACAAAAAGGAAGAAAAACGTAAAAAATCTACTACTTAGGGCGAATCATAAAAAAAACTTGTCACGCTAAACTGAATGTTTAAGTAACTCGGAAAATTTCCAAGATGAGCTGATTTCATTTAATTATCACCCATATTAAAAAAATGCATCGTTATTTTTATGAGCTTTGGAAAAATATTACAATTTGATGGTAGTAAAAATTCAAAATTTCTTTGCCTAGATCAACTTACAAAAAGGAAGAAAAACGTAAAAAATCTACTACTTAGGGCGAATCATAAAAAAAACTTGTCACGCTAAACTGAATGTTTAAGTAACTCAGAAAATTTCCGATATGGGCAGATTACATTTAATGATTGTATGTGATCGTATTTCAAACATTTATAGTTTTTGTCGCATTATCACTTATTTTTGTAAGTTTTAGGATAATATTTCAATTTAATTATTGGAACATTCGCAACTTTCTTTTTCTAAATGAGCATAAAAAAGCAGAAAAACAATACGTTAATAAAATTCTACTTAGTGCGAATCATACAAAAAAACTTTTCAGGCTAAACTGAATGTTTAAGTAACTCGGAAATTTTTTAAGATGGGCTGATTTTATTTAATGATCACATATGAAATGTGTATGATCGTATCTCATATGTTTATAGTTTTTTCTTTAGTTTTTGACCAATTATCACATTTTCATAAGCTTTAGAACATTATTTCAATTTGATTATAGAAACATTCCAAACTTTCTTTATCTGGATCAACATAAAAAAAAGAAAAAAAAACAATACGTTAAAAATCTTTTATTTAGTGTGAATCATAAAAAACACTTTTCACGCTAAACTGAATGTTTAAGGAATGATTTCATTTAATGATCACCTATGAAATGTATATGATCGTATAATTATAGTTTTTGATCCATGAGTACTTATTTTTATGAGCTTTATAAAAATATTACAATTTGATTGTACTAACATTTCAAATTTTCTTTATCTAGACCAACTTAAAAAAAGAAAGAAAATAATAGGTAAAAAATCTACTTGTGCGAATACCTTCAGGCTAAAACTGTTTAAGTTACTCGGAAAAGTTTCAATATTACATTTAATGATTACCTACGAATTTATTTTGATCTTATTTCACACATTTATATTTTTTTATTTAGTTTTTGACCCAATAGCACGTATTTTTAAAAGCTTTGGAATAATATTTTAATTTGAATATAGGAACATCCCAAACTTTCGTTATTTAGATCAACATAAAAAAGTAGAAAAACAATACGCAAAAAATCTTCTTTTTAGTGCGAATCATAAAAAAACTTTTCAGGCTAAACTGAATGTTTAAGTAACTCGAAATTTTTTTGAGATGGGTTGTTTTCATTTAATGATCACCTATGAAATGTATATGATCGTATCTTATAGGTTTATAGTTTTTACTTTAGTTTTTGGCTCATTAGTACCTATTTTTATGAGCTTCGTAATAACATTACAAATTTTCTTTGTCTAGATCAACTTAAAAAAAGGAAGAAAAACAATACGTAAAAAAATCGTCTACTTAGTGCGAATCATAAAAAAACTTTTCAGGCTAAAACAGTTTAAGCAACTGGAAAAATTTCGAAGATTACATTTAATGATTGCCTATGAATTTAATATGATCGTATTTCATACATTTATAGTTTTTTCTGTTGTTTTTGACCCGATAGCACGTATTTTTATAAGCTTTGGAATAATATTTTAATTTGAATATAGGAACATTCCAAACTTACTTTATTTAGATCAACATAAAAAAAGTAGAAAAACAATACGTAAAAAATGTTCTACTGAGTGCGAATCATAAAAAAACTTTTCAGGCTAAACTGAAATGTTTAAGTAACTGAGAAAATTTCCAAGATGAGCGGATTTCATTTAATGATCACCGTTTCATACGTTTTTACCTTAGTAGTTTTACTTTAGTTTTAACTCATTAATATTTATTTTTATGTGCTTTGGAATAATATTTCAATTTGACTGTAATAATATTTCAAATTTTCTTTGCCTAGATCAACTTTTAAAAAAATGCGTAAAAAATGTTCTATTGATTGAGAATCATAAAAAACTTTTCAGGCTAAACTGAATGTTTAAGAAGTCAGAAAATTTTCAAGGTGAAGAGATTTCATTGAATGATCATCTATGATCGCATTTCATAAACTTCTATTGGGTTGTCCGGAAAATAATGCAGGATTTTGGTATTAAACAAAAAAAAAGAAACTAGTTACTTTAAAGCAATGTTCTTTAATCAAAATAATTTCCCATACTCTCAATACATTTCTCCCAACGTGTTGGTAACTTATTAATTCCGTCTGAGTAGAATTCAGAATTTTTAGAATTGATAAAGTCAATAAATGCATTTTCCAGT